GGGCTTTGGCAGTTGCTAGGACGAAGTGTTGTTGTATATTCGGGAGGGGGGGAATTGGGCGTGCTCCTCCCCTATCCGGACCTCTTTTCAGAGGCGACAGTAAGGCCGGAGGCCTCCTTAGAGGGGTCTCCATGGAGGGTAATCGGCTTGTTTAGTACAAGCAAGTGAGAGCAAGTGATTTAGAACAAAAAATTTGATCTCGAAAAAAGGTTGTACGTGGTAAGATATATTTATTAAGGGATTAGAGGTTAGTAAGATAAAATAAAGTAAAGTAAGGTAGAATATTATTTTTTAATTTTATAGCCGAGAAGAGAGGGGATTATATATTAGTTTTAGTTAAGAGTTATATAAGTATATAAGTATTCCTAGTACTACTATCTAACTACTTATTTCTACTAGTACTACCTAGCGTCTTATCTTAGTTACCTAGGTAGTTAAATATATAGAACTATATTTTAGTAGTTTTTATTTAGGTAGTTAGAGGGGTTTTATAAAGGGTAAGTAAGTAAGGTAGGTAGGTAGGTAGGTTAATAGGTTAATAGGTTATTTTTCTTTTTATTAGTTATTTAGAGAGAGGGAGATAAAGGGGGGGGGGTTTAGAGGATTTTTAGGGTATTTTTAGGATTAGAGGAGAGATAGAGAGGGATAGGGAGGGTAGAAGGGGGTAGAATACTTTAGAAGAGGGAAGAGAGAGGGAGGAAAAGAGAGAGAGAGAGCGAAAGAAAACTAGGAGTTTTATCAAGTTATTAGAAAGTTTATAGAAGAGGTTTATTAGAAGATAAGGGTATAATATAAAATAAATAAGCTAGAATAGAGAAAGAAGCTAAATAAAGGGAGTAGAGCTCTAATATAGAAGTTATCTATTAGCCTAGAAGTATTTATGATATAACTAGTACTAGATAGTAAAGTGTCACGAATCACGTGTCCACGTGATACATGTCATAATAGGAGGCGCAACCCTCGACAGTGCACACCCAGGTTTCTTATAATAGGGATCGCTTAGAGTAGCTAAGCGATCCAAGGATTTCCATTGGTTACTGTCACGTGATGGACCCGGATGGATCCAGGAGAGGACGAAGGTTCTATATAAGACTGGCACGTCTGCCATTAGATAGGAGCTTCATACTCAACTTAGTTATCAATCTTATCATATTTGTTTTTGACATCTTTGATACAAGTAACGAGTTCACTTCCAAGTGAACAACCCGATAGTTCTTCTTCTTATCCTAGCATACCAACCAGCGAACAACAGTCAAGCTTCAGTTAGCCGGATCAGTTATCGTTACACTACACTACCTCTATTAGGGTGTTATACCAGAGAGTAATGATAAGATTGAGGTAGTAATTAATAAGGAAGGTGGTATCATTAAGCGAGAGTAATAAATTGATTATTGTTATGTTGTGCTGGGTCTACTTTCTCTTTTGCTCCACTTCCTTATTTGATCCACTTATAGTTCTGCTGCCTAAATGCTTCATGTCTGCCTAAACCTTACACTCTTTATATAAACACCTTAGATAGCTACCTTTTACAAGGCAATCAATTCTCCATGACCTTCAGTACCCAATACCCTTTCAACCCAATATGTTATTATCTTTTTATTCCTACAATAAACATATTCTCACTTTCAATTGACCCTGAAACCCCCCTAAAACACCCCCTAAAACACCCTAAAACATGCTAATTTTAGGTACAAAATATCGATATCGTTGCTTTTTCGACGATCGATATCGGAATTGTCGAATATAATATCGATATTATATCGCGATAAATATCGTCATTGTGCCTATGTCTGCCCGGGACAGTACAAGAAGTACCACGTTCGGGTATATCCTTCCGCTTCAACTCGTGTAAGGATTGTAGAGTCATAGAGGCTGACATGACGCAACTTATCTGGCTCTCATCAATCAGGTTTTTGAATGGGGCTAGCATACAAGCGGAAGAATATCTCGTGGTAATAGCATAAGGTACTGTATTAGGTTGGATGATGTTTTTCGCGTATTTTATATAAGAATACTGTATCCTCTTAATAGGTAGCAGAGAATCCTTTCCTTTCTGTCAGCTGAAGTGGACTTAAAGTAATGAAATATTCTAGATATTTTAGGACAATTGCATCAATTGTCTTGGGACTTTTGATTTACTGTTGTGATCAGTCTGAATATCTAGAATAATTGAATCAAGCTAAGGATATGCTCTTCTTGTCCACATGTAGACAGCTTCTTTGACGGCTGCAAAATCCGAAAAAATGGCGCGCTGCGCCGCTAGTATAGTATATACAGTTTTGAAACCTCGTAAATGGGATGGTGATACGGACTTAAGAAGATGACTGCGCAAGCGGTGCAGAAAACGTCCCGTCATTGGATACAACTGCCTTGTATGTACTCATTCTCTACAAACTTATGATCGGTAGGAATCGGACCACCGAACAATTAATGCCTCAGCCATAGGAATACAAAAACAGCCCGCCCTGCTCCCATCAGACTTGCTTCCTTAACCAATTTCATCTGATCAGTGATCATCTCGTAAATTCAGTCCCAACATGGCCACAATCAACCACGTCAAAAGGAAGCAGGAAGAAGTAATCGACCTCGGACCCGTCCAAATATACGTCCTTGAAGACGGCAAGCTCACTGATAACCGCCTATCCCTCATCCGCCTTACCATCCAAGGGAAATCCAAAGGACCCCCAGTGCGTAACATTCCCCTTCGCTACCAACTACCTTGCTAATAGGCCAAAGCTCCATTGGCATCGTATGCACGACGAGGGATTCTACGTCTCGAAAGGGACTGTACGCTTCCACACTGAGAAAGGGGATGTTGATGCCAACGCGGGGGAATTCGTTATGGTTCCCATCAAGGCAGTCCATAGTTTCTCAAATCCCTTTGACGAGCCGGCGGAGTTCTTGAATACTTTTACTCCAGCGTTTTATATTGATTATCTGAGGATGGTGGGTGCGAACATGAAATCGGGGATGATGATGGGTGCCGAGAAGCAGAAGGAGATTATGGCTCAGTTTGCGACTTTTCCACCGGGAGATCTTGGATTGGATGAATGACGAGGGGAATAGTTCGGGTCTTGAGAGCAGTTGGCTTTAGGCCCTCAAGATCTATTGTACTTGTAAGCAAAGACGTTTGGGGGTTTGCACCAGAGTCTGAAGACAAATACCACTCCACTCACTATTCCCATGGAGGTAAACTACTCAGAAGGGTCCTTCATAAAATTTCATTGCTAGATGCCATATCAGAGGAGTCGTACAAGTCGTAGCCATTAACCTATGTGCACACCTATCACAGCCTATAGCACACGGCCACCCAGGTATGTCCCAACGCCAAATCACAACGAATCATAATCCTATACATCCTTGCTCATTGCAAGGCCCATGCTATGTCTCTATTTAGGCGCCTCACCCTCAACAAACTCCAACGCCTCGTCCCGGGTGGTAGTAGCAACTTGACTTGTTTTGTTATGGAAGGTAACACCGTAACACTTATCAGCAACAAGTACCATCTCAGGTCGGAAAGTGGTGCAGATGAATTGACCACTCATGCCGCCAGCGGAGCCATCATCGTTTTCATCTTGAGTACTCTGTTGCTGCGCGATATTTCTCAGCATTTCGGCAACAGCTGTACGATATTGAGCGTCCAGATTGGCATCAATCTCATCAAAGAGGTAAAACGGGGCAGGATCGCATTGTTGAATTGCGAATACCAAGGCAAGGGCGCATAGACCTAATATTAGTTAGTGATTGATTTAGAGTTGATCAAAAAGGAATCAGCGTACTCTTTTGTCCTCCACTCAATTGTTGAATGCGTTGTTGTTCGTCATCTGTACTGTTGAATGAAACACTAATGCCAACACCAGTATAATTTTCGACATTTTGCCTCTGTTCATCCTCAGATTCTTCATCGCGTGGTCGTCTATCTTGCTTCCGCTGGATCACCAGTCGACCGACACCCTGGGGTACCAATTTCTTGAATATGGAGGCAAACTCTTTGGAAACTTGCTTGAATGTACGCTCAATAGATTCGTCCTTTCGCATGTCCAAAACCTCAACTAGATCTTGAATAGATCTTTGAGAATCATCAAGCTCCTTTCTTCTTTTGGTCAAACTATCTCGTTGAGAGGTGAAGTTATTATACTGCTCAAAGGCTTTCTTATTGACATGCTTGTATTTTTTCAATGCTTCGTTGACTTTCTTGAGTCTCGAGGTGATCTGCTTGGAGTCGGCATTTGAGAATTTTTCAAAAGCTTCATCAGGAAGCACACCCAAGTCACGAATATTCTTCGCACATTCCGCAGCTGAAGTGGTGAGGAGTGCCTTTTTTGCAACACTTTTCTCCATCTTCTTTTGATGTTTTTCGATTAACCTGGCAGTCTCGAGTTGCTGAGTTTCTAGCTCTGATTTGCTACGGCTGAGCTTCGAGACTTGAGCCTCGGCTTTTGTGACGGCTTCCTCGTTTTGCTGCAATTTGTTCGTAATATCTTGGACAGCTTTACGAACGCGCTTCAACTCGCGATTTGTCTCCTTTAAATTTCCTGAGCTGCCACTTGCATTGGCGTCGATTTCCATGCTGTTCAACTGGTCGAGTTTCATTCTAAGATTCTCTCTCAAGTCAAGTTCGAGAATTTGTTTGCGAGTTTCCAACTCTCGTCGTTTCTTGCTCAATTCGTTCCACTCCTTCTTAGTTTGCGAAACAGTGGTCGTGAGTTGATCTAGCTGGCGTTGCTCTTCGGCGGTCAAAGCGGTCTTGAATGGCAAAGCAAGTTCTGCCTCTAATGCTGTGATATCATCACTATGCTCCTTTACTAGCTTTTCGACAGTGTCTCTTCGGCGGGCATGACCTTCATATTGAGCTCTCAGCCGCTCGAGATGTCCACTCTTCGAACGCAACTCCAATTTAAGAGGCTCGAAACTATCGTCGAGGTGCCGTAGCTTCTGTTCCAATTTTTGAAGTTCTCCCATAGCAGCAGTTATCTCTTGATCTTTGCTCTCCACCTCTCCACGGATCTCAATCGCCCGAGCTCTTCGAGCCTCGTACTCATCACGACATTTGTTGACAGCCCGGACAGCTTCAAGGCGTGATTTTCGTGTGTCGATCCAACCACCGGTCAGAGCACCCTTTTTGGTTGCAGTATCGCCATCTGGAGTGATTGCATTGCAGTTGTGGCTTCGCGCATATCCTGCAGCGATGATCAAATTAGGACAAACAATCGTTTTACCAAACACGTGACTCATTGCTCTCTCAAACTTGGGATCGTAAGTGATCTTGCCCAGAACCGGGATGGCATCGTTCGCTTTTGGGAGTTTGACGGATTTAGGTCGAAGTTGACTGAGAGGCACAAACGTAACTCTTCCACCTCTCTGCCTGTCCAGAGCATCAATCAGTGTGGATGCAGTTCTTTCGTTATCGACAATGTAATGGAAAAGACTGTTCCCAGCAGTCTGCTCTACTGCAGTCCGGTAGGTTTCTTCGACCTCTATGAGTTCGGCCAAAGTTCCATATGCACCATCTAGGCCAAGCTCTTGTTTGAGACGCCTGACACTAGCCAGACCTCGAGATGTCATACCGTCCATGGTATGGGAAAGTACACTTTCGGCCTTCTCTTTCTCTTTTCGCGCATCCATAATCAATGACTCTAATTTGTCATCTTCACGACGGAGAACCTTTCGCTCGTCCGTCAATTTCTCCAAGGCGTCTTTTGCCGTGCTCACTTCCTGAGCCAGAGCTTGTCTGCTACCACCCCAACCGTCCAATCGCTCTCGAAGTCCGTCAATCTCACCCTCGAGGTTTTGAATCTGTGATTGTGTAGCGTTGGCCTCCTCTTGAGCATTAATGCGATTCGCTTTTTGTTCTCCAAGTGCCGTGTTGAGTTGCTCAATTTCGCTTCGAAGCCACTTGTCTCTTTCTGCCTTGTTTTTAAATTGCGCGCTTCTTCCTTGTTTGTTGAATAAGCGATTCTGAATGCCCTCAGCAAGGTCTAGTTCCTGCCTCACGCGTGACTCGCTTTCCTTGCGCTTGGTGTACTCGGGTAGAATCTGGGCCAGTTCTGCTTCCTTTAATTTGATCTCTTCCTTCACAGCTGCGAATTCGGCTTGGTGTTTTTTTCGTATTTCCTCATTCAAGGCCTCACTAGACTCAAATGTTTTCTGGTCCAACTCAAGTTTCGCTTGGGATTTTGTCGCTTCTCGTCTGTCTTCTTCCAGTTGGCGTCGCTCAAGTTTGAACAAGTCTATCTGCTGTCTCGCCTCCTTGATTTTCTGGTCCAGTTGAGCGAGTTCCTGTTCTCTTGCACTAAATTCCTCGCGCTGATCATCAGTCCCTTCCATTCCATTTTCACGAAAGGTCTCGATTTCATCAAGTGCAGCAGCAAGGGCTACTTGTTCCCGGTGGTAAAAGGCGTATTCAAGACATCGTCGTTCCTTGTCTTTCTCCTGGTACCCACGAAGTTCTTCCTTTTCTTCCTCCAATTCTGTCAGTCGTTCCTTGATGTAGTCTAGCAGCTCGTCAATTTTTGCGCGCTTATTGTTGGTATCTCCCATAATCTTCAGTGATTCCGTCCGGCGTGCTTCATATACCTGGGTTCCTGCAACCTCTTTGAGAAGGTTCAGGCGCTCGCTGTCCTTCATGTTGGTCAACGCCGTGACACGACCTTGGGGCACGATATAGTACGGATTTGAGCGCGAGAAGCCAGCAGACTCGAGAAGATTCATGACATCTGTCTTGGTCGCGTTCTTACGATCGAGCGAGTATTCGTCCTTCTTGAGTCCAATGGTTCGGCGCAGAATCAGCTCATCCTTCCCCGTATGGAATCGGTCGTCGCTATTGTCGAATATAATTTCTACATAGGCAGACATGACGGCAGACCCAGATCCTTCGTGCAAGAGAGCCTGGCGCTCCTCGCGACCCATCTGCGTGTATGCATCGCTAAGGACGAATCGAATGGCGGCGAAAAAGTTGCTCTTTCCGGAACCATTGCGTCCAACGATCACGTTTGTCTTTGGGGAAAACGGCTCAATGACGGTTTGTTCCTTGTAGCTAGTGACGCGTTAGATGTGATTCACGCATGGCACTGCATTGCCCACGATGAAAGCCTACCTCTTGAAGCCTTGGATGATGATCTGCTTGATATACATCTTTGCGGATGCGGCTCCTCGCGCGGAGCAGAATTGGCGGAAGTAGAATGGTGTCAACTATAAACCGGCTCGCGATGACAAGCTGGCGGCGCCGACGAGGCGTTGCAAGTTGGAGAAGAAAGTCGAGTCGTCTGTCGCAACGCGTCTGAGGTCGCGTTTGCGCTTGGATGGGAGTAGAGCATGCCTCATGCGTATGCGCTTCTTGCAGGGGTCTGGGATGGCAATGGCACTAACGGCAGCGCCCCTCGCAGAAATACTGGCACGATTGGTACAGGCTCACAGGAACCCCTCGCCCCTCCAATATGCCGGTGCGGTATTCTTCACAGATGGAAATTATATTTTCAGAGCACAACCACAACCACAAACATTCAGACGATGCCTGAACAGCCCACACCCTCAACAACCGCTGCGCCTGCAGACGGCCAAGCTCCAACGCACACATATATTCCAAACCACGGCTACGAAACACCAACTTCGGGTCACGATGCCCCCACGCAGACTGATTCTTCAGCGGGTGGCCTCACAGAATATGCCGCAGACAACGAAGACGAGACTTACGAGGATCTGTTTGAAGATGACGAAGAGTATTTTGACGACATGGACTACGATCCAGGTTCTGGCGATCTGACCAAGTCGTACAACCGTCAACGCAAACTGAATGACCAAAACTCGACTGCCCCGCGAATAAACCCGCAAAAGCCAGCCGCAAACACCAAATCGAGTGTCGATGATCAGATTTCCAGTTTAGCGAAGCATGCGGGAAAGATTCGACTGGATGGTGGCGACAGGCAAAAGACCCATGGAAAAGACAAATCTGATCGTGCGACCAGCGAGCAGGTTCTGGATCCTCGGACGAGAATGATTCTGTTGCAAATGATTAATAGGAGTGTGGTCTCAGAGGTTAATGGATGTTTGAGTACGGGCAAGGAGGCAAATGTGTATGGGGCGTTGACTGTTCCCGCCTCCGTCGGAGACGAAGAAGCACACCCTGTGCATCGGGCGATCAAGGTCTATAAGACAAGCATCTTGGTATTCAAAGATCGTGATCGTTATGTTACTGGCGAACATCGTTTCCGAGGTGGGTATAACAAAGGCAATAACCGTGCCATGGTCAAAGTCTGGGCCGAAAAAGAGTTCAGAAACCTCAAGCGTCTGCATACCGCAGGTATTCCTTGCCCGGAACCCATTTATCTTCGACTCCACGTCCTCGTCATGGGATTCCTCGGGGATAAGAAGGGCTGGGCCGCACCAAGACTACGTGACGCTGAATTAGTCGGCGAAGACATTGATGAGCAATGGCGAGTATTGTACTTGCAGCTAATTGGATTGATGCGGCGCATGTATCAAATCTGCAAGCTTGTGCATGCAGATTTGAGTGAGTATAATGTTCTCTATCACCAAAAGAAACTCTTCATTATCGATGTATCTCAAAGTGTTGAGCACGATCATCCACGGTCTCTTGAATTTCTTCGAATGGACATCAAAAACGTTTCGGACTTTTTTCAGAGGAAAGGTGTCAATGTGCTTCCCGAGCAGATCGTTTTTGGGTTCATCACATGTTACGATGAGCCAACTCAAGACCCCGAGCTTGGTGAAGCTTTGGAGAAGTTGTACACAGAAAGACCCCAAGTGGAGGAAGGCGAACAAGCAGCAGCCGATCAAGAAGTTGATAACCAAGTGTTTCGACAGCAATACATCCCACAGACCCTGGAACAAGTGTATGATGTCGAGAGAGATGCTGAAAAGGTGGGAAGAGGACAGAAAGATGACCTTGTTTACCGCAGTCTGTTGGCTGACAAGGTACCAATGTCTTCTGGCAATGAAGCTGACGGTGAGGATACCATGGGGGGAAGTTCATCACAAGGTAGTGGAGACGAAGATGGAAGTGATACCGACGACGAGAGTCGATTTGAAAAGGGCACACCAAGAGGCAAGAGATTTGAAGATAAAGATGCAAAAAGGGTAACATCTATTAACTGTGTTTTCATCCTGCACTGCTAACAACTCGTCTAGGATCACAAAAAAGCAGTCAAGGAAGAGAAGCGCGAGAAGAGGAAAGACAAGATACCAAAGCATCTGAAGAAGAAACTGGTAAATTCCTCGGCGAAGCACAAGCACTGAATTTCTTACCGCATGAAATGATCAGTGTTATCCAACCACCTGCTGTATCTCATTCCAAGTACTTGAACGATTCGAGCCCTGCAAACCAAAACTGAGGTACAGTAATAAATCGCCTTCTCTTTCTGTTTTAAAAATCCCAAAGAGACCCAATAAGACATCCCCGAGTAAATGCGCAAATGACGAACAAGAGGTTTCACTAGACCGACCATCAAGACAGCATAGTCGTATTCTGCATTCGTGTAGAATCTTCTGTTGATCCACCTAGCTGAATGAGTTCAGGGACCAGCTTCTGAACAAGTTTAACTAGAGAGGCAAGCTGTATGTTGATATAAAGAGAGCACCGATGCGCATTTATTTATTGGGCATGCAGTTCAAGTTTGTTACTTCCCAAGTCTTTTATTTGAAGCTGTCAATTATATGTTGCAAATAACAGTACTATCCTCCCACAGGTTGTTACCGCTGTGCGGATAAACTTGAGGGGACACAGAATGTGCCATCTGCTGCGATTTGATGAAGTTTTTAACATCAAAACCCTGTTATTGCTAATCAGGATCCGAGGCCAAGGGCAAGTCCAATCGGACAATTTTGCCCATGTGTTTCTCCCGCTGGTGCCTTTTCATACAATTTTTGCGCGTCAATGATCCTTGCGGATCAAGAGGTTCTTATTGCTTGAGCCACCAATCCTCTTGTACAATCGCGTCAATTTTAACTCAAACTTTTGCGTCAGGGGTGATCGATCATTTAATATTTCCTACCTATTGCCCTTACTGCGGATGATCACAGGGGCAATTGTCAATACACTTTTTCACAGAATGGTACACATTACGTGTCTTTGCTGCACCACTTCAATTACAAGCAGAGGAAATTGGGTACGTCACTTAGTTAGATACTTTCTTCACGAGAAAAGAGTTCGGGTACAGTGAGCGTGATCATGCGGAAATTTCAACTTCATCCGGTCGGCTAATTGGGATAGGAGATAATATCCCCTCACTAGATCTCTTGCCCACAAAAAACCGCCGAATCCCTGTTGCAGTAGTCTACCTCGTGTATGGCCTTGTCAATTGTGAAATTGGCATGTTGATTCTGCGGGTTGAAGGGCCGTCTAACGGGGATCTTCGACCGCGCTTCATTATCTCTACTTGTTGAGGTATATGTGGTAAAAGGATTCGAGGTTTGAGCTACCGCCTATTGAAATTCCGTGGAGTTTTAACGATATCAGTGTCTTTCCACTACTTGTGGCCTCTTGTTCCTGAAATGCACCCTCCAATGCACTACAGTCTGCACCCCGCAAACTCATCCGGGGTAAAAGCAAACAGCGTCATAAATTTACCGAGTTACTATGCATACAACTGTGGCAATTTACCAACGAAACTCTTCCATCAAATTTTTGGTTGTGCCTTTGTATTTTCTACCAATCGCATTATTTGCATTCTCATAGGCAAAATTACCCACTATGGCTACTTGTCATGCCAGCATTTTTTGTAATGCAAATTAAGTGTCACCTTCAATTGGCTATACCCCGGACTTGCTGAAAAGATCATGGTTGATCGGTTGAGTTGCTTTCGTCGAGGTAAAGTTTCTTGCTGTCTAGGTTTTCCATATCCTCTTTACATCAAGCGTATGTTCTACCAATAACTTGAAGATATTTTTCCTTGACGAGTGCCTTTTACATTTACTCCGCTTGTTTCATGTTACGAACCGGGCTAGCAAGCGAGGCGGTCCGGCAAAACAGCCTGTTTCAAGAGCATCAGATATCTCATTTGTTGGGTTTCCTAGTAAACACTACCCAAGTGGGCTTCCAAGCACCGGCATTTTGAGGCTGAATGGCGAAACGTTCCGCCGCACAAGTTTTCTCTATTGCCACTCTCCAAGCATGTTTTCCCAGACAGGAGAAATAATTTGGGACGATGATCACAAGGACGGCATCGTATGTACGTCCGAAAATCTCGGCCCTACTTCTCCTGTACCCTTTCAGCCAGACGATGATATGACCCTCGCCTACGACAAATACAGCCCCATGGATTTGAGACATAAAAGAGGGATGTCCTAATGCTTTTCAGGAGAACAGTCACCTCCGCCAAATACTTACATTCTCTACTTTCGAGTTTGCCGCCAATATGATGTACTCTTTAGGTTTTGCTGCCCTTGCGGTTCTTGCTGCTGCAGCTCCAACGGAGACTGAGAAGAATGTTGCCCAGATTCAACCCCGTGCTGCTTGCTCTACGGCTGTCAAGCTGGCCGCTGGATCAAACCCATTTTCAGGAAAGAGCTTTTATGCCAATGAGTACTATGCTGGAGAGATTGCAACCGCAATGGCTAGTGTCACGGACGCTTCGATCAAGTCGCAAGCAGAGAAAGTTGGAAAGGTCGGAAGCTTCTTGTGGATGTAAGGAGACGGATGCCTAGTCCCATAAAATATTTGTGCTAACGGATTTTCAAATAGCGATACCATTGCCAGAGTTCCACTCGTCTCCGATACTCTCAAGAAAGTCTCTTGCAACGAGATTGCACAGATTGTCATCTACGATCTGCCAGGGCGTGATTGTGCTGCTAAGGCTTCGAACGGTGAACTTGCCGTTGGGGAAGTCAGCAAATATAAGTCTCAGTATATTGATCGTGAGTAACGAAATGGAATACTCTGGCCAATTGTGTGTTCTAACTCCTTTCTTCAGCTATCGCCGCTGCGATCAAGGCAAACCCAAATGTCGCAGTTGCCCTGTTGATCGAGCCCGATTCCCTCCCCAACTTGGTTACCAACTCCAACTTGACAACCTGCCAGCAATCCAAAGCTGGTTACGAGGAGGGTGTTGCGTACGCACTGAAGACACTCAACTTGCCAAACGTTGCCATGTACATCGATGCAGGACACGGAGGATGGCTCGGATGGGATGCTAATCTCAGTATGTTGAATAAAAAGCAAGGCTCTTATAATTGCCACTGACACCTTTCTAGAGCCTGGAGCAGAAGGTATCGCCAAGGTCTACAAGTCCGCAGGATCCCCCTCTCAAGTATTTGGCTTCGCCACCAACATTGCAGGCTGGAATGCATGGAGTGCCTCCCCAGGAGAATTTGCCGGTACCTCCGATGCCCAATATAACAAATGTCAAGACGAGAAGCGATACGTCGAAGCCTTTGCACCTCTCCTTAAGACTGCTGGCATGCCCAACCACGCTATCGTCGACACAGGAAGAAACGCAGTTCAGGGTCTCCGCGCTGAATGGGGCGATTGGTGTAACGTCAATGGTGCTGGTTTCGGTGTTCGACCAACCAGCTCCACTGGTAACTCTCTGGTTGACGCTTTCGTCTGGGGCAAGCCGGGTGGAGAGTCTGATGGTGTTTCTGACCCAAGTGCTGACCGATATGATTCCTTCTGTGGACATGACGACGGTAAGTCGACAATCCATATCCACCCTCTAGAAACTCACATGCTAACTCGCCCTCGCAGCATTCAAACCATCTCCTCAAGCTGGTCAATGGAACGAGGCATACTTTGAGATGCTCCTCAAGAACGCCAAGCCATCATTCGCATAAATTCTTCCTTTCCTCCATCATCCGGAAAGTTGCACATTGAGGAGGTTTGTGACATGGAAAAGTCGCTCGTTTTTCCCTTATGCGTCTTTCCTTTCGTTAAAGATGAATATCATGTTCCCTTCTTACTCGTATATATTGTGGTGTGGAAAAGACGAAATTTGTATATAAACACTTGTCCATAGCACATTTGAAATGAACATAGTCGCAGATTAGGATTCTTGTTTTCTCGACGTATAGCTCAATCTTTTGATGGCACTATGCTAGCATTTTCAGAGTAAGCAAATGATGATCCTCCAATTTGATGGGGTGAAGTAGAGAACTGAGAATCCAAAAGGTATGTTGCCTGCGGCTACTTTCGCTGTCTCCTAGCCCTATACATATTATTCTTGTTTGCATATAAATCTCATGCATTTGCGATGTTCAACCGCTTTTCTCCATGAAACCTTTTCAAATTGATATAAGCAGCATCAACACACACATTCAAGTCCTATGTTTCTGCTTGTAACTATCATAACGCTCTGTAAAAAATAGCTATGATGATCAAGCAGTCTACGTTCACCACTTATGACAAGGCCTTGATCATCATTTGCAAAAATATAGAGTTCGTATCTGCAAGGGCTCCCTCCACAGAACAATGAAAAGAGCTGTAAATGAGACCACCTTGGTGAACACCTTGGTGTTTCTAACACGGTGCCAGCCATTAAGTCAAGTGAACGCACTGGTAAGTAGATAACAGTCAAGCGCTGATTCCTGGATTCATGGGTAAAGCTTCAAATCACAAATTACCCAATCGCCGTGTAAACTTTGTACATGTAGTTTGCCGGACCAGTCTCCACAGGCCTTTAGCTGTTTTTCGTTCATAGCCAATCTCATCCAGGGTTTCGCGGGTTATGTCTGACATCCTTTTCAAGTTTAAATTCAGGTTTGCTGCTGATATGTTGATCGTCTCGCTTGTCTGGGTGGGGAGGAGAGGAGGGAAGGGAGGACACGAGTAAAAGAGGGTTGCTTGAAGTTCTTAGACCACTGATATTTCTTGGCTGGGAAGACAAGAAATTGAGTTAAACCCCCTGGGATCTTGGAAGTTGGGGCAAAAGCTAATTCACACTACTCGCTATAATTGGAAGTTACAAAGGCTTAGCTAGAAGGTTAGAGATGTTATGTAGTAAACTGATAAACAACATCCCAAAACAAAACAATTACACAATCGCTTTGGGAGATGATTGAACACAGTACAGCTCAATCAACTCCAACTGATTTGCAACGATTAATCTGGTTGTTTTGGGAGTTCTAGCAAAGCTTTTGGTGTGTGTATTCTGTACAGAGCAATGGCAATGCCTCTGGGCTTTGAAATTGGTGGTGCTGATTGGACGGATCGGGTAAATATCGGATGCTGTAGCTCAACCCGCAGACAACCAACCTTCAAAAGCTCCATCCTCACGCAGAGAAGCTATACACAATAGGTGTAATCACACCTCCAAATCCAATTACCTACCAATTCTCACTCCCAGAGTCCGATCTCAATACTTACACAACCTCATCAGACGACTGGGATATCACGGCAAGCATAACGAAACAACTACAAACAACATGCCAAACCACTCTACCGCCATATCGGCGTGCATGCGCACCTCCAGAACCTTTCGCTGTCAACGAACTGATGGCGCAGCTCGATGCGTAGCAATAGCAATCTGCCCCGCAAAACGAACCCTACCATTATCCGTACGAAACAATATGACGAGCACAAGAACCGCACCTTCTGCAAGTACTAGGGCACAACAGGTAGCGAGAGCCAGAAGACTCGATGCAAGTTGGAGAGGGGTAGAGACAAGGGGATACAGCACAAGCGAAGGAGTGGTTGAGAAGGATTCGGTAGCTGCTGTGAGCGAGGAGCCGCCCGCGCATTTGAATGAGAAGGAGAAGGTTATTTGGGGATTACTGATGAAGGAATTGGAGTGCGAACAGTTGGAGGTATGTCTGTCCTAAATTTTGCGGGATGACAATTCTCCTCGCAGGGATTGCATCGAGAAAACCATTCTTCAATTCAATTGCTGACACAGACATGATAGGTCAAGGATGTTTCCGGTGGATGTGGCAGCATGTACGCGATCGACGTTGTCAGCGAGAAGTTTAGGGGATTGAATATGCTGAAGCAGCAGAGATTGGTCAATCAGGTGCTTGCGGAGCAGATCAAGGGATGGCATGGGGTACAATTGAAGACGAAGGCGCCATGATGGTTGGATCGGTACGAACTCACGACTGGGACATGGCTGGGAATGACTGGGAAATGCAAATATTGCGAGGCTACGCGATATTGGAGTTTGTATAAGTGTACTGTACATTAATGTAAGTATAGTCTAATGGAATCTATCCTATTTCCAATGGCCCCTTTCCGTCTTTCTGCGAGTGCAGTCCGCAATTTGAAAGTCGGAAATGGCGTGTTTTACATATTGTCGAGCCGCATCAGGCTAGCGGTTCAAATCTGCAAGTGCAGCTCGATTTGGATTGACTGCGGATTCGTCGAACCAATCTGAGATTGAGTGAGTGCTTTTATCGCTCAGGGGGTAGGATATGATTGTCGGTCTGTTACAGCCTCACCTGATTGTTCTGCTCAATTGCAATGGCACTACCCCTCCACCCGGGTGCGAGATCCCTCCATGCCTCTCGTATAAATTCCGCCAGTTTGGTTCTTGGAACCATTTCTTTCCTGCAGATCTTCTCTAATTTCTCATGCATACCTTTATTAGGGTATGGTAAACCTAGAAGTAATCCCGTGGAGATGGCTTCCGCTATGATGAGCGAACCGGAAGTCTTTCCTAATTTAATTGTATCCATCGAGCGTAATAACCTTGCGCCACCAACCCGATTACCTGGTTCTTGGGAATGGCGTGGCGGGTGTTCCCCTCCTCGTTTATGTACCGATGTAAGTTGCTGGGCTTGGTTACTTCGGTGACTTCTTTGGGTTGGAAGTTTAGAAGTAGCGATATGGATTTTGGAGAAGAAAGAGCGGTGTAGGGGACTGGGGTCAAGTGATTTTGTTTGAACGATGCTGGGTGCGGTTTTCATCGTTAATTCTCTTGCTGCACATTGGAATCCTTCCTGTGGGAGGGATATGCCGTACGCAAGGCTCAGAAATAAGCTGGTTCAGAATTTCTAGAGGTGTTCTGGGCATTCTTCGATCCTATTTCAAGTGACAATATCAAGAAGGCTGTGGCCAAATAACTCGTTCAACTGCATTGTATGCTTGGAGTCTAACCGATTGAGGTTATCTTCAAAGTCTTTCCTAGCTCGAACCTGATAGTTTGATTCGACCAGTTAGTTCACAGGTCATCTCTACACGGGGATTTTCTCCGAGAACGACTCCCTGGTGATTGTTGATTAGCCAGAAGGGAACACAGTCCTCGATGTGACGAGTTGATACTTATCAACTGATCACTTCCCATCAAGCGCCGAACTGGCGGGTAGCCTCGAGACCTCCAATTTGCCTACAACCAGCAGAGTTGTATTTGGGTTAACACCCATGCAATGCAACCTCTCCTGCCGCAGCTATCACAACAGGCTGGCTGCAGTGCGTGACAGGCCCGGTGGTTTGGTTTTGGTATGCAGGTGGTGCGTATGTCACCTTACGGAACAGTTTTGAGGTTCTCCCGGCGTTCTATGTGAAGGCTAGGGTAGCCTCCGAGTGGATGCATCCCTGGAAGGTGGGCGGTATTTGGGTTAGGATGAGCTCTTTTGTGGTTCCCATTTGTTCTTTAGCTTGTACTCTGCCTTTCCAGACTCGAATTAGGAAGTGCCTATGGTCTCTGTTCTGTTACGTTACGCTGATCTAGCTTGGCGGTGCTTGCGAGTTGAATTAGAATCAGGAGAATGCCAGGTCCTTTGAGATTCCAGTAAGAATCAGTAGCACAAGTGTGCTAGTGCGAGAACAGTGTCAACCAAGATACTTGATATGGACTTAGTAGATTTAGGAGTGATCTTCTCGTGTCCTCGAGGCATTCAGATTAGGCACTGCTTGTTTGCTTACACCTCCTGTGTAAGAGTAGGGGTGTCTATTATGTTAAGAAGAGACATGTAGCGAACATTCTCTCCTATGTTCTGTTCTCACAAGCTATTAGCAATTCGAGATCTTTTCCGGCTCTCATATCAGCAAGCTATATCTGTAGTACCAAGTTGCCAATATGGCTCAATATCAAATTGCCGAAACCTCATTGACAAATGACCAGTATATAAAGGTCTTATACAACATCATGGCCTAAATAAGTGCATCAAACGAGCACACAACTACTCAGAAGAGTTTTCTGTCCCATCAAGGTCAAACTCGGGATGGGATACAATTTACACTTCATTCGCCCACGATTATACAGCAGAACCTGAAGGAGAAATAAAGCATGGCATCGGTACTTTATATATTCATTCCTTCCCATTCCCAATAGAACGCCAAATCAAATCAGTACAAAGGACCAGCATCTCCAGCCTCATTCTACAATGTATCTTCTCTGCCACCTCCGTTCTTCCATTATAATTTCTTCTCGACCTCTTGCCATGACCTCGGTGCCTACTGTCCTTTGTCAATTTTTGCCCTCGATCTCAAGCTAGGCATTGCTTTAGACGCCAACATACCGTGACGATGATGATTTGACTTCCACATTACTATCAATGCGAATATCCCGAGAAATGTTGATGTTGCGCCGAATGATATGGCGATTATATCGTTGGAGGATACTGCACAGGGTATTATCTGTTAGTCAATTGACAGACCAATGACAAGTTCTACTGGAATAACTGACGCATTCTTCCCTTTCTCTTCTCCCTTCTTCTGATGAATGGGCATGTATCGATTTGTCTTTTGGTGCCAAAACTTTGATATATGTACTCTGACTATCGCCTCATGCAAAGCATCGTTGAGACAGCGTTAACGGTCAACCAGTGTGAGAATGATCACCCAGCTTCAAAACCAAGTCCGCAACTTACAATTGTAGTAAAAGAGCCCTCATTTAATTTTGAAGGGAGCCTTGGAATATATCCTACATCTGAGAAGTGTCCCACAACAAAACTAGCCGGTGCAGAACAGAGGCTAAGCACAAGGCCTTCCGATAGGTAAGATCTTACCTACTTGCCGGTACTACCCTGATACTGATCCTGAACCTGGCACTGTGCTGGGCTTCCTCCTATGTGCATACATGCATATGACCGATTACGCATACTCAAGTCATCCATTTCCGAATGCCTGCACTTCGAAGCGATATAGTACGTAGTACTGCCGGGTGCCTGAGAAACATATTCTCCGATGCAAGAAGAGGACTCCCAAAAATCTCGACTCTCGAAGCACCTAACCTGAGGCTCTGCCAGATCCCTAATGAATTAGCTAGCGTGTGATTCAATCTGAATAATTCAATTGACTTGAGCAATCAAATGGTGTGAGTCAAGTTGCGCTAATAGGATGATTCTGTGCCGCTCTTCTTGTTTACCAAAGGGCTCCCTCCTAACGGTGATTTGGGTCAAGTTCCTGGACATCGGGCTACAAATGCAATAGCAGAGCCGTTCGACGAGCGTTAAGTCTAGCAACAATCTTTGCAATGACAGTGATGTCTTGCTTGTAAGTTTTGCAGGATACATAACGTTTCCCTAATGTGGCCGTTCTTAGATACAAGCGCGAAGACTTCTCTCTCCGTTTCTGAAGTGCAAATCCAATCCACCCAAAACGTTAGGGGGTAGAGAAAAGGTTGTCCTCCACCCAAAAGTTGAGATAATCGAAAAATCCGCCAAAATAGAGCTCAAACGGGCAAAAAAGGAAGGAGGTTGCGTTTGCCGGGAATCGAACCCGGGGCCAATGCAATTATTATTCCAGGGTTGAAAGCCCTAGAAATTGGCAAGCATCGATTTTACCACTAAACCACAAACGCCTTATTTTCTCAAGCTGGTATTCTTCCAATTATTTGCAGATACTCAGACGTTCGGTGCGTGGTTTCGCTTAGTGCGGGAACTAGTATTAGTGGGCGTGGGGTTTCTCGACCCGTGGATTCCGATTGATCAATTGATCACCTAGCCTAGCCCCGCCTTCTCTATCCTACAAGTAGACCAAGAATTGGTAGGTATAGATATGCACAGTAACTCAATCAATAACTCTCTATCCTACTTTTTAAATCCTATCAAAAGGCAGATAAAATGTACAAACATCAAAAACAGTCCAAAAACACACATTCGTCAGATCGCTATGCTAACCAAACGTATAGTTATTTACAAATCCATACCCATGCTGCTCCCCACTCGGATCCCCCCTCACATCAAACGCTCCCCCTCCTTGATTCAAAGACCCACCACCCCCAGTTTCAAAGGCATCAAAACTCTGGTCCCACCAAAAATTCATCTCATCAACCTCCATCTCGAATTCTCGCCCCATCGCCCCCGGCACATTTTCCATGCCGTACCCCATCGATGATCCATACCCAGGAGGATAGTTGGTCATCTGTGGGTGCGAGCCACCGTACACATTCCTCATTTCGACGTTCTCATTCACCGTTCCCAGAGTGGAATAAGCAGCTCCCGGGACAGAGGCAGGATGACGATTGAACCCTGCTTGGGGAGGTGGTTGCGATGCTGGGTGACCAAAGGCTGGCCATTGTGAATTCGATGTCGAGTCTCGGGGCACGGGCGTGTACATTTTCGTCGGACCTTGCGGAGACATTGCTTTAAAAGGCTGTGCCTTCGTATGGGGTGAGTAATCGGATTGTGAGGCATTATTATCGTTTCTAGAACTTGGACTATCCATTTTCGGGACAATGGGCGAAGGGCTGTTTTGTCCAGAGGCGTGAGAACCTGGGGTTGCGTGGGTTGAGGAAGTTGATCGTGGTCGTAAAGAAAGACGAGCTGCGTCTCTTTTTTCCGTAAAATTTGAAAAGTCCGTGTTGCCTTGGAGAGGGCTTTCTTTAGAAGAAACTATTTTCTCAATATCCGGAGGTTGATCGTCAGGGTTTGTCTGTTGATCAAAGTTATTCTCACGAACGGAGTTGATGTCAAAACCAGCATCAGAAAAGAGCGTCTCTAGTTTTGTCCACTAGTTTTTCGTCAGTCATAGCATTAGCAGGGAGGGTATTTGAGGCATACCAATCCACTCAAGGTTGTCCAATATATTTGGAGACGATCAATGATAAAGATGGCTGCTTTAAAGCGGCCCAGACCATGAATTCGCAAGGTTCTTTGGGCAACAAGAGCTCTGAAGTGGAGATTTATTGCAACAAACAGAAGATAAGCCGTCGTACTTGCCATCCGTGAAAGGTCTGGGTTAGTGTTTAAAAAGGCAGTTGCCATGTCCAGCGTGCAAGCCGAATGTCTAATGACCTCTTCAGCTGAAAGTCGCACCAGCTTTTTGGATATAAGCGGATGAGGTGGGTCATTGGAAAATACAGGAACCAAAGACGAATGAAGTGTCAGAGCGCCCAGTCTATACAAACCGTGTAGCCAGAAGAGTTTATAGTTGTCGCATTTCTGGGATGTAAAAGTGGCCAAGTCTGCATATCGATGCTCAGGGCCAAGGTAATCTAATGCAAGACTGAGCTTTGAATCTAGTTCCAGAAATGTTGCAACAGTCCGTTGCACATCCATCTCTTTGATATCCTTAAGTGCATCAACGAATCTTCGAATTTCAACCCTAATCTCATCAGTGACTGAAGATCAGTAACGGGGTTATGGTTTTACCATAGGCTGAAGAAATATATTATTGCCCCGAACGTTGAAAGCTTTACAGGTTCACCGGGGGTTGAAGATTCAACGTCACCTTGCTTGTTGTATCTATGAGAAGTCGTAGGAGTCTTATTCTGGTATTCTTCTTCCGGACAAGGTAATAATAGACCAACAATGGTCTTCCAAGGTGCCACAAGATGCTTTCCAGTACGATCAACGACGGAAGCAACCCAGGTGGCCCAATAACATCGCCGTTCGAGTTCTGCAATAAAGATGATTTCCTCATTGGTCTCTCCAGCATGGCGTTCGGTATCGAGTCGTAAAGTTCGAGCATGTTGATACGCAATGTCTACGCAATGATAAGGACGACTAGGCCGCTTGTGATTGAATAGAGACTTACTAGTATAAAAATCGGTCTTCATCACATCGCCCACCGAGAACCAGTAAACCGAGAGGTTTTGGCATGCTTGAATTGTCTCTATCTGAGGCATGTCACACTGCAATAACAACCGTTGAGTAGATGCGGTTGCCCATTCGCGCCCCTGGTCGTAGAGCTCCGTGGCTGATACGATCGAGTTGCCAAGTTCAATCACATCGTCGTCAGTATGCGATGGTTTGCGCAGATATCTATCACTACGTTAGTGAGAGCCTCGGGCAGCAGGAAAGGCGAAATACATGGTGGCCAACGCAAAAATACTTAGAACCGCATAGTCCGAGACCTTGTTGTCAGCATAGTCACGCAGAAATGTCTGTTGATGGTATATCAAACTGGCATGGAAACTATGACCGAAGTACACGTCAAACAGATACTGGGCCACTTCCGGTGATGGTAGTGCCGTTTTTGGCAAGACGAGAGTCTCATGGAAGCAATGCGAATCTCTAATTTCTGGCTGAATTGGAGATTGGTAATCCTTCTCGACTGCGGTGGGCAAAATATGAAGGTTGGATGTCTTGCGAGGCGAGGGAGCTTTGCTCACGACGACATTGGGCTCCATTTTGATTACCGCTGGGAGCTTTTGTTGCTCTGTCGGGAGAGGGGGTTTTCCAGCTTCTGCACGAGCACGCGCTTTTGCATTTTGCCATCTTTGGGCGGCCAGAAGTTTTCTATCTGGCGGCGGAGGATATGTGCACGCGGTCGATAGATCACGACACCTCTTGCAGGCCGGAAGCTCGCGAGTACATCTTAACTGCGCGGATGTAAGTGGGACTGAGCCGCATAGGGAAGTCATGTAGCATATGTGTAGCATATGTAGGACAAGTGGAGGAGAATGAGGATATAAGTTAACCTTACCTTTTGTTTTCGGCAGCGTCGGCAGGCGACGACTGGCAGCCCATCGTCCTCTTCTGACCCTTGCCGCCGGACAGGTGGCGGCGCCTGCTGCGGCTGCGGTTGGTGTTGGTGTTGGTGTTGGTGTTGGTGTTGGTGATGTTGCTGCTGGTGCTGCTGGTGCTGCTGGTGCTGCTGCTGTGAGGGCGTCGTGGAGGCAGATGAGATATTCGGGGTGATATTGTTGTTGTTCATGACCCCGAATCCGATGGTTCACTCCACCGAGTCTTCGACCCCGAAGAACTAGCCTGTCCGGTGGCCGAGAGATGATGCAGCACCAAGTGGGTGTGGATGTGGTGTTGCGGTGGAGAAGACTTAAGAAGGGATTGGGTGCCACAGGCAGCAGCTGTTGCTCAGGGGCGGACCCAGAGATTTGCAGTTGACTCTGATATATGAATGCTTGTTTGCTCGTAAATATCGAGGTGTGTTTTGGCCGACGGAAACGTACGAGTACTTACGCGGGGGAAGAAGTGCTGCTGCAGGTGCAGTGCAGTGCAGGTTGCAGGTGCAGGTGTTGATCTGGCAAAGACCGTGTCATCAACATCAAGTTAGTTTTGTGGGTAGGGTTCAGTTAAACCAGTGAGAGTAGGGGGATTGGAATGGTTAGAGGAGTTAGAGGTTAGAGGGGTTACGAAGTAGAAGGGTTGGAAGGGTTGGTACCAAGTATGATGGTTAGACGTCGCATCGCTACCTAGGAGCCTAGGTAGGTAGTTATGGGTACCAGTATGAGTAAGTTGGTGGGATGCGATGGGATGCGATGGGTACCTAGAAACGGGTTCAGGTTGGGGGTTGGGTGCTACTGCTAAATCGAACGCTTCCAGCCTGGACAACGCTTGCAAACCTTCCCACACCCCCATCCCCATCCCCATCCACATCCACATCACATCCACATCCACGTCCACATCACATCCACATCACATCCACATCCCACCAAAAAGACTCGTGGATCATCATCACGTGGTGATCTGCGGAAAGGAACCTCACAGCTACCTAATAGCGTATTTCTCAGCATCAACACCAAAACTAGCCCTCCCTTAACATCACCCTGCGTATCTCTGAGCATTCCCACTCCCCTGTTCCTCCCCCCCCGGCCCTGCCGGTAGATGCGTGTGCAGACTCGTGTGCAGATTCGTGGACAGCACCAACTGTAACAAATCAGACACCCAAACTGCCCAGGGGTCCACGGGTTTCAGGGTAAACGAAAACGAGAAGGCGCTGGCGAATCGGAACCACCTGATTTCGCTTAAGAGGGCGACCATTGGGACTGGTCTAACCCGCCTGGAGAGTAGGGGAAAGTCAAACGAGCCATTTGACTTTTCAACCCTTCCCTTTCCGCACTTGCCGTAAGTGAACATGAATAGTACTCGTACTAAGTACAGTACAAACGAAGCTCATGCCCGTCTGATGATGAATCAGTCTGTTTGAGGAAGCTGGGAAGCTGGTGCGTGCTCTCTGTGGTGCCGAGTGAGCTCCTGGGAATGGTTGGCTGTACTCAAGTACGCGTAAAGAGAGATCTGATTAGATGGTGGCTCCTCGAGGATCAGGATGATCGCTGGATTTAGAGTTTACTAGTTTGTTCTCAGTTCGCTTTGTTCACAAGTAGAGTAGTCATATTGAGATAGCGAGAGATAAGGTAGGTAGCTCTAATCGAGAACAATATACTTTCGTACCTGACCCACTTGATTTGTTGGTATTGCCAAACTTTGCATCTTCGATTCTTCGTTTTACTGGAGTTCTGGTAGCATCACTTCCCCAGTGCTATTTGGCATAATTGGAATCACGACGGAAATTACGTTGTCCTCCTTCCCGTCCGAACAATTGGTATCATCTGTTGCAAGTTTGAGCTTATGGTACAGTACAGTACAGTACGAGTACTGTACTAGTACGCTCGTAAGTTCTAGTTGAATAACCTTCATGCTCGTGCTTGTTTTATGACAAACTTTAATTCGTCACGTTCTCTGAAACCACGTGACATGTTACTTTCCTGCCTCTCTTGGTTGTTTATCTTGTTCATCTCATATAAGGAATAATGGAGTTTGGTTTCGTCAAGTGCAGGTTGAAAGCATATGCCACGTGCATTGGTTCTCAGGCTATGCCCAGGAACTATGCGAATCTCCCGCAAATTCAAGGAAATAGGTTCAGAGTTCTGCTCTAGGTAAAGAAAAGATACGAATACGCTCAAGTCTTAAGGTTAAACCCCAAACTCTTCCTCAGAGCTCAAATAGATTTCTTCGGTCGAAAGGGACTAATAGAGTGGTTTTGCCGCGGGGGTTTTATGATATGAACAACGTTTGTTGGTGTGTATATAACTAAGTTTGCGATTTTTGTAGTTGTTTTATAACCTCGAATTATAAACCATTTTTATAAAAGTCGCTATAGGATTTGTATTACATCTCTAATATGATGCGAAGGTGGGAATAGCTTCAAATGTAAACCAGATACGAGGTACCTAAATAGGTAGCACGGTCACCAAAAACACTTAAATCAATTATAACATGTAGATTTTTTACAAAATTGATTTTTATATATTTAACAACCCTCGGTCCTCTCCTTCCTCCCCAAGTTGTAAATAGTGTTTTTAGCACGGATTGTGTCCACTTCTTGGAAGGTGCTCTCGGACGTTTATAATTACAAAATGCCGGTGGCAAAATCACTCTAAATGCTTATTCAAGATAAAGATAGGCGGAACACGAACACGAGAAACCAACAAGGAAGAGGGTTCGATTATGGGACGTGAAAAGTTATCTAATTCGCTTACGTCATCCTATATTTATACATACATGTGCTAATTCGCCTTTCAAAAATGGTACGTTATGCCTTGAATCATTTATAGAAATGTAATCTTTGTCTGTATGTTCGTTTTGGTCGCTTTGCTTCCTAGTCTTCTCATGTTTAAAATGTTTATTGTTCTATGAAGACGTGGTATGAATTCACAGCATGAAGATATTCAACGAGACAATAAACTCAATGCATGAATATTATTCCTTAACTTATAGTAGAAAACTGCAAAGATCATTATGATAGATAGTAATCATTGTGCCTTTCATAGATATCTTTCAATGGAGCTCAGTTTGGAGCATTTGGACCTATTGGCTGTACGTGTTGCGGGTACAACACATAAGGTAATAATCGCTTCAAAGATTTCCAACGTCGTCTTTCTACGGGGTATTCACTGAGCTAGTGCAAGTCCAATTAGATGAGTTTCGTCTATTGTTCTAAGCGAGATCCCCCCGGAATGTTCTAGGTACCACTGTCTCAATAAGCTAGTGAACAGGTTGTGTCAAAACAAAACACTCTATATGATTCTAAGTAAACTTGCACCCAAAATTTTGTAGCTACTATCGCCATTGTGGGAGTGAACAAGTTTAGTCAAAATGAAATTTCTTGAACAGTGAATGACTTTTGGATAGTTTGTAGTGTTAGTATTCACCTGGTATTGGAAGGGAAGCCATGTTGGGATTATTACAAATATGCATCCAAAGGTTCTGTTCTCGCCTTCTGATCTTTCTCTCAAAGAAGTCGGACAGTTACTTTCATCAAAACGTTCACGATTTCTAGAGTCTCACTGACAACCCAACAGAAAAACAATACCCCTAATTTCCAAGTAAGTGCATCAGAAGCTGGAAACAAGAAGGTCTCTCTATTCTAAATATATAGTAATTTATTACATAGGCTGACACTACCTCAGTCCCAATTCATTTACAACCATCTGACAAAATGTGTCGGCTCTATCACGTTAACTGTAGCTGCTTTCAACATAGAAGCGGTGATCCTCTCGCAGTACTAGGTTTTCCGAGAACAGTCGCAACCATTCTCGTCAACTGCGAGGACAATTCTCAAAGTCACTTTGGTTACAACCACTCAGTGGCTAATCCACCATGTCTATCCCAGCCAGCAACGACTCTAGTCCAGGACGGCTTCTGCTCCCATTGTCTCTCTTCTCGAACATGGACGGGAGTAGGTCCTCGACCAGATGCAGAGATGGTTGGAATTGGAGAGCAGATCGCTACCCATGCCGAAGAGTTCTCGACAATCTTCGGAAGATATTTGCGAAGTTTCGAATCCGGTATACCTGAGATCAACGCTTTCCGATTGTTCGACCGTCGAGTTCGAGAAACCTTCGATTACGTGTTCTTGGCTATCGCAAATCTCGCTTTTGAGATTTATCTCAGAGAATCGGATGCACGAGCACAAGGCGCGCGATATGTGTATCCAAATAAGAATGCGATTATTAATCTGTGGAAGCACCTGGGAGTTGTTCGACGGTACAATATGGTCGCGGAGGCTAACGCTCCAGTTCGAGAAGTGTCACCACCTCTTCCACAACTTCTCGAGCATGCCGAGCTTTCCGATCTGACCGAGGAGGACTGTTGTATCCGCGGCAATCCCATGGGTAGACGTCGAGAACGACAAGAAGACCAAAGAGCAGAGTATCCGTGCAAGACACCTTGTGGTCATGTATTTGGATACAATTGCATCTACAACTGGATCATCGGACACCAGAATCACAACTGTCCCATGTGTCGAGCGACATTTTCTCCATCGACGTATCAATTTCCAGACCAAGATGATGGATCTCGAATGTGGTTGGTGGTTCTGATACAGGATATAAATATCTATCCTACGCCTCCTCCTACATTGCCTCCCCCACGAACCCCCTCGTTGCCTCCGACCTTGGCTTCTTCATCCTCTCGAGGTGAATCGCGAAGAAATCTATCAAATTGAATGGTGAAATCCCACGCTGCTTCTCGGGTGTGGGGGCGTAAAGTCAAAGACTGGTCTCCTTGGATGCAGGTACGGAAAAAGGCCCGGGGAGAAGAAATCAGTGAAAGGAAATGTTGTGATTGGAGGCGACATGTAGAAGCAGGGAACGGTGGTATGAAAATTACATTTCTCTTTAGACCATATGAGAGGAATGCAAGGCTATGCTCATATATTTCAGAGGACTATCTATTTCAGTGGATTTGCTATTTCGTAGGGTTCGCCATGTAGCAGTGGGACAGGGCGACAATCGACAGGTCATTACGTAGATTAGAGGATTTCCTAGGATCTTATTAATAAACAAATAACTTACAAATCCTCTTTTCACATTTGAGTGTTTTTGCAGTGTATGTACGGAACGCTTATCGGACACTTCTATCAAAGTGAAAAAGTGAAAAACCAACTAAAAGAGCCTTAAACCGTTCCGCGTTCCGTATGTATGTAAAGACGGCAAGGTATAGAAATTCAATACTGTATTCACAACTTAGCGGCAGACTAGTTATTGGAAGAAGGAAGAAGGTGCAGCGATACGTCCCTTCCCCACCCGCGTCGTTAATCATGAAAGGATAAATAAGGCCAACTTCCTCCCATCTCTCCAGAATTGGAAGGTGTCCATTTATCTCGCTATGAAAGCAAACATATCAGTCGACAATACGGTGTCATATTTCAATTGTTTTACGGGTGGCCTCCAGAACAGTTGGGAGAGGAGAGGATATATCACGATCATTTTTTGAACGATAATTGACTGAACTACACCCTTATTAATCAGATATCGCTTAAACACCCCTTAGCTAATTCCCCACCAACTAAACAACCCTACAAAGCATGCCCACTTTTCAGAGCCCTCGTCAAGTATCAGCATGAAGTCGCAATCAATCGCCCACCCCGCATAGCGAAGTGAGAGGAGTAACGACCTCAAGTCTTGGTTACCATTCCTCGTTTTATTCTAACAATATATTTCGGACAAAAGCTGGAGTTGTGCGGTGTGAAACAATCTTGGCTCAGACTGCCTAAATCGTCACGTCACGATAGAGGTCGAGATTGTTTCGTCGCTTAGAGGAAGTTTCTCAAAACAAGTGCCTGGCGAGCTTGGCTGCAACCGAAACCCACCCTGTCTGGCAAGTAATGGACTACTCGAGTCTCGATATGATTGATAGTGCACAGCATGGTGATGACTGTTGGCATTCTGAGGCTGAAGGGGAATGCCGTGGGGGCCGTAAGGCCATCGCTATGTCATGTCAATACATCAACGGCAACGAAGTTGCCTACGAAGACCGCACAGTCAGTCACTGAGTGGCATTGCAAGGACGTAAGTACACCTATTAATAGCTGAGAAACAAAAATATATGACGAAATTCAAATTCAACTATACGATACAGTATATTACATATCGAGATATGCTACAGCTAATGTTCCGAAACAAAGACACCTGCCATGCCCATACCCTAGTTCAAGTCAGTATCACAAACATGGTCATGCGTGAGAGCCGAGGAGGAAGACTTCAAACTTACAGTGCCAACACACATCGAGGTAATAGCTATCCTCTTATCCGTTCTTCTCAGCTCGGATAGTGCCGTAACAACCTGTCTTGCACCCGTACAGCCCAGCGGATGGCCAAGAGCACTAGGAAATATCAGTATCAGCTTCCCCGCAGCACCATTGATGACTTACATGGCTCCTCCTCTTGGGTTAACCTTATCGGGGTTCAATCCCAATTTATCAACACAGTAGACTCCCATGCTAGCGAAAGCCTCGTTGATTTCAAATACGTCCACATCTTCGATCCTCAAGCCCAATTTTCCAAGGATCTTGGGGATCGCATAGCTAGGTCCGATACCCATGATTCTCGGCTCCAGTCCAACAACCGTCGCACCGCAGAACTTACCTACGATAGGCTGGCCAAGCTCCAGAGCACGAGAACGCTTCATGAGGAGAAGGGCTGCTGCTCCATCGGTGAGTTGCGAAGCATTTCCTCCGGTTGTAGCACTTGGCGCCCATTGTGGGAATGCTGCTCGGATTTTGCTTAGGGATTCTGCTGTTGTTCCAGCGCGAACTCCATCATCTCCCTTGATAATCTTCTCTTCGACTACTCCCGTCTTTGGGTCTGTGACTTTGACTTTGATGGGAATGATTTCGTCCGCGACCCATCCCTCCTTTTGAGCCTTCTCGGCTCGTTGATAACTTCTCGCAGCAAATTTATCCATCATCTCTCTGGTTACGCCAAAGTCCCCAGCAACGTTTTCACTAGTCTGTCCCATCGATTGTGTGTTCTGGCCTGCGATTGGATGCTTGATGATTTTCTCGCTCATCCAGGATGGTGCTCCATCGTCGGGGCATGTGCTCATGCTCTCTGCCCCAATAGCAATACCGACATCAATTGAGCCGGCAACGATTTGATTCGCGATATTTTGAACGGCAAGCAGACCGGAAGAGCAGAATCGATTTGTGACCGAGGCCGCTGTTCCTATTGGAAAGCCTGCTGCAAGGACGGAGCATCGTGCGACATATCCTTGGGCTGGTGCAAGTACGTTTCCTAAGCAGACATCTTCGACGAGATTTGGGTCGATTTTGGAACGTTCTCGTACTTCCTGATAGTGAATTAGAGAGATACTGAGAGAAGTAGGTGGTGCAAAATACCGTTAGTAAAGAAATCAGGAGTTCATCAATTCGAGTGTCTTTGAGGCCACCCTTCTTTGCTTTTGTTAATGGTGTACGAGCGGCAAAGGTAATGACCTAAATGTTGACATTAGTTTATGCTTTTCCTATTGGCTTGAGCGTACTCACGATGTCATCCGGGCTCTTCTGCAGAAGCTGGGATTTACCCGATGTTGCAGGAGACAAATGTCCCATCACAGAAGAAAGTCGTCCTTGAGCAGCAGACATTTTGGGTTATGTTTTGGCGAAAAATGTTGGTACAGAGATGAACTTTCATTAGAACAGGAACGCGGTCAAGAAGAGAAAGGTCAACCGGTGAAGTGTTTCAACGGATTGGTGGACGTGACCCGCATAGTAATATACGCGGGGTACGAGCTGCGGCAGTTATCAAACCAGGTGTGTCAAGCTGTCAATTTGCTGAATGTGGGGACTACCAAGGCCCCGCATGGTAAGCCAAGAGGGCCCCGCCAGATTGGAACTGTCCACCACGGGGGCTAGCGGTAGATATCCCCGGCAAGTCCCTAAGCTATGCGTGAGCCTTTATGAGCTGGACTTTCGTGTTCTCTGTTCACTTCATGTTCACTCATTCTAGGGAATTCAAACTTCAAAATTGACTAATTCTTGTACCAACGCGGAGCAAAACTCTACAGCGGATCTCAATCGAAAGATGGACCCAATACTAGGGACAGTGACGGGTGCTGCCGTGGTGGCGGCGGGAGCTTACCTTAATGCAAAACTGTCAATTGGGACTGATATGAAGCGGTTAAGGATCGAACGAACGGTGGGAAACAGAATGGGTGATCGGATCAAAGACTTGGGCGTCAAATGTTCTTTCTATGGCATGTTTGAAAGAGTCGATCCAAATGTGGAATTCTTGTGGTAAGCCCAAAAGCCCCCATCTCGAACTAATGAAGAAACTAATCATATTTTAATCAACAGGTTTGAACACCGCATTTGGACATATGGGGAAGTCAAAAAAGGTAGACCTTGAGCCTAAACCCCACTTGACGGCACTGAAGCTAACCTTGAAAAAGATGTTGACAAATTCGCTGAGTTTCTGGCGAGCGAGGGCATAAAAAAAGGGGATTTCGTGGGGGTGTTCATGAGTAACTCCCCAGAAATGGTGGTTGCAATCCTTGCCTTGTCAAAGCTTGCTGCTATTGGGGCCTTGATTAATGTAAATCTTCGAGGTTTGTATACATTAAAGTATGGTAACATTTCCCTGCTAACGAGAGTTAGACGCTACGTTAAAGCACTGTATGAATGTTTCAACAGCCCAAATAATACTCTCAACACCAGATCTGGCCCAGTTCATCGAGGATGACGTACGACATTACTCACTAAACATGTCGTCGTTTAATTCCGTGGCGATGGAACCGAAAGATTCAATAAGGTTTATCAACTTGGACGACTTACCAACCCCACATGGTGTTACCCCTGCTGCATCTTCCACCATTCAAGACATTGCAGTCCTCATCTACACATCCGGAACGACAGGAAAACCCAAAGCATGTGCAATCAAGAATTTTCTGGTGATGGTCACTTCTACACCTCTGACCCAAGATCTGGACGATGTCAATAAGTACTTCCCTCTCCGGACATACTCACCACTTCCATTATTCCACGGCACTGCCATCTTTACGGCTTTGAGTTACAGTCTTGGTACCGGCTCTACCGTGTGCTTAGCTCGAAAATTCTCGACGTCTCGATTTTGGAAGGACGTGACCGACTCAGGAGCCACTCGTATCTTGTACGTTGGCGAATTATGTCGATATCTAGTCAACGGACCCACAACGCCATACGATAAAGCACACAAGTGCATCGTTGCATCAGGAAACGGTCTGAGAGGTGAAATTTGGGACAAGTTCAAGGAGCGATTTGGTATCCCAGAAGTTCGGGAATTCTATCGATCAACGGAAGGAGTAGCGAAATTCGACAACTTCAACACTGGTGCTTGGGGTGTCGGCAAAGTCGGATTTTCTGGCCCAATCAAACGATTCTTAGAGAAAGACACATATATTGTGCTCGTCGATCCCCAAACCGAAGCTCCATATCGGGATCCCAAGACGGGTTTCTGCGTTAGAGCAAACTTGGACCAAGCGGGGGAAGCTATTGGGCGCGTAAGAAATAGGGCTCTACTTATTGAGTATCTTAACAACCCCTCGGCTACGGAAGAGAAGATTATTACGGATGTATTCGAGAAAGGTGATATGTTCCAGAGAACAGGCGACTTGGTGATTCAGGATGAAGATGGATGGGTACGATTCCACGACCGAATGGGCGACACTTTCCGGTGGAAGGGTGAGAATGTGAGTGCGGGAGAGGTGAGAGACCATTTGGCAGAACTACCGGGTGTTATTGATGCTGTTGTGTATGGAGTGAAACTTCCAAGGTAAATGCCCCCCTTCGTGTGTCTAACACGCAAACCTTGCTAACGATGCTTGTAGTTATGATGGCCAAGCTGGTGCAGCTGCAATCACATTAGATACCCAATCTGAGGGACCCTTCATGGCGGGTCTTCACGCTGGACTCAAGAAGACTGGACTTCCAGCCTACGCAATGCCACGGCTTGTAAGAATTACTCCACAGTAAGTTGTGACAACCCGCCATTACTTATGTCTATAGAGTATTGACATGGTATGACTAGAATCGAAGAAAATGCGACCTTCAAGAAGTCGAAGGGCGATCTGATAAAGAAGAGCTGGATTTCGAGCGATCCGGGAAATGCAAAGGATAAGCTCTACTGGCTTAATGGAACTGTGTATGAAAAGTTGGACAGTGGGAGCTGGGGTACAATCGAAACTGGAAAGGCCAAGTTGTGAAGAAGTCGGTATTTGGATTGACCTAGAAGCAAATTCAGGAGTTGGGAAAAGGATGTAGAATGTATATCAGTCGCAATTGGTCATAGGTCACCAAGAGATGTAAGAGTCTGTATGTTTAGTTTGTTTGACTTTGAGCTCAGGAACTTATGTCGAATAATCTTGAAAGCTACCTACAGTTGAATTGCACTCCTCTTATTCTGCGGGAATTCACTTGTAGAGAAGGGTGAAAAATAGAGGCAAAGCTCTCGTGGCCATTAATTTCTCAAAGCTGCAATGCTGTAGCCTGTAGATATTTGCACTTCGAAAAAGGAAGCAATTCGTCACTCACGAGGTTGGGGAGCTCTTTCCAGAATCAATCCCTTTCACCCTCGTCATATTTTGACAGTATATACTCACTTATTTCCGAATATTATTCCGTAGGATCTATCTTGGAAAGGGTTGAGCTGGAAGCGAGAAGATCGGGAACATGCCATCGGGTCACGTGTGACGAGAGCTGGCGCGGGAAGCCTGAGGTCCACCTCCATGCTGGAACCCGACCCGACAATCACTCCCCTGCCACAGCTTCCCATTCCCATTCTCATGGCTGCCCCATGAATAGCGGTCACTCAACCAATCTGGTGATCAAGCCCACGTTGGCAATGCAGCTCCCCAACATCGTCGTCGAGCAGGCTGAGACCGGAAAATCGGTCTTTACATCTTGACTCGTACCCAAGTACTCGTATAATCGCCGTTGGAGTGGGGTGGGGTCCCGGCGAAGAAATTGCGATCCATTTCCCTCTCTTGAGCCCTTCTTACTTACCGTGAGTCGCAGACGCAGTTCAATTGTGCAGCTTCGAACACCAGACCTCACCATATTGAACGAAGAAGCACAGGTCAGGGCAGCGGGTGGCTGATCCCAAACACAGGAGGATCTTGGTCAATTTCACACTCTCTCGCAACTGTAGCTAGCTTCTGCGACAAGAACAACCTTTCCTTTTTCTACCGAATTACCTCTTGCCTCCACAACTTCACGCACACCAGCAAAGCCCAGTTCCTACTTCTGGGCTCGAATCCTCCCTGTTGGAGCTTTTCCCTCCTCCACCCAGCAGTCCCCATCCATTATGGAAGCCAGGCACATCCGCGGGATGACCCCAGTATTCGATACTTCAGCTCCGCACCTAACTTGACACCCAACTGGTTCGGCGGGGCCAGCGAGGCGACAATATATTCCTCATGAGCGTAGAACAGCAGGAGATAAGAGCCAGACTGGGGGCTTGTAGCTACATCATGGATGCGCCGATTATCAATTTCACTATAGTCCAGTTTGACCGATTCCCTTGACTTGAAGAAACTCCGGGCCCGACAGTTTGAAGGAGTGCACATTGTTGTCTTCGATATGTCCGGAGTTTGGCTATTTCACAAGGTACCAATATACACAGACAAGATTCTGACGAATTTGGCAGAACCGGGTTGCGCGGGGACGAGCTGCTACATAGATGAGACAATCATACCGCAAATTTTGGGCTTTGATGTGTTATTATATTGCTCGTATTGCTCGCCAGCATGATCTGAGCGCATGTGGCATATAAGATTGACCGAGGGACGAGACTGATCGTGGCATGTTATAAAGCACCCCAGGCCCGTCGAGCCAACATGCACGATACATACTAGGATGAGACTGAGGGCGAAATATTGTTTCTGTTAAAGGATGAGGTGGAAGACATTTATTTCCTCCAAGGTAACCAAGAGACGGCGATATTCTCTGGGAGTGATCTGAAAGCTGGACTTAAAGAGGTTGACAATGATTGGAAACCATTGCCGCCGATTCCTGCCAGAACCTCAAAGTGAGATGTCATCAGCCGATGGAAACAATTGGATATCCGAGCTGGATCTTTTGACGCCACGAGAGCGACTGGTAGAGAGCAGCTCCAAGTAAAGAATGCTACAGAAGTAGAGTCTTCATCTGTTCATTGTAAATTTTCGAGTTTATCCCTGATCACATTTTACCAGCAGTTTTTACAACCATTCGAGATATATGGACAAGCGTCAAACCCCCACTTTTCCGGTGTATGATTTCGTTCGTCCCCGTTTGTCTTTTGTGTTGAATCATTTTTTTTTCATTTTTGCCAATATCCAATTCAAGAACAAAGTGGCGCCAGCTCGAAGATTCGTTGCATGTCGCACTTCTGTGGCGGTGCTTGACTGTGGAGTCATGTCCTCGAAATTTTTCGAAAAAAGGAGGCTTGTGAGACTAGAGCGTTTGTTGCATATCGCAAGAATTGACGCCTGGGCGCCTGGGGCTCGTTCCAAGTTTAAAGACGCTTTGATTATGACCTTCATTCACATTCTCTTCCACGTTTGTATATTTCAATACGTTTTAATGTCACCATAGTTGGTAACAGATTTTTGTTGTTCGGGAGAAATGTATGAGAGACTTGTAAGATTACAGTTACTTCCACTTTGCTTTCATTTATTCCAGAGCTATGGAATTGACCAATGTTCCAAGTCCATGACTGATCCAAACTCGCAAATCCGCACCTTCAGTCAGGTATGCGGGTGGTTTATGACTATGTCCAATACCAGCTGGCGTACCTGTCAAGATGACCGTACCCTTGGGTATTGTAGTACCGACAGACAAGTACGCAATGATTTCAGCGACGGAAAATATCATATTCTCCGTCTTGCCATCTTGCAGTGTTTTACCACCCAAGACAGTTTTTAGCAGCAGAACAGATGGGTCTGGGATATTCTTCGTCGATACCAAAGTTGGAACAACGGGACAGAAGCCATCAAACCCTTTACAGTATCCCCACTGTGAGGTTCTGGGTTGAAGACCTCGGGAGGTTACGTCGTTGGCGGTCATGTGTCCTAATACATAGTCCAGCGCTTCAGCAGATGTGACATTCTTACAGTCTTTGGAGATGACTAGGGCGAGTTCTACTTCGCCATCTGCTCCTTCGGCCGCGGCGGAGGGGATTAGTATTGGAGCTGTGGGGGAGTTCAGGGTGGATGCTGGTTTCATGAAGAGATCTGGGTTTTCTGGAAGGGAGAAATTTAGTTCTGCCTATGAAATCGAGGTTAGTTACTTGTCTTGCTTTTTGGTACTTATTTAGGTACTTACGGCGTGGTCTTTGTAGTTCAGTCCTATGCATCGGATTGTTCCTACTTCTTGCGCCGAGACAGGGGAAAGTAACTATACAGTTGTTCAAAAAACTACACCTATTTATTTCGTTGATGCTTAACGAACCTCTTTTATAGTTTTCACTTCCCCGGTGAAGCTTGCGGGAATGTCTAATGCGGACTTGGTGTCGAGGACTTTGACGAGGACTTCTTGTTTCGCGAGGATGGCGAGTCCAACTTGAAGATTGTTAGTGAGACATTGTGGGTTTGTTATTGGGGGAGTTAATAATACCGTCGATTTCTGGGTCTACGGGCTCACCACAATATTGTGCGTTGTCTGTTGCGATGAAACGGACTAGACGGCCCCAGGTCTGGGTTTGTGTGTTAGTCTTTAGAGGAAAGAGGGTGGCCAGAAATATATTCCAGGCGGTCTGAGAACTGAAAATCCGATTTTATAATTATGAATCGTTGGGAGCATTCGGAATAACTGCTCGTGAGCATCCTAAGACCTTTCTGTGGGACTTACTGGAATTGACATATTGGAATGAACTCAGTACAGCACTATCTACATATGAAATCTTTTGCGAAATTGCTGTACGGCATGAGAAAATACTTGACTTACCTTTTCGCCAGATTTTCAACATCCATTTATGCCTCTTGAAATCTATCACTCTTGAATTGGTAATTTTCGGTATATGGAATGCTTACGTTGAGGTTGGCCGCCGTATCACAAAGGATGGGGGTATCGTCGGCCAAGGTACCGATGTAGTGCGGGGCAGGAAAGGGAGATCGACCGGTACAACGGGCATGGGAAGTCTGTAAAGTGGGATTTTGGATCCACGTTGACTTGGGGAGTAGCCTATCATACATCTCGAATGCCTATTCATGGCTTACAGCCGACTGTGAGACATATCTGTCTTGTGGAGCCTCGAATCATCGTTGATACTGAGAGGGAAAGCAGGTTATCGTTTTTCTTTTCCTGTCGAGATAAGCACAGCTGGTCGACTTTGGGTTACCATGAACCACACACGGTCTGACAAATTGGGCCGGGGGGTGTCCTCGTATAAAGCTGGTGGGTAGGTGGGTTGTGCCCGAGCGATTGTGTGACTTTTTCTATTACTTTATCTTCTGGGATGTTGTGGAGAAGAGGGGATTCGAGATTGATGAAATACAGTACGTAAGAGTGAGAAGGGTACCTACAATACGACTTCGTGTCGTTTAATTCACGCTCCGTTGGTTCTATACTCAACATAATCATGATGGAAGCTTCCATCAAAAATGAAAAGGTGGATGTAATCACGCCTCAAACTGATGTCGAAATCGGCCCTGTCATCGATCCCGCGAGGGAGCGAAAGTTAATCCTGAAACTCGACTTGTTTATTGCTCCAGTGTGTACTCTCATCTTCCTAGCTGCTTACCTGGATCGGTCAAATATTGGTAATGCGGCTTCGGCTGGAATGACGAAAGACCTGAATATGGACGGTGGTCAACTTGGAAGTAAGTCGTTTCCTGTAGTCAAATGTAAATTATCAACTGATGCCAAAACAGATGCCATAACTCTCTTCTACGTCTTATATGTCTCCGCAGAAGTTCCTTGCTCGCTTGTGTTGAAGAAATTCCATCCTAGTGAAAACCCCAAGAGCCCAATCTCTTAAGACCTCTGAACTAATCATGTTTTCAAAGGTCGTCTAATACCAGCTCTCATGTTTTGCTGGTCTATCGTTCTTATCGGCATGGGATTTATCCAGACTGCGAACCAACTGTATGCTTGTCGCCTCCTCCTAGGTCTCTTCGAGTCCGGAATGTTCCCATGTCTCGCTCTGTACCTGAGCACTTTCTATCTCCCAGCCGAACAAGCAGTCCGCGTCTCCTACTTGTTCGTCTCAGCAGCCTTATCTGGTTCCTTCGGTGGACTTTTCGCCTACGCGCTCCTCAAAATGGACGGCGTAGCCGGCCTCGAAGGTTGGAGATGGCTCTACATAATCGAAGGCTGCGTCACAGTTGGCATTTCAATAGCCATAGTCTTTCTCCTCCCGGACAACTTCGAAAGCGCCTACTTCCTCAACGAAGAAGACCGCGTCCTCATGCGCATCCGCGCCGATCTCAATGCGCGCTACAACGGCAAACCCGACTTCGAATGGCGCGAAGTGAGGAAAGCACTCACCGACATGAAACTCTACATCAGCTGCTGGTCCCAATTCTGGGGGGACATCTGCCTGTTTGGAATCTCCTCTTTCCTACCGCTGATCATCAAAGGCTTCGGATATGACACGGTGACGACGCAACTTCTCACCATCCCGGTCTTCGCCTGGGCTTCTGCGGCGTATCTCTTTGTTTCCTGGCTCTCGGATCGTTATAAGCGACGATATTTCTTCATGGTGCCCGCGGTGTTACTTTCGGCTGTGGGATATGCTGTCAACCTGGGAGTTTCGGAGCAGAACAGGGGAGTGCTGTATTTTTCGACCTTCTTGATTGCGCCGGGGATTTATATCATTGTGGGGATTAATTGTACTTGGTTGCTTAACTCGCATGCGGGGTATTATAAGAGGGCTACGGCGATTGGGATGAATCAGGCGCTGGGAAATACCTCGGGTATTGTTGTGAGTTTCCCATGTTTCTTCTCCCTTCGCGCAATTGGATCATAAATCATCTTGTTTCTTGTACTGAGTCGTATGTAGGTTGGACAGATCTTCAAAACGACGGTTCATGGTAAGTACCTTTTGGGATTGAGCTTCTCGCTTGGCGCAGTTTTGCTAGCGGGTCTTGGACATATGGTTCTTTACTTTCATTTTTCAAGGGAGAATAAGAGGAGGGATGAGATGGATGATGAGAAGAGGGAGTATGAGATTCTCAATGGGACGGGAGGGGATTTTCATCCGGATTATAGGTATGCTTTATAGCGGCTTTGCTTGGTGGTGGCACAGTTAGTCAGGGGCGCATTGCAAGTATGTTTTCATTGATTTTTATAATGAATTGCGCGATGATAAGTGCATTACAAGCTGATTATACACTGTTGGTGTGTAGGGCTAGCTGTCAGTAAGCTAGCTACCGGTTTGACTCGAACATGAATAAAAGGGCATGGATGAGATAGTCACAAAAAGGGGTTTTCGGTAGACTCATCATTTAAACTTACAAGAAAATATAGTGCCAGATGACCACTTCAGTTACATGACTCACAAGAAACTAAGATACCCACAAAGTATCTACAGTACTATTCAATCAAGTTCCTAGAGAAGCCCCCCTTAGTAGAAACGAGATTGATCAATGATACACTACACAGCATTCTTAGCAGCGTTGATGTCGCCATTGGTCCTAGACTACTCATGGCACCCCCAATTATCTCGCTCTTCACCACTTTTCCGACTCATAACCTGTGCACCACCTCAGAACTCACATCATAAATAACAAGGATCATCGGAACCAAATATATGGGCGAATGGAATGATGATTCGCTGCGTCAACAAGTCGGGACGGCATGCTCGCAGATACTTGTACTACTAATCCGTGCGGTTCTCAGCCTTTACTCGTACAGCAGCCGAAATTGGACGACGGACGAAGGGAATCCTTACTAGGAGCTCGGGAGTTCGAGTTGGTTGATACTTTATCGTTCATTCCTGATCTGGAAGAAGAACCTTGGAACCTCGAGTATTCGGTGGGAAATTAAATCGCTGTATAAACATTTTAAGCGCTAGAAAAATAGCTGGTGACACCTTGAATTAGGATTAGATAAGATTCATTATGGCGATAGAGAAGAAAAGCCACAAAAGAGATCCATTTGGAGCGGGAGGTGATATCTCCCAGAATGAACTCGCAATCATACATTTGTGCTCCAGTGGCTTGAGCTGTTCCATGAAGATTCCGCTAGAGGTACCCTAGCCGTAAAGACAAAGTATCTTCATGTTAAGATACTCTGCTGATAGTTGTTATGTGCTGCGGAAAAGGCGAATGAGCGTACTTGTAAAGAACTATCAGCAAGCCGCTTGAGAAACACTCTTTTTTGTCTCTTAAGGGGAATTGAAGGTGATTTACCTGTGCTTACGAAGGTTGTGATGTATGAATTCAGCACCCCTCTCTGGTCGTATATGCACCTGACCTTGGATGTATTGGATTTTGTATCGTAGGCCAGAAGCATGTAGTCACCATCATATATAATGGCTTGCCTTGTAGTTTTCAGCATCTCTTGGTGTGAGGTATTGTCACTGCAAGTGTTGGTTTGTCCCACAACCTCGCTTAATTAACACAGGGGCATGTCACATGATAGGGCAGATCTTTTTAGAGGTGAAGAGACATTATAGAGCGACTGCATTGAAATGTCAACCTAACTAGAAAAGGAGTCATTTCTGAGCCTGCCAATTAACCTGAGCTTTTAGACTAGGTCGTCTTGAACGCATTGAAAATCTTCAGCATAAATATTCACAAGCAGCAGTGGCGGATATTGCTAACTCATACACCTTCAAAACTATCGCTCCTTGAATCCACACTCGGACCATTGAAAAATCCCAGGCAATCTCGTTCACGACATTCAGGAGACTTTCTGGATCACATACGTCACACGAATAGGTGACAGGCTGCAGCAGCATTCAGACCTTGTCAGCGCAGAGGCTTCGAGTGAATGTAGTGCTATATCACTCATGCCCCTGATCTTGAGATAGGGGGGATAATTCAAGCTTCTTGTATCACTATTCGAATCTCGATGCTACGATTTACTTCACCCAAACCACCAACGAAAACTGAGGCCGACCTGGGATATTGTTCCAGAGGATGGGAAACCGTGGTATACATGGCACCTTCTCCTTATCATTCACATTAACCACTAGCTTGCCGCGTTTTCGCCAGTTCGAATTGTTCGAACTGCCTTTTCTGTATCCGAAAATTGCGGCATTGTGGTTGGCTCCTTGAGCATCCCTACATACCATCATGAGTCCTGCGGATTTTGACGGATAATAAAGTATCTTCATTGAATACTGCATTTCCGATAGGCCGCGGGCATTTTGTCTGTGTTAACGTGTTGCTCCTCACGAGGTGTCGCCCAAATACCAATCTGCCAGAAGCTCTTCCCGCTAAGGTCGAATGGCGGGAGTTGGATGTGTTATTTGACGCTGTAAAGGTTGAGAGAGGATTTGTGGGTCATGTGAGCGGTTGAGGGTTGGAGAGCGAGTGAATGTAATGGTTGAGGAATGCAATGTAGTACCACTGTGGCCACATACTCACTATCGCATCCTTGGTATCGCGTAGACTCGCTGGAGTATAATGTTTGTACTCTCGTATACCCGTTCGATTCTATGGCTCTTTCTGGACTAAGCGACTTTTTCGATTTGGAATTTCCAAATTGGTATTTACTACATTTGACCTCTTAGTACCACATGGTAAGATTGCCGAAGATAGGGGCTGCATGATTACAAGAGAGAAACTTGAGGGGTGTGGCCATGCTGTTCATGCATTGAGTAATATGAAGAAGTAATAGGGAATCTTCGAGAGATCCAAGCATAGCACCTAGCCTTATACTGGCATATCCACTGTATTCACTATCGCTTAGCTCCCCCATTCCAACAAGTCCTTTACACACCCAATGTCTCCGACAAACTCTCGATATATCCACATCTCTCCAAAAGATTCTCCTTCATCACCTGAAGCCTCAAAGCCTCTGACAAAAGAGCCGGCTCAGCCATCTCTCTAAACTCAAGAATCTTCTGTCCATCCAACTCTCCCATCCATCCCTCACTCTCGTACGCCTCTTTAAAACCAGGATCCATTACCGAAGCAGGACAAGTACCAAGCGGGCCGCCAATAACCTGAATCACAAAGCTATCCAAATCAGAAAGATCTCTTCCATTTCCGAAGGCTTCTGGCCAGGTCTCAAATCCCTTTCCTAAGCTAGGATCCTCTGCGATGGGATTTCCTGTATATGCGAAATTGATAAAGCTCCTTGAGAAACTCTCCGATAGCTCTTTGTCTGGCGTCGAAACGTCGCCCTCGGGGAATAAACCACTGAAGATGTAGTTTGTATCTGAGCCATGGGGGACACTGATATACGGCATTCCCGCACCGTGAAACATGGGTGTCAAAATACTTTGGTTCAGAGAATACAAGCGGACAGCATCGAAATTCGGATCCAGGGTAGCCCGCGTCTGTTTTGTCATTTCGTAGCTGAAATTGATCGACGAACATGTGAAAAGGAGGTCTCTGAGAATCCGCGAGAGGCGGAAGAAATGGACCGAGATTTCGGGATCTTGGGGTGTCTTTCGGCTTTGGTAGTTACTTAGTTCTTCCTCAAAGGAAGGCACTGGGTATAAGTGCAATAAATGAGATATTTGATCTGCTGTTAGAGCCGCTGAGAACGTTTTCAGAGTCTTCGCTATGTCTCCTTCGGTTTGGATTAAGTGACCTGGTCCGGCATTTGTGGCTCCATCTTCCTTGAGTCCATCCCAAAACCATGCGAATGCCTAAAAAATAGTAAGAAACGAGCCCCAAAATGGAATAATAGACAAACCTTTCACAAATCTACCTGAGCTAACCAATTTCGACTGACTATCCGGCAGAAAATCATCATCGACAGATGGAACGAAAGTAAACAAGCCAGCCGGGGGAAAGTTGGAGACCGAATATTGAAGTGCAGCATGAAGAAGTTCTTGCATCGGAACCGCTCGTAAGCACTCCACCAGTGCCAAATCCGGCAGGTCGGCACATCCAACCTCCTTTCCTACAGCCGCGGTATGTAGCGCCGTCACCTCGCTCGTCATATTCAAAGCCGTTCCAGGAGGCCCTGACATGACCCAAGCCTGTTGAAACGGCACTCCCTTCTCTCCTCCATATACCATGGCCTGCAAAGAAATAGATGTTGCCCCTGCACTCAAACCATAAACAGTGATACGATCTGGATCACCTCCAAAATCCTGGATATGAGCTTGAATCCATTCCAGCCCCAAACGCTGGTCTCTCATTCCAACATTCAAAGACTTTTGATCCTTCAGCAGAGGCAGGCGTGCAAATCCAAAGATCGAGAGTCGATAGTTAATCGCTGCAAAGATGATCGGTTTCCCATCCATGAGAGATAATTTAACCAGATTGTGAGGGTCGGTATGAGGGTCGGTATGAGGGTCATACGCCGAGCCTTTCACAACACCCCCTCCATGAATCCATACGACAACAGGTATCTTGCTTTCCCGCGTCAGTTTCAATCCGGCAGGTCGTGCTATCCGAAGATGGAGACAGTCCTCGCTCATCTCTGTCGTCTCAGAGAAGAACGGTGGCATCGCAACCTGGTGTTGAGGACATGATGGACCAGGAGTTTTCGCATCGATAATTGTATTTTCCGGAGGCAGATATGGCTCAGGAGGAGCGAATCGTCGCTCTCCAGAGGTATCATGTGCATATTTTATATTTTGAAACTGTTCGACTAAATCGGAGGCAGTTCCACGATATGTCACTCCGGTTTTGTCAATTGAAATAGAGCGTTCAGCCCATACAATAGTGAGATGGTGAGAAGTCAAGATTAAGAGGCATGATTTAGATAACTTCATTATGTTTGCTTGGAGTAAGTACACAGTGATTGAAAGATAGTAAGACGTGAGGAGAGCTCAATTTCAAACTCCCAAAATGACGTGGACGTCCGCCACAGGTGTTGGACTTATGTTGGTGATCTTGTACAAAAGGGGCATAGTAGAGACCGCCCCCAGTGAATGCCCGCCCGTACACAAAGCTATTAGAGATACAAAAACCTCAATTCATATAGATGGAGGCCTTGTCAACTTCATTTGCTTCTTACAGTCCATATACTTACTCTACTGCACTAACCTCTAAATACTCCCCACACAACAGAAAAATAAACAGCAACAAACAAAAACACCACCCACCCAACGGTCCCAAACCCTCCCCAACAGAATAACTACAGTACTTACAGTACACACCCCTCATCCTCATAAATCCCCACAAATCCTCATAGATTCTCATACACACTCTCCAACAATCCAAAGCACCAAAACTGATTTCCAGCAAACTAGTTATTACAGTAACCCCCCCGTAACCACTAGGCCAAACCTTCATGCCTCAACCTCTCTCAAAATAAAAAGAACACGACTTAAGTCTTAATCCCAACCAATCAAGGCTCATCATCTAGGATCAAATGACTAAAACTAATATAAACTTAGGAATGAGATCGAATCATAAAATAATGAACGTAAGCGCTAGCGATAGTATAGGCATTTCTAGTACCTAAAATTACATCTGTGGGTCCATGTATGATACGCCGTTCGAGCATCATAGTATTAGAATTTGGAAGAGTGGGGGATGCAGTGGAAAGGGTGAATTCTACATGTAGTCTTAACGCCTTTTCAGGCGCAGGTGAGATGGAATTAAAAAAAAGAGGCTAGTCTTACAAAAGTAGACAATCTAAGCAAAGCGGGTTTTTATCTTTCGTTCGTCTAATAAACATTCCACTTCCCGCCACTAAATCTTTTCGTTCCGTAAGCTATTGTGGCCCAGTACATAGGCAAATTGTTATCTTTCCACTAAAAAACGCCAGCCAAATAATTCGGACTAATACCCAGTCCCACCATTTATTTTCCCATGCAAATCGCTTAACTTGGATATCTCTCTAATTTTTCCTTCCCCCCAGTTCCGTTTACATGCGTTCCACAGGAGACAGTCCTAATAAACGCATACCATTATTCAACACAATACGAGCAGCGTCATACAACGCCATGCGAGCCTTCATCAACTCTGGCTCACTGCCTACGATGCGGAGGTGATCGTAACTCGAACTTAAAGCATGTGTCATCTTGAACAGGTAAGTGAGCACAGTAGTTGGCTCCAACGTCTTCAAGGTGTTTTGCACAACGTCTGGGTATTGAGAGATGACACGGATCAAGTTGAGAGCATGAGACTCGGTAAGAAGGCTTAGGTTTGCGGAAGCAACTTCTTCCGTAGAGAGTCCAGCCTTTCGTGTGATAGAACAGAGTCGAGCGTGAGCGTATTGAAGGTATGGACCAGTGTCTCCCTCAAAAGACGTCATGGCATCCATGTTGAACTCATAGTTGTTGATTCTAGAGCCCATATGTTAGTAAAGGTTCGCGATTGTGAAAATGAGTGCAAAGCCTACCGTTTTCCGCTCATGTCCTGGACCATAACAGAGCTGATACCGAGAATGTCGGCTGTTGCTAAAGGATTCTCAACTTGCTCATACTTGGCTTGATTTTTCTGCATCACTTCATGCATCTTCTCGCCTACATCTCGCAAGATATCATCCAAAAATTTGACAGTACCCTTTCGAGTGCTCATTCCCAAGACCATACCAAAATTGATATGCTGGACTTTCTTAGCGAGATCTTTATAGCCCATCAACTCGATAATCTTGAAGAGTTGTTTAAGATGAAGATCCTGTTGTGATGCTACAACGTAGATCATATGGTCGAAATTGTACTTCTCCACACGTTGTAGCATTTCACTAATATCTCGGGTGAGATAAAGTGCAGTGCCATCCTTCTTTTTGATAATCGGTCGCTCGAGACTTTTGCCAGCCTTTCCTTCGACGTGCTTGGTGAAATCTACAATTATGGCCCCTTCAGATTCCTCGGAAACACCCATCTCTTCCATTTTCTTGCCGGCCTTGTCCATGTTTTCTTGCTTTACTTGACTTTCACCAGAGTAGTCGTCGAAGTGGATGTTCAATCGAGCATAAGTCTCTTTGTAGCGTTTGATGCTCAACTCTCGGAATCGCGCCCATTGCTCAATGGCTTTCGCATCGTTTTCTGTCATAGCTTTGAAGTATCGGCGGGCTTGCTCGTCTAATCCTTCATCTTCGATATGCGAAATGTCTTTTCCCGCTTCTTTCAACGCCTTCATCTCGTCCTTCTCAGCAGCCAAATCTTTTGAAATTGCAACGTAGATTTGGAAGAGATGGTTGATTGGATCGGCTTGGAGTGCTTCTTCGCTGCCATACTTTTCAAATCCCAGAGCCAGCAATCCGTATTGTTTACCCCAATCTCCAAGATAATTGATTCGAACAACATCCCAACCTGCTGCCTCGTATATGTTTGACAAGAAACCACCAATGATTGTACTTCGAAGATGGCCCGCGTGAAATGGTTTGGCAATATTTGGAGAAGAGAACTCGACAATCATTCGTTTGCGCCCTTTCGATGGACCCTCTGGGTCCTTTAAGCCTATAAATTGATTTTGTCCAAAAACCTTTCCTCGGGTGAGGATGGATGGTATCAGAAGCTCCGCTAGCTTGTCGACCTTGAAAAAGAATTGTAGGAAGGTGCCCTGGCAGGTTGGCTTGTGAACCAGTGGGGACTCGGGAAACTACAACAAGTTAGAAGAAAAAGTCTTCGTGTAGGCAGACCAGAGCTACCTTCTCAATCCACTCCGCCGCCAGTTCTCCAGGCTTCTTCTTGCCCTTAATTCGCAAAGCAGGCACAGGCAAAACCAAGTCTCCCTTTTCTAGTGTTTGCGTCCATTGTAAGGCGGGGTAGATGATGCTGGCGTCGACTCCAGTGATTTCGGCCAAGATGGATGTAAGATGTGCTCGGTAGACGTCAACGGTGTTGATCTCCGGAAAGCAATTGGCGTATTTTGGTAGGGGCTCCTTTAGACTCAGCGAGGTGAGTTTATCCGCCAACGAGGTGGTTGTGGCCGCCATGGCGTGAGTTTGCCCAAGTGGTAGGCGCGTTGAAAAACGGTGGGCTGCGTTTGTGACTCTGGAGAACTGAGACGGTCGTGGGCGAAGTCTGTGTCGTAATACTCGTGCGAGGGAGGAGGGAAAAAGAGAATTCATGAAATGGAGATGAGTGGTGGGGTGAAGCGGGGAGATTTCTGAAGAGGCTGCCGTGGAGGGTGCGGGCGCAGGTGTGACTCAATTCGCTATGCTGTGACTCCCCTCACCATACCACTGCACTGCGAATTCTCAGCCTTGTAGATACCCCGCCCTATGGGTATTAGTTGATTTTTATTGGTTGTGTGGTTTTGCTGAAGTTCTCCCTATGGACAGCCTTGGAAGAAAAGCAGTAGAAAATGCTTTCCTATTAGCGTAACTTGACCTAAAATACTTTATTGTTCCATTTGTTCAAAGCAACCAAAATGATTGGACAAGAATTCTTAAGCTAGAGTATTTGAAGCTATTATCTAGATTCTTTAGCATAATTCAATAAATGAAATCAACTTACGCAAAAGAGAAGGATCTCTACCACTTTTCTTTCCACTGGGAGCTTGCTTATGTAAGAAATATGGGGTAAGGTGGACCCGGGTAAGGTATATCAACCTCTTTGAAACAGAGACAACACCATTAACAAAACATCCACCATGGATAACGCAAGCAAATCCTGCGCCGAGCTGCTTTTTAAGAACAATCAATTTGATTAAAGTCATCCTCAACTATCTACGAAGCATGTCGCCTTTGTGGAGCGACACTTACCTTTCACGATTCGTGATCAGAGCGTAAGAAACAATTACGCGATCGCTGTGTATGGTGTACCCGTTCCATGATGCACAAGCAAGGTTAGAGTAAGTCAGATTGTATTTGCTCAAACATAGCCATACTTAAAAGGGAAACATCCATCAGCCCGTTGTCCTGTTTTCTCTTGAATTTTCCATCCTATATCCCAATACATGCCCTTGACGATTTCCAATTTGTCCTGTTTCCCAAATATCCCGCTCATGAAATTCAGGTATTATGTACCCTCCACAAGAAAAAAGGAATAGCGCCTGATATTTTGAAGCCAAAATGCCCAATTCCACGCGTTACGTCGTACATCCAAATCGTCAGAAACTAACAATGAATAGAAACGCCGAGATATAAGAATCCTCCCAATCTATATCCAAATCCCAAAGGATCGTTATCGTCGTCGTCGTGGACGTGGACTTAATGCACACCTCCATTCCTCCTCGGTCGCATTAGAATGAAGGGACTGGTTGGCCGTCGTCCCTCAAAACTCGCAAGAAGGACCTTTCCTGTGCGTCTGTTCCAATTAGCGATGGTCTATCATAGCGGCAGGTTGAATCACTTACTCGGCCTGACACGGGTTGAGGCACCGCTTTCGACGGTGATAGAGTGAGTATCAACATACTCACAAGCCGTCACAACACCATCTGGTGACGAAGCGTGCGAGTAATCCATTCGCATCAAAGTAATCCGGATGCGGTAACGGCCAGGCTCGTGGATGACCAAATCAGGAAAGTAGAAATACGCACGATCTGCTGAACCAGTATCAGGCAGTGGATGTGCCGAGTCAGTGGGATTTCCGCCCAACTGATTATAGAGCGTCTCTCCAGAATCTTTGTGGATGAGCGTTGCAACGGCCCAAATATGGTCGAGCTCCCCAAAGATGTTGTACTCAGTGGTAAGTCTAGCAGCAACAGGCATGCTCAAAACCACACCGGGTCGGGCGCGAGAAGGAGGGTGGATAGCGAGATTGAGCATTTTGATTATCACCTGATGAGAATTTGTTGGCTGTAGGTAGCTATAGGTCGTCGGTTTTGCTCCTTGTCAAAGATGCTATTGCGCGGGCTAGTGCGTGGTTCGTGATAATCTGATTGAGTTTCATGGTCAGTATTGACCCAGGCTTACTTGAAGTTGGAAGCGGAAACAACCGCTAATAGGAGACAGAAGACTTACAGATACTGTAAGCTTAAAGAGAAATTCTAGGCTGCAGACTATCGAATTGAGAACTTAGAAGCTGGTGATGCTTCTCGATACTCGGGTTGAAGCAGTCCTTTATATATCTCAAATTCACGAGTGACAACGACTCTTCATTTACTTTATCCCAAGTGCCTTTTCCTCTTTCGCTCATGGGTGCGTACTGAGATCGACAATAGCTTGGAATGGATGGTACACAAGCATTCAAGTGGCACTTTGCACTTCCTTTGAGAAAATTGATGGCAGTGAGACGAGGTCAAGTACCATTGACCAAAAGAGCGGGACATATTCGCTGGTTGAGCCTCTTCTGTGTTGGAAAAGTATTACATAGCAGGGAGCGATTCCGAGTGCTTTTTCTGAAGGCATCCTGGTCCCCTCCCTGTCTCTAGTAAGATACAGGAAGTGTCCCGAGTGGCACGTCCCTTCAAGCCATCAACAAAAGCAGAAAATGCGTTTCAGCCGAAAAGGTCATTTTTATACTTGGAAGCTTTAGTGTCTGCCAATTAACCTGGAATATGGGGAGCCTTGATATCATGTCAAGGGTCTGGAAGCTTTGGAAAAGCAGATTATCGTACCAGAACTTCGACTTGGCACGCATTACTATATAAGACATGCAGCAGCAGCTTTTCGACGATTCTTTGCTTTTCATTTTCTTTATCTATACAATACACCCTCTGAGCCCTGGATGTGTTTCGACTCGACCTGGATATCGTGACATATGGAGAGCACTCAGCACGGTATGTTGTCGCGGTGGCTGCTGTAACGCTGCATCCCAAGACTATGGTTCAGCAGCGAAGAAAATTGCTGGAGCCTGCAGTGTTCCCGGAGAGGGGTGTTGGGCGTTTCCCAAAGTATGGAGTACGACAGGAGGATCTGGTGCTGCGGTGCAGCGTTTCTACCGCGGTAGCATGGTCAGCGCTGCAGGAGAACCACCTGCATCACTTACAGGCGTGTGCTGGGCTCGGCTCCCCTCCCCGATTGACTTTTATTGAAGAACATCTGAGGTCCATTGTCGTAGGTGTAAGGTGTAAAGTGTTCGAGGAGGAACAGGGCAAAGCAGGCGCTTACTTTTTGTGCAACCCCTCCCATGAGATTACTCGTACTGTGCAAAGCTCAGTCTACATAGTACGGGAGCTATGGACCCCTCCCCTTCATCCCCCCCCTTCCTAGACGAATCTACCCCTGCTGAGATGGAAGCCACCAACTTTCCAAATTGCGGTCAAGAGTCAACGAAGTCATCCGTTTTTTTAGACGAACTTTCGTCATCAACTCCAGTAGTCTCCAGACCTCTCACGATCCTCGAGTAAGATCTTGGAATCGCTGGAATCGCATCTGGGTTGAGGGAGATTGGTCGGGAAGGAGTGGAAGCAGGGGTCATGAGTGGGCAATGCCATGGCTACTTCTCAAACAAAAATACAATTCTTACTCTTCCAACCGGCAGGCACGTATCGACTGTTGTTGTTGACGTGTCATATCAGCCAAACCCTAGCAAGCCGATTTACCGATATCAGTACAGCTGGAAAATCCCGCCAGAACGGCTTGCTATCGGCTGTGTTGGAGCTGACAGCCCTGCGCCCTCATCCGGGCAAAAGCAACGACAGTTCGACTGCATCAATGAGGGGTCCTCGGCAGCCGTCACCGAGTTCGGGTCTAACATCTCTTCAATTCTCAGTACAAGCTAGTACTTGTCTGTGCAGTGAAGGACATCCTAGCCTGGTTTGGATAATTCGAGACTGTATGTTGTCGAAACTTCAATACGAGCAAAGCTTGTCGCACTGGTTGGGATTGAAAAGGTCTTCTGAATTGGTAAATATACCTTCAGCCACGAAATCTTCCACCAAAAGGGCTATACGACTCTAGGAACTACACTGCTGGCTGGGTTGGGCTTGCAGTATGGCAATCTCTCTATGTCAAAGAGTTCCTCAGAGTGGAATTCGAGATGCTGACATGGGCCTGCGGATCATTCAAGTTCCAAATCGGTCTCCTTTGCTGTGAAAATTTAAGCGTCAGGTGGTTGTGCCTGCCTACTTGGGCAGCGAGTCCTGCTTCATTGCTCCATGGCTCTTTCCCCAATCCAAAGACGATTGCCAAAGACTCAGGCAATCAACGCGGCGTCTTTAAGATTCATTATATGTTGTGTCAACCCATATCTTGCGCTTTTCCTAAACAGTACCTCAGTCACTTCAATATTCCTATTCCAAACGCTCCCTCAATTGCATGTTTACATCACTGGCTTGAATACGAAATCAGAGCATAAATTACGACCTCAAATTCTCATCTTACTATACAATAATCCGTTCGCGCTCCACCTCGACAATATCTGACCCTTGTTCCTCAAATACGGCTGTGTCGTACACGAGGTATGAACCACACTCCTTTCTGGTACTGCGAGAGCTCTAAAACCAAATCAGGGATATCTACACCTAGTCTGATCACGCGACTTCTCAAAATGGCTCTCACAATCAGCCAAAGTCTCCTTTTCACCATTCTCTCTTGTGCAGTTGCGTCCTGTTTAATCATTGACTTGAGTTATATGGCATTCCTGTATTTGACCCGGCCAGAGCAAGATATTGTGGAGGCAGATCACGGAGTGCATCCGGCTGCCTGGCGAACGAAAATCTAAAGGCCATTCCGTCTGTCATACAGCTCACTTCGGTCCTTGACAATCCGTGTGAAATACACCCGTTTTTCCGCCAACAGACGCTCAATTGTTACGCAAGAAAGACTGGACACTTCGACATACTGATCCCCTTACACTCAGCTCGCAAGATTTCCTTATTCTTCCTTTGGATAGCAAAGTTTCTTCAACTCTCCAGCAACTTTGCGTGACCATGTACAACAACGCGATAAGATTCGATGCTTTCTTATGGGGGTAATGCATTCGCAAATATCTGTCACATTTGAAGGATGTGAAATTATCGGAATCTCACTCGAGTTCACGCCTCCACCGTTTCCGACAGAGCGGATCATGGGTTCCCCAGGATCGTATCTGGCGGTTATGTTATCTTCACGGAGAATTCAATCTCAGTTGCACTGTGCAACCGATCATGGGCGAGGAACAAGTGCTCGGGAGCAAAGTTTGAATTGTGCCACGATCCTGCCTTTTGGTTTCATCGTTTGGATTTCCAAAAAAATCCATGAGGCTTCCCGAAGGTTTGGTCACTTGGTGGGTCAATCGGAGATCATCTGGGATACATCATCTTTAGGAATCTGGTACGACGATCGTCGGAGAATTAAATCGTACAATCAACCTAACCATGGGGACCACTTTCCTTGCTCACAGTTCTCATGTCGAACCGTTGCGCGGCTCAATCTGGATTTCTGGGTCATTTTCTGCAGAAAGTACTGCGCATCCCCCTCAAAGGTGACTAGGGGACTTCTGGCTAGAACATCTGATCGACAGGACTCGTCCAACATGTCAATACTCCCGTTGTTATAGATATTCACCAACTCTCTTGATCAAACCCAGGACTGGTAATCGTCGATTCTAGCATGGCTTGTTCAACACAGAATGGGAATTATCTATATGGCTTGTTACAATACTTTTGGGCCAATAGAAGTCATAATTTCATGTTTGATGTCAGAAATGAATGCACTGCATAGTTCAGGCCTTTACTTCTGCGGAAGTTTAGGTAACAATGCCAGACGAATTTGGGACTTCTTTGCAGGTCCCAAACTCCAGCAGCTTGCGTCGGGAATTATATTGCGCCAATCCATATCTTTGGGATCCTTATGCTGAGCGCCCTCCTGAAATTCTCCTTCCATCAAGTCTTTTAAATGAAAACCAAACCAAACTTCTGTAGTTGTCTAGTTGACGACCGTGCAAATAAAACTGAGTCTTGAGGCAGCCAGCAATACCAAACATTCATGGGCAGTCTGGGTATTTTCCAGCTCCAACACCTCACCGCGCGGATCTCTACGCCACGATTGATGCATGACTCGTAAATTCGTGGATGTACTCCGTGGGGTATTGCAATAGAGGTTGGTGTGTAATTGTGGCGTCTGGAATGTGTACTCCCGGTGCATCCTGTGAGCCGCGCGTAATAGCCAAAGGTCAGTTTCAAGGGTTGATGGACTGTCAAAAGCCATGATATCATCCGGCGATTTGACAGAATGTCTTGCTTTGATACTTTGAGGTAGGAATAGGCTATGGATAAGTTTGACGTGTTGACGTTTCGAGATTACCTAAGAACTTGACATTTGCTCTTGAATTTTCCACGTAACGGTCGAAATTAAGCACTATAGCTTCCCCTTTCTTGCATTACTTCTTCTAAAATAATGTTACAAGTAAATGTAGATTGCTTTTGAAATCAAGATCGCCTTATGGTCTTCACTTTTCATCAAGTGATGCACAGCACCTCCTCGTCAGGGTAAAGGGAACATCCAAACATGGACAACCTGAAGCAAAGATTATATGATTACTGATATTTTCTCCCTCAGTATGACATGGAGCCATTGTGTACACCAAAGTCTACGGGGTTCCCCCGACTCCCTCGGGTCTCAGCAAAGAAAATGACGAAAATTTCAGAGCCGTAACTCGGTTCTCTGGCCTTGCGAAAGCGTTTCTTTCGGTCCGAGAGATTCGAATCCGAGGATCGGTCAGTTGGAGTGCTCAACGAGGACTGCGCTCCTTCGTGTGTGCGGGGATCTGTCATATCGGGTGGTCTGTCGGTTGGTAATGGTACTGGGCGATTTGCATCCACGACGGCATCGTGTTGACGAGCCGGCAAGTGCCAAATCGAGTGCCCTACAGAAAACCGGCGTACACGGTAGTGGGTGCAATGGATTTTGGTGTGGCATTGTTCTCCTCGGGGAAGTCGGAAATGGTATTCCTATTTGATGGAAACAACGTGGGCAAGTCTCGTTCTGTTTTTGTTCTTTTCTCGCCTGTTCGCTCGTTTAGGGCTTCTCATGCAGGGACCGTGTGTGGGGGACATGGAATGTCCATGTGGGATGTGTTGGAGCCGCTGACATAGGCTGAGGCCGGCGGTATGGTCGTCGATGGCGTTTTCTCAGGAGACACTGTGATTTGTGGATGCATGAGCCACGGGTTGCACAAGATCTCCGGCTCTTATGCAAGTAGCGGTCGATCACAGGCATCTTAGTGGTGTCGCTCCTATCTGTCTGGTCTAGAAGCGACATGGCCGTTTGGGATGGTCAACGCGTTCGTTTGCTTTCTCCCCCTTGAAAAGCTGGTGATGGCACGATTATGATGTGTAGGCTTACAGAATTTTCATATACTTGGGAATTGGGAAAGTGCATTTTGATTGTTTTGGGACGACGATTCTGAGTCTGTACGACGGGAGTTCAACGCTGAGGCGCGGAGTGGAAAGCCCCGTAATATCGACGCTGCTCGTTATTAGATTTTGGCAACGGGAGAATAGGGACGGGTTACGGAGCTATTAATGTCCAGCCCGCTCTTTCTTGCTCCCCATGGGAACTTTTTACCGGGGAAGAACGGGTGGTATGCCGTCCCTTGTATGAGATTTGCTTTTTTGAGCAAAAAAAGAGAGCTAGTTTGCCTTGACCGCTCGATGCCTTGTATACTTCGGTTGGCCAGAAATCTGAAGGGTGGGCTTCTAATCGTTGTGTATGAGTCCGATTTGAGCCATTTGTCTTGTCCTCATTTGCGGCTTCTTTTCCCGGCCTTTCTATCAGCCTTTGTGGTTGCCTACCTTTCCTGTTTTTCCTTGATGAGATGCGTAATAGGTTGCAAGTTGCAGATTCTGATGGCCATTTTTCCTTCCATTATGCAGGCGACTTACTCGTGTAGTTACAGCAAGAAGATTAGCGAAGGGTTTGTGTATTGTAGAGAATGGCTGGATGATATCCCATGGGGGCGAAATAGGGCGGGATCCGAAGCTGGCGATGCGTTCATCCTTGTTGATTATTGAGAGGAATGATTCTAATGAGGTATGTTACTGGAATGTGATTTTCCGGGGAGCTTTGATGGGTCTGGGGGAGAGGATGGGTATTCTGGGGATCCCCCGTTTTTTGGGGGTTTGGTCCCAAGTTTACTTTCTCAACTTGTAAAGTAGATTGTCAAATCTATTGTTGTTTTTGAAGTGGACTTTGGCAGTCTAAGCAACTGGCGGTATTGAGTTCTACCCCCAAATCCTCTGCATGAACTTGTCTTGAATCCCTTCTCTCCTCATTTGACGGCTCCTCGCCACCAGATAAGACGGAACGGCAGGAAACACTGCAGCACCCGGTCCTAGAACAGAGCCAACAACTCCCATCTACTCGCTTGAGGTGAGCGATTACAATAGTATTCTCTGGCAGACAAGTCATTTTATTTCAATTCTGTTGTGAATGACTCATCTTTGGAGAAGCTGGGTATTCCAACTACTCCTGCCAGTCTCGACCTGAACCTCCGTAAATGTGCTCACCGTGCCGAGAAACAGGCCACAGAAGTGCTGGGTCGATGGCTCGGAATAAAAACTTTCTTTGGATACTCACTTGTCGATGGAAATGGGCTTCGTGGGCATTTCGACCTTGGAGGGTAGTAAGCGAATACTCCTTTTCCAGATATTCGCTAAGTGTTGGTCGCTGAAACTTGGAGTTGCAGTCGGGGTATGAGCCTCTCCGAACCTTACAATGAGGCCAAGATTGAAACATCACCAGTATGAAAGACACTTTGGTGGAAGGGTAGAGATCTGTTTGATTCTAAGCAGGTAAACGAGGTTAGCCAATCGTCCTTGATGTCCCTCTCTTTGTCACTGTTCTAACATGCCGCAGTCCAACCGCTCTGAGCCACATGCCTTTAACTCGACTATCCCTTGCTTCCAAAGCCTCGCGTACTTCATTTATTCCTCGCAAATTATTTAGATCAGACATCAAGTTCTCATACACGGCATCTCTATTGTATTAAATGAGATGGGTTGCGTTTCATGGGCAAGAGACGTGGTCATTGCCCTGGAAGTTCCTGTAAGTTGAAACATTGTTCTGAAATCCTCCCGCAAATAAATTAATGATAATGGACGAACGGTTCAGAATAATTAACACTTTTTGACATACTATCAATCCAAGTATACTACGACAATGAAGTCGCTGGTGCCAGAGTTCTAGAACAATAACCTTTTGGGGTATGTGCAGAGTAATGACCCAGCCTTACACGATGCGCGAGCCCGACTCCATTAAGGAATAAAAAAAGGTATACACCACCTGAAATTTATGGCTCTTTCTCTGCAATGACGCCTTGATATTATATATCTTCGTAAGTGCTAACTGTCAGTATAGATTGAACAGTCCCCCGATCAGTCTTCCATCCCCCAAAAATTACAAGCTGCTATACCTCTTGAGCGACCTCTTGAGCAATTATGGTGACCCACCCTTTCTCCATTCCAACCCACAAACCACAACTTTGAGCTTTGAAGGCACATGAGAAGGAAAGCATATAGAAAGATCATATGGGTCCTGAAACAAAGTACAGCTGGCGCGTTGAATTAAACTCGCTGAAAAATCGGGATAATTCGGGTGCCTAAAACAGGTTCGGACCGAAAGTAACGTAGAATGTCCCTAAAGCGAAGGTTAGTATCCTTACGAAGTAAAGGAAGGGGGTAGACAGTTAAAGCTAGACACTGTTACGTAGTTTATATATGAGAACAGTCTGTATCGCCCAGATCGGAGTCTTAGACTCGCTGGTTTAGCTTAAAATCAGGGCCGAGCTATAATATAGTCAAGGACAGTGTTATCTAGCTTTGATTGTCCACCCCCTTTGAGTTTTACTAGTAAAAGATAGACCTGAGGATTTAGGAATATAAGCCTAGGCACCCTTGTAGTATTTCGAATATTCTAGTATAGTAACATGTTTTTACTTCGTACTATCTACTTCTACTTCGTCTCAAGGATATTAAATGTAGACATGTAGTGTGTTCACAGTCCTATCGCAAAATTAGGGAGATTCTAGGGTATCTACTTCGTACAAGTGTGTTACGTAAGGGTGTTTTGTAAGGTATTTTGTATGCGACTTGCCTACGAGTAGTTCTACAGGTTCTGGAGTTGCGAAACATTCTACTACTATACTTCATACTTCGAAGTAGTAACAGGAGTTTAAATTCTGCGAGTCGTTACTTTACTAACCGTGCTTTCACAAGGTACTGTAGTCGTGTCATGATCCAACGTGCTACCTGGTATAGACACTAATTCTTGACTACTTCGAAGTATAATCATGCCTGCAATTCGTACTTCGCCCCAGACTCCTAGGCGAAATAATTGTGGGGTTTTTACCCTGTTGCCAACCTTAGTCACCCTAGCAAACCTACAATTATTTCGCCTGAGACGAAGTACTTCTAGAAAGACGCGCGTATTATCCCACAAGGCCGACGTGGGTCTACGATTCATGCAAAGTCGAAACTCCGGGGACGAGGAGAAAATTTTTCAAACGAATATTTACCTTAGATAAAGTGCAAATCGGCTTATCCGTCTTGTCCTAATAATAACAACATGTATAAATAATTCCAATTATCCCCTCGGATCTTGCAATTCAATCTCATCAGCTTTTAAAATCTATTACTATCTTCTACTATCACACATAACCAAAAAACTCAATAAACCACAAGTCAAAATGCGTTTCTCTATGACCCAAGTCTTCCTTACAGCTCTTGCTGTCTTCTCCGTCGCAGAGGCACAAAGATGCCGAGAAGTCGGCACTTGCCCAGGCTGTGGTGGAAACCAGGACAGAATTTGCCTGTAAGTGTTTTTAATTCCCTTTTTTTATATTTTTAGTTATTCTTGCTTAATGAAAATAATGGACTCTCTTACTAATGCTGGGTTATCGTAGTAACGGATGGTGTGACTGCCAACCATACTAGACAAACCAAGATCTAGGATTATCGAAGCTAGATAATAGCTAGATGAGAACCTGTGGCTTATGAAAACAATGATAAAAAGGGAATTGAGGGATAAGGGGGAGCTTGAGATGCGAAGAAGGTCGGACTTTATAGGACTTCTCTTTTATAGGTGTATTCAATATACTTAGATAATGAGAATTCATTCGATCGGATTTGCAATATCTATCTTACCTTCCTATGCTGTTAAGTAACTAAAGATTTAGTGAAGCAAGAGTATTATTTAAGCGAATATCCTGATCCTCGATAGTGATTATGTCTAGTACCTAGTATAGTAGCTAGAATCAGGCAATGATAACCGCAGGCCTATAGTAGTATAGTATTATTTACATCGCGCGTCTACGGGCGAATCAACCCCCCTAGTATCCTCCTTTGATTGTAAAGTAGCGATAAGAAGGATTCTAGGAGCAAGAGCAAAAAAAAGAAATTACGGTAATAAATACTAAGGGCCTATTTAGCTTATACATTTTTTTAAATATACGTTATAAAAAAAGATTTGTATATATATTCCTTTAACGTAGTATATATACGTTTTAAATTTTAGGCTAGTAGTATCTACTTTAACTCTTAGTATATAAGCTTATTTCTACTAATAGTATCGTATATATTTCGGTATAAGTTTAAGGATTAATCGGAAAAGTTACTATAGTAGAAGTATAAGTTTAATTAATATATATAATAAATATTATACTAAATTAATTACTCGTATATATTCGACCTAAAAGGAATCGTAAATAGAACGAAAGTTAAGTAAAAAAGGGGGTAAGATAAGTATATAAGTAAACAATTATCTATAGCTAAAGATTAGAAAAGTTATATTAATAATCTTTTTATTTACTTATAAAAAACCACTTTAAACTATATTTTCTCTACTAATAACACTACCTCTACTAGAACCTTAGGGTCCTTTAAGCTTACTAAGCTTCGAGTATATACTAAGCCCCCTTATTAAAAGAACCTATTGTCACGAATCACGTGCTCACGTGATACTTGTCATGATAAGAGGCGCAACCCTCGACAGGCACATCCAGGTTTCTTATAGCAAAATAGGGACGCTTAGGCTAGCTAAGCGATCCAGGGATTTCCTTTGGTTAGTATCACGTGACTCGCTTGGATCATGAAGGGTCATATGAGCCAGTGTGAGCCGGATCAGATGGATCATGGTGATCCATATGATCCATAGAGAACAAAGGTTCTATATAAGACTGGCACGTCTGCCATTAGATAGGAGCTTCGTGCTCAACTTAGTTATCAATCTTATCATATTAGTTTGACATCTTTGATACAAGTAACGAGTTCACTTCCAAGTGAACAACCCGATAGTCTTCTTCTTATCATAGCATACCAACCAGCGAACACCCAGCCAAGTTTAGTTAGCCAGTTTGAGTATTCGTTACACCTATAGAGCCGTATATAGGCGCGCAGAGCCGTAGCGTATAAGCTATATCACGTACTCGGTAGTACTTCTATACGCTTAACCCTAACGCTATAAAGATATTAGTATTAAATTTAGTCGATTTAGCGAAATTTAATAGGCACGTATTATAGGCGGCCTAACGTATAATATTAGCGGCGGGCGTTAAAGGGTTAGGTACTATATATATAGTATATACTCGTAGGCGCTCGAGTAGAGGCCGGGAGTACCTTACGTACCCTACTTATATAATTATATATATACCTAGGAGTAGGGTTTAAGACGGGTTTAGGACGCTCCTAGGACAGGTTTAGAATAGTCCGGGACGCTCTTAAAACGCTCTAGGGACGGTCCTAGAACGCTTTTATATATAGGAAACTATTCTTAACTATCTTATTTGTGACGGTTCTAACAGTCACCACCATTCGGATCACGTGGTCTCGCTTAGCGGCCCACACCAAGTATTTAGATCGAAGCTCTCTCGAGCTCTCCTCTTCTCCTCAGCTTAGAATCTTTGTTTAATTGACAGTTCTACGATTCCACAACCTACACCGTGGGCTTTGCGTACGTGTCGTCACATTATTAATATAACTATCTAATATTTTAAAACTATCTTTATATATAAACCGCCCTCCTTCTATTACCTAGCGGTTTTTTCCCTAGGACTAAATTCTATATAAAACCCTCTTTCGAGAGTCTCTAGATAGTTTAAAAAACTCTACTTTCCCCTCTAAGGTAGGGAAACTAGGAGTAAAGTAAATAGATTATAAGTAAGCTCGAGGTTTAGATATATATTCTACTTTTTAGTATTTAAAGCCTATTTAGCTCGTATAAGTTAGACGTATATATTAGATATAAATTCTAGACTTTACTACTTTTTGTATAACCCTAAGACCTTATATATATCTTTCTTATTTTATATATATTTTATACTATCTAACGAAATAAATATACTATTATTTAGCTCTATTAGTATAAGTAAATACTACTTAAGGCTACTTATATACCGTACCTTAGTACTAAGAACTACTATATATAGTAGTAGTACTTATAATACCTTTACTTAATATATATAACTAATAGTCTTTATAATATAATATATTTAATACTAAACTATTAGCCTTATATTATACTTTTCTTATTATCTTTTCGGCTCTATTAACTTAGAGTTAAACTAATAAGCTTATTATATAAGTTTTTTTTATTTCGTTATATATTTAACAATTTATATACTAGCTCTTAGTATAAGTCTACCTTTATATATAAAAAGATTCTCTACTATAATATAGGCTTTCTAAGTGTAACGAATACTCAAACTGGCTAACTAAACTTGGCTGGGTGTTCGCTGGTTGGTATGCTATGATAAGAAGAAGACTATCGGGTTGTTCACTTGGAAGTGAACTCGTTACTTGTATCAAAGATGTCAAACTAATATGATAAGATTGATAACTAAGTTGAGCACGAAGCTCCTATCTAATGGCAGACGTGCCAGTCTTATATAGAACCTTCGTTCTCTCTACATCGCCTACATCACCTGTCGATGTAGTCGACCTCCTATCGCTAACATCGACTGTCGATACAGGCGATGCGATTGATCACGTGACTACATACACGAGAAATCCTTGGATCGCTTAGCTAGTCTAAGCACCCCTGTTTGCTATAAGAAACCTGGATGTGCCTGTCGAGGGTTGCGCCTCTTTATTATGACAAGTATCACGTGAGAACGTGATTCGTGACAATAGGGTACTTTTCTATACTATCCCGAGACCGTCCCGGAAGCGTCCCGGAAGCGTCCGAGAACTATTTAACGACTATTTAAGAACGATTCTTAGACTATTTACAAATTAGACTATTAATATAGAAGATAGTTATAAATCTAAGACTATTTTTAGCTAAAATAGTCTTAAAATTATTTAATATTTAAATAGTTATTAATTAAAAACTATTTATAAATAAAATAGTTTTAAAACTATTTAATATTAAAATATTTATTAATTTAAACTATTATACTTATAAATAGTCCTAAGACTATTATTTATTTAAACTATTATAAATTAAACACCATTTAGCTTTTAAATTATTTTATATTAGTTTAAAATTCGAAATAACTTTTATAATAAATAGTTATAAATTAAAATAGTTATATAATTTCAAATTATCTAGAAATAATTTTAATAATAGTTTTACTTTTATAAATTATTCTATAAGTATCTAAAAAACTTCGCTTTCCCCTCTAAGGTGTAAGTAAAAGAGTTTCGAATATTCGTTTTTTAATAGCGTAACTTAGTTCAAATTATTCTACTATACTACTTATTAGACATACTACGTATTAAATAAATTATTTGTTAAATACACTACTTAGTAACTACACGGTAAACAATAGAACATCTACAGTACCTACATAATTTCCCAGCGGTAGAACCACTAGCTAAGTTAAACTTTGCCGGTCTCCAAGCAAAACAACCAGTAAAGCAGTGTTCGCTTAATACCCAGGTAGATAGTAGTTTGCTTACAACAAGGTAGAATGTTATCAGAATATACAGTATTAGAGAATAAACATCAGTCCGCTTACTCCCTCCTTTACAACTAGCGTATAACGACATCTAAAATGTACCTAGGGATTTAGCTAGCTATACTCGCTTTCGGCTTACAATACAGAGGACTAAGCGACTACAGAATATAAGTGACGCAATAACTGACCTAGGAACTCAGGGACAATCGTTAACTTCTTTAAGTACTCTACTCCACTTGAGCTTCTACCGGTTGGCCTAGTCCAAGGGCGTAGACTTGAGGTTATACTATAGTGTACTTCTGTGCGAAAGTTAGAGCTAAGCGAGAGTATCGTTATATGTCACCTAGACCTAGGTATGCTTCTACCTAATGGCTACTTGGTACTTATATTGACCAGTGTGGCAGTGCCCCCATAGGAATAGGGACGTTGGTGGGATAGATATGGCGGGGATTGCTCGTCTCACGGACAGATTCTGATGCCCGACTTGCGGGCTTGTAATAGTTGGATGGGGTTCTATTCCTCGGCTATGTGAGGGGTTCAGTCTCGCATTACGTGTCAGAGGACGCCAAGGGGATTTGAAGGTACACTACTTCCCTGGGGATCCTTCTTAATAGTGTGTAAGCTCTGTAAGCTCTTTAAGTTGTCAGGGTAGAGGGAAAGTAAGATCTACAGATGTGTAGTACTATCATACCTCTAAAAAGGAGCCTTAGCTACTTATACACCAACTGACCCCCTTACTTTCCCCTCCCCATCCTCCTCCTAATATCCCCAACAATAATCCTCAACCCCTTCAATCTCCTCTCTCTCGTCCCACCCAAGAACACACTAGCAACAGGCCACGCATGAATCCCACCCTTCTCCTCCTCCCACCCAACCTCCAACCCGCCCTCCTCCCAAAACCTGACCAACCCTCGGATCTCAGGCGCAAACACCTCTTCCGCGCCGTAGACGACGAAGATCCCGTGCTTCGGCCACGCCTTCTGCCACCAAGACACGGATTTGCACCGCCCGGGCGAGATAACGGGGTCGTCGATGGAGATGTCGGGCCCGGCGTAGAGGGTGGCGTATGCTTGGAGTGTGGCGGGGTCGAGGTAATCGCTACGTGTGGTTTTGTGGTGCGGGGAGGAGAGGGTTGTCCAAGGGGAGATGAGGAGGGCCATTCCGGGGTTGGAGGGGTTGTTGGTGGGGAGTTGGGGACGGGATGTGAGATGGGTGGAGGGATTGGAGGCGATGGGTTTGGGGGTGGGCCTGTTGGATATGCTTGCCAGGTGGAGGAGGAGGGTTAGGATTATTGTGCCGCCTGCTGAGTCTCCGGCGACGCATATTTTGGAGGGGTCTCCGGTGGTTTTTGAGAGGGTGTATTTATAGCCTGCTGATGCTTCGCGTAGTTGAGATCTGTAGAGCGGGCGTTAGAATGTTGGTTGGTTTGTGAGTTTAGGAGGAAGTGGACATTTTTCCACTTGTGTGAAAACGAAGGGGGCAGGAAAGGTGCTAAACAATATCTCATAATACTTACGGATATGAATCATCTGGAACAAGAGTGTATTCCAGAGAGAAAATAGCAGGGTTGTCAAAACCACCACAGGTTTTGAGAAGACTAAGCCAGGTAAGGAGGAATTCAAGATAAAAGTAACTCGACCCCATAGAGAACCCGCCACCATGAGCGTAGTAAATGACAATATCAGGATCTCGAGACTCATCATCAATCATCCAAATCCCTTTGAAATCTGACTGTTATTTGTTAGTGAAAGATGATTCAGCATGGAGAGAAGGACAAGATACCTTGTTCACTTCCTCCCAATGGATTGGCGACCGAAGAAAGCCATGCCGCAACATCCGAAACTTCAAGAACGGCAATGCCACAGGCTTGGAGAAGAAAACCCGCCCAATGTTTGCTGGAATATTCGCAAATGCATAGCGAACGCATCGAATTATAAAATCTTCAAACCATGATGCGGTTTGGACGAAGGGTGACCTGTTTTCCCGGCTGAGAAAGAGTCGGGGTAATTTTATTACTGCAGTATTTGATCAGTCGTAGTTCTTGAAATTGGTATCCATAGGTATATGAAGTTGGATTGAGTGGTGTTGGAAGGCATCTGTGGTACCGATATCAGACTTACACAAGAAGGGAAGGGCGCGGAGGCCGCAAAAGAGTGTGGGAAAAAAGCCAACTCTCAGGATCAATTGAGGCGCCAGAAAGATCAGAAAAACGAAACAGTCAAGCCAGGAAACCTGTCCCAGTATCATTTTGGCAGGTCCAGCTGTATGAATATGTGCTGGAGTTCTGACTCGAAAGGATACAGTACTTCTATACTTGGAGAGGATGAAGTGGTCATACTGTAACGCCACAGCAGAAGAAACCGCTAGGTCATATCAGAGTACCTAGGTAGGTACCCAGTCAAAACATTTTGGGATGGAATTTACTGGGAAGTCTATTTCTCTTCTCTTTCTCAGAATTTGCAAAAACAATCATTCTCTTGTACATATATATGCTTTCTTGTTTACATGTTTATGTGAAGTACAGAGCACAGCACCCACACTGACACCTGTGGCTGGGGACCTCCAGCTGTCAGTCACGTGAGGAACTAAAAGTGCCGGCGAGGCGAGGCGAGATTGGCAAAAGATTCACTTGGTGCAGGCGCCTGGGCAGAAATCAAGCTGCTGGCCAGGGAAGGAAACTTCTACAAGCGCGCAAAGTGAATCAAACATGGCTCTCCCCACCTGATCAAAGCTGCAATCTGATTCTCCCAACCTCTGGCACTCATCTACTGTCAGTTCCACCGATGGAAGAATCATCCTGTCTCTTCTGCAACAACCCCTCATTTGAAGCAGTACCAGCGTCTCATTTGCGCCGCCATCCAGATCATGTCGGCTTCCAACCCAACCGCTGCTCAACTCGAGCTCATTGAGTATGTCCTCCCCATCGCGTCGTACCCATCTTTTGTGCTGGGTCTCTGCTAACCTTTGCTCAGGTCTCTGACTCAAGATGAAATCCCTATCAAACTTCGATGCGCCATTTGTAGTCGCCTGGCTGTCAACGCGTTCCGCCTACCTTGTTGCGACCAGATCATCTGCGAGACTTGTACGTTTTTGCTCTCCCAAAGTTGCCAATCGACGACTTCTAACATCAGTATTAGGCCAGTCAACTCTCCCCTCATCGTGTCCAGTTTGCGAACATACCCCAGTTTCCGCCGAAGACTGCAAGCCCAACAAGGCTTTGCGAACTACCATAAAAATCTTTCTCAGAACTGAAGAGAAAAAGCGCGAGGTTCTCCGTCAAAAGGAGGTTAAGGATACTCCTCCTGCGACACCTCTTGAGCCCGAACCAATTCCCATCGAAACGGTTGCTGTCACGGAGCCCATTGTGGATGAGAGCAAAGTGTCGGGACCTGAGAATACTGAGGCGGAACCACAAGTTGATGGACCACTCGTCGATCCAGTCAACGAGGAGAGAACTGATCAAGCCCAGCAAGACATTCCCCAGGCATCGATCGAGGTAAGATCCATTTGAATATCCCTAATTTTCTCTGGATTCATTTTAATACTTGTGCAGGAGATCGCGCCAGGCCAAGAATCTACAGCTGAAGGCGATGTCGAAAATGTCGACATCAACGCAGCCGAGAAAGCTGATGAAGACGCCACTGAAAAAGGATTAGATGAAGAAGCAAAGCAAGGCGCGGCTCAGGCGGCGGGTTTTGGCTTCGATCCCAGTGTTGCAGGAGGCTTCCCCGGAATGGGGATGGGCGGTGAAATGAATCCCATGATGCAGCAAATGCTCATGATGCAAAATGGCATGGGCGCAGGCTTTGGCAATTTTCCTATGATGGGTACGTAAATTTTGGCGACCTCCAAGCAAAACCATTCTAACTTGTGTTCTACAGGAATGCCGGGTATGAATATGGATCCCATGGCGATGCAGGCTATGCTTATGAATGGTGGGTTTGGCGCTGGCATGAATGGAATGCCTATGGGCATGGGCATGGGGATGGGGGGATTTAACGGCGGTATGGGCTCTGGCTTTAATAATGGTTGGAACGATCAATCATCTTGGAGTAACGATAACTTTTCAAATCATCCCAATGGTCAAGGTGATTATGGAAACAACTTCGGAAGCGCTCATACAGGATATAATCAAACTAATAATTACGGGCGCCCAAATCAGTACAATGACTACCAAAATGGGTATGGACCTCAAGGATACCGTGGGCGAGGTAGAGGCAGAGGTGGCGGGTTTGGCCGCGGTGGCGGGTTTGGGCATGGTTCTAATGAAGCCTTCTCACAGCAGCTCCCCCAGCAGTTTGGTTCAGGTCAACAAGCACATGGCCCTATTAGTGAAACAGGAACGGTACCAACTGGACCTAAAGCTGATTCTGTGCCCGCTGGAAATGTCGATGAGTTTGGACGAGAGATTCGTGCCAAGTCAGGAGATCAGGAAGATTCTTCCGAAAAGCCCACCACAGTAGCCGGTGCTGAGCCAAATATTGACGGAAATGTTGTTGAAAGTGCCCAAGCAACTGACGGTGGACCAGAATCATATGGAAATGGATCAACCGAGGCTAATGAGAGTAGTACTATGCCAATTCAAACATTTGATGAAGCACAGGCTGCCGCATTTCAAGCCAACGGCCACAATGGATACTACGATGGATATATGAACGGCAGTGGATATGGTGCATCAAAGGGCGGTTTCTCGCAGGGCTTCCGCGGTGGTCGTGGAGGTGGTTTTGGTGCTATGCAACCTCCTGTAAAGCCCGTGGATGTGCCAATCAATGCCCCAAAAGGTCCAAAAGCTATGCGTGAGGGTATGCCTAATACAAGTATTCGTGGTCGACCCTTTTCCATAGCAGCCCGTGGCAGCTCAAGGAATGACGCTAGTGCCAGTGCCAGTGTAGCCCCTGAACCATCTGACAAAGAACAACGAGATAGATCACCTTCAAGAGAGCGATCCAGAGAGAGATCTAAGTCTCGAGAAAGGCGCCGCAGTAGAAGTGGAAGCAGAAGTAGACATCACCGCCGCCACCGGCACCGATCCAACTCTCGTTCCGAGGACGAGAGAGAGACGGAGGAGAGAAGAGAGCGCAGGAGAGAGAGACGCCGTCGACGTGAAGAAGAAGAAGGGCAACGTGCTGCTGATGACGCTGTCGATGAAGCCGCCGAGGAGAAAGGTGAGCGAGTCAACGATGACCCATCTAGATCCAGATCTGCTTCGCCCTCAGACTCACGACGATCTGGTCACAAGATTCGACGTGATAGAGATAAATATCGGGAACGTGATCGAGAATCCGAACACAAATCATCTTCCCACAAACACAGATCTTGCCGACGTTCTCATCGCGACGACAGATCTAGGAGCCGTGATAGAGATCATCGTGAGCGTCGACATCGTCACAGTCGACATCAATCCGAAGACGCTGCAGACAAACCGACCACCACACATGATACAGAGGACATTCAACCCCCAGTCGAAGCAGACGAGTCGGCTCGTAGACCTTCGATCATTTCCAATGGAAATAACGGAATTGAGATCAAAGGGGTAAGTATCAAAGGAGCAAGCACACGAAACAAGGCATCATTAGATGAGATTAAGATCCCGACTGGACCTCGCAAAGACCGTATTTTGTCAGCCAAGGACCGAGAGAAGGACAGAGGTTCTAGCAGTCGAAATCACGACAAAGATTACCACTCGTCTCGCCACCGTGATTCGGAAAGGTCTGGTCGCGACAAAGATCGAGACCGAGAAAGAGAGAAAGAAAAGACGAGAAGTAAAGGAGACACTAAATCAGCTCCTGCACCTACTGCTCAAGACCCGCATACGATGGAACGCGAGGCGAGAAACCGAGAGAGGTTACTCAAAGAATCACAACGTCTAGCAGCTCTTACTGGTGGTGAAAGTCGCAAACGAAGTCGTGATGATGGCGATGATGCCGGTACTGGCAGAAAGGGAAGAAGGACAGGGAAGAGCAGCAGAAGAGGTGGTGCTGTCGTGGGAGATGAGGAAGAAGCAAGACTAGCGAGAATGGAGGCAGAGCGTGAAGGTGCAAGATGGAGTTGAGATCTATCCCCCAACTGGACGGCATGAGTTGTCGTATATACTTGTACAAATGCTTTTGCGGGCTGCTATTTTGGACTCCATCCGAATATTTCGATTTTCCCGGACGAAATTTCTCTGGGTCACCTACTCCATCGAGTGGTGATGGGTAGTTTAGTTGTGATCCAGATTGCATGTACATGTACAATCTGGATTGGAAGGAACCAAGAACTTGTACATTAAATGGTTGGGCGCTGTTAGCGTGAGGATGAGCATGAGGCAGGCGCTGAGTAGATAGCACCTGCGTTCAGACATATCAATGAAAATAATTCATGAAGGCGACCACTGCCATTTCCTTGTCTTGTGATTCTTACATTCTACGAGTACGCAGCCTCAAAGGTTCAGTCCTCATTCTTAAGTATCAATTGAACTCGTACTTGACTTTGCAGCTGTTATTCTTTCTGCTTTCTTAAGGAATTATCATATCTACCACTATGGACAGCGGTGCCGCCGGTTTCTACAATGACATACTCTCACAGTGGTACGCCAGACCAGGTATGGTAGATATCGAGAGAGGTCGTCCATACGGCAGCACAGTTCTCAACACAGCAGGAACAGCACCAGCAGGCGGTCTTGCAACACACTCTGCCAGAAATCCCCACCGTCATCGCCTCTCGAAATCAGCTCCCTCACCTCGTCACGAAGAAGACGAGTACTCACCTCGACTCCGAGCCACACGGTCCGACCCTATCGACGTCGAAGCCTGTCTCCGTCCAGGATCATGTCCCTATCACCCGGAAGTCACAAAAACCCCACTTTATCGAGTCAATCACAAAGGTGTTGGGCCAGAGGAAGAGGATATCCCGGGTCAGGAAGTTGATAACCCGCCTTTTGCACGATGGATAATGCCCATCTTTGGACGTCCACCACGGATGCCTTCCACGGTTTCAAGTCTCGATGAGAATATAAAGACCAAGGCGAAGGTGCGTGGGAAGTACTACGTCTGTCGACGATGCATGATGTATGAGTTTTTGTGTTGGACGGTCTTTATCACTCTTGTAGTTGGCTTCCCGGCTTATATGATTTACGTGATGAAAGCTCCGTCTGAGTTGATGTGGGGACCGTAAGTTGACTTCTGCGTGCTGGACCATGGAGAGTGTACTAATGTGTGATTGAAGACCGCCTGCGCGTAAGCCGCCTTCGGTCGCTCCTGGGACGAATCCTATTACCATATTTCCGTTTTATCGTGATCCTCCTGGTACTAAACCACGGCCGGGTGATAATACCCATGTTCCTGGTGATGGAGGCGTTGATGCTCTAGGGGATGATCCTGAGAAGTTGGAGACGCCTGATTTATTGCCGAGAATGGCTAGATTTCTACCGGGCATACATCCTCAGCATGGTATGATCAAAGAAGCACAGGAGGTAGAGGAGTCGGAACAAGGAACGGTAGAGATATTGTCGCTCGTACGCCGAGAAACAGAGTCATTGCCTGGTCCTCTCGCTACTTCAGAAGAAGCGTCCTCGGTTTCAGAGGAGTAGATTCGCAAATCACTCGTTCTACCCGCTGTTCAGAAAGAAGCCGACGAATCTTTGGGCTTTCTTGAAAGTATAGGGCACAAACAAGGTCGCAGAGGCAGAGTTCGTACTCCCATGTCATTCAAACTGAAATGAGATTCCAAAAGCTACAATCTTAGTTCAGGAAACGTCTACTCAGAGAGTCACAGAGTGGCAATGTTTGGGCTTGGTGGTCTAAGCCAATTTGGTTTCTCTTATTCGTCTGTGTTTGGTCACAAACATAAGAAAATTCGTGGCTGTGTTCTCCTCGAGGAAGGTGCAGAACTTCTTCAATGTTGAAAGACTTGTGTTTCGGCTGTATATAGGAAGTCTGCTATCACCGTACGAGGACACCAAAGAAGAAACAAAACCTCCTTTGAATATGATAGGTAGTAAAACACACACTTTTTTGGTTTCTTCTTTGGGTGCCCAGTTGATTGAATCGCTTAATGTTCACATGTCACATGTGCGATAGGATTAGATTTCCTATCCTCTCTACCCTCAAGTACGTTGGTAAGACCCAGTCAGATATGGTTTGCTTGCAATCATGAACTCTTTTAGCTGATCGGAAAATGTGTTCATGTCACAGGTTGAAGCTGTCTGGGAGGAGAAGATATCTCGTCTTGCTAGTAATGATGGCAATGTCTTAGCGGGGAGAATATGTAGTTTGATTTGTGAGATTTTACATTGATGACTATAATATAAGCGAAATTAAAGCAGTTTCATTTGTTGTCGGCTAGCACTAATAATCCCAGTTTAGATGAGAGCCACAAGGCACTTTCCCCATGGGAGCGAGAAGAGACGTCCCACTCCCCTCTGCGAAATGCGATTTGAAAAGCCCTTGACGAAGCGGAAAGGTGTGTCTTCCTTGCCGGAAGGGAAGTCATCTACGGAGAGACGCTAAAATAGCTCGTGTTTGTGGCCCATGTTCGCTTTCCCACTGGATATCTTTTCGAGTCTTTATTTCCTCTTTTTGGTTGCTTGAGTTGGAAGACTTCGCTTATCGCTAGGGCAATGTTTTTTTAGGGTGAACCAGACGTGTGACTTCAGATACTTGCTAGAAATATGAATGGCAAAATGCTGACTTGGAGACTTACGTAGACGGGTCAGGACTTGGAACGGAAGAATAGAGTGCTGGCTGGAGTCTAGAGAAGAATCACAGATGAAGGTCATAGTAAGCTTAAGATGCACAGGAACATGTCGATGAAAAGTATACACACAAGGATATTGTGGTGATTTTTGGTCGACGTTTAATTTTGAACCGCTTTGTAAATACCTGTGGTTGCAAAGTTGAAATTAAAGTGGGTTAAGAGCGTCGCCCATATTGGCGCTATTCTAGGCTGACTTTACGGAGTATTCTGAAGCCGAATCGCTCGGAAAAAGGTTGTCTAAATAGGCTGCTCAAACTTTGTCGCTTACTCTTACTTTGTCATACTTGTATACTTTTCTGGTAGCTTTTCAGTACAAGACCACAGAAGCGAGATGCAAGTGTAGCTAAAGCGTCTCTTTTTTAACCACTGAGTTACCTAGTTCCAAAGGATATATCCCCGCTGGCTTTTTTTAAGCTACATATAGTGTTTATAAACCTAAGTCTGATCATCCCACTGGATGTAGTTTTAAGTCACGTTTTTGAGTACCGCAAATTTGATGCCCCCAGACCCCTGGTTACGCCCTGGAATAACTCGGAGCAAAAGTCCAAGTTAAGTGGAACCCAACATCGTATCCCGGGCAAAATAGATAGACTTTCAGTGCCAACACCTTTAGTTATGTGGCGCCAAGGAAGCAACGTCCCGTTCCGATGTCCGACTACTCCGTACAAAAAACACAAAACCTCTCCCTAATTATCTTTCCTTGAATCGTCCACCAGGTCCTGGAAAGCGTTATATTTACACCACGACTCCATGTGCAAGGTGAAGTAACGTTGAGATATATATTATCCAGTTCCACCTTGTACTCCGGCAAGTGACATTGGTTTAGCGCCGGTGTGACTTGGATCTAAACTTCTCCTCATTCTTCTGAAAACATTTATGAAGATAAATTTTCTCAAGGACATTATACTTGGAGTTGCAAGAGATTTTGCCATATCATGTTGAAACGGGCTTCTGTAAGCGCGGTGCTTATAGGCGTCTGTGCATACTTATTCGCCTCATCCAGAGAAGTCGAGGAAAACTACGACCCTCCCATCATTGGCAAAAACAACACTCTCCTCTTCCTCACAAACGACCACGTAGGATGTAATAATGTACATCTTTCGACTGTATACTCCCTACTCGCGAAATATCCAGAAACCGAACTGCATTACGCTTCTTTTCCTAAAGTCGAAAAGAGACTGAAACACATCTCAAGTCTTGCAGCCCAAACAGGGTCAAAGGCAAAAGACGTCTTTTTTCATCCTCTGCCCGGCACTGGATACGTTGATACTCTTGCCGAGTTGTTCGCCATCGACAAAGAACTTGAAATCGGCTCACACGGACCCGGTCTGAATACTCTTTCAAAAAGCATTGGTTCATATATCGCTCCTTGGGCAGCAGAAGACTACTACAAGCTCTACGACACTTGCGCTCGTTTGATTGACGAGATTGATCCTGCAATTGTTATCATCGATACTGTCTTCGGCCCCGGGGTTGACGCTACAAGGGATCGAAATCGCTCTCATGCGCTCATCACTCCTAATCTATTGACGGATTACCTGCCAGCGGAACAGCCAAAATGGACCTTGTTTTGGAAGTATCCTGCTGTAGGCTCTGGTCACCCGTATCCGGTACCCTGGAGTCTTATCCCACTCAACATATACTGCAATTACAAGATGATTAGTGGAGTGTTGTACGACAAGAAGATTGCGGCAAAGAGGGAGATCTTGAGGGCAATGGGAATCAAGAAGCCAATTGACTTCCTAAATCTTTATAAACCGAATGTACCATTCTTAACGCAAACTTTACCTGGTGCACACTTGCCAATGATGGTGATGCCGAGGAATGTTACATTGACGGGACCAATCAATCTCGCCGGTTTGGAGGAGAAGACATCTGCAGCAAAGGAGTTGTTGGAATGGGCAAAAAAGCCGACGTTGATGATTTGCCTTGGGAGTGTATTTCCTTATCAACCATATCAAGCAGCAGTGATGCTAGAGGCTCTTCAAAACGTTTTAAAACAGACTGATGTCCAAATCTTGTGGAAGATGAGTCAACTCGACCTATTCGAAGGCCATGCTGTCGAGAATGCGATACGAGATTCAAATGGTCGTCTGAAGATCGAGAAATGGCTGGATGTTGAACCTCCCACTCTTCTAATAGAGGGGAACATCTCTGCTTTTGTCCATCATGGCGGTGCAGGATCCTATCATGATGCACTCGCGTAAGTCTCCAAATCCAGATCCTTCTTTCCAAAATGCTGTACTAACAACCACAGGGGTGGTGTCCCACATATCATTCTTCCACAGTGGGCAGATCTATACGATTTCGCATCGCTTGTAGAGAACCTGGAAATTGGAATCTGGGGTTGTCGTGAAACCAGTCCAGATTGGACAGTGGAGTGTTTGCAAGAGGCGATGCTCCTTGTGCTCAAAGACAGCCCTGCCAGTTCAAAAATGGCTAAAAATGCGGCGGCTTTCGGGGAACAAGCCGGAAAGCAAAGAGGCCGTGATGTGGCTGCGCAAGAAGTAGCACGGTTGGCTGCTTTGGGGCATGCTTAGACTTGGTTGTGGTAGTCAATCTTCTTGGATTGCGGTGATGCCATTCATTGGGTGGAGCATTCCAGTTTCATGGATTATGTTTTGAAATATTTACATGAGGTATATTTTTGTTTCAGCGCAAGAGGGTTTACATTATTCTTGCATACGTTAAGAATCTAGAGAGTACATTACAGTTGTCCAGCTTAATTAGATGAATGTAACAAGCGATCAGAATAGCTTCAACGTCTAGGTACATCAAATCTTGGTTATGAGCTGACTGCCTTGATGAATTCATGTAAATGAACAACCTCGCAATATATGTTGTATTGAGCTTAAGACACACCGTGATTACTGGTTTATTGTAAATTTGTGCGCCATGACTTTCCTTGAATTCTCTTCTTAACCTCTCTCTTTCCCTCTGAATACCTTTATTCTTTGTGCTTTTAAGCGCACTTTTTATTGAAAGTGATTTCTTGATTTTCACATCTAGCTTGAATATTGCCCTGGAACGATATTCGTGATTCATGCACTTCGTACACCATGTAGCCTGATACCATTCCCAATACTGTACCCTTTTTCATACCTGTGATCGCTTAAGTCTTAATTGAGTGTAGTAAACCTATATGCCCCCCTCAAGACTCTCTGAGGTCTTTCATGTTGTAAATTATAGTCACGCTAGGACAGAAAGCTATTGAATTTATTCCTTTCGGACAATATAGTCATAACACTTACCTGTGCGAGAAAGTGAAGTGAAGTAAAGGTATTTACTTTTACTACATTTTCCTCGTAAATCAAAGTCGTTTGGCTAAACAGGCTACGTCTAGTAATCTACTAGGAAACCCAAAGAAACTGTAGGTGGAAGGCCATGCACAAGGTTATAGCCACCGTCAACACAGCCATGACGAGCAATTCGGGTACGGGCGGGTTGAAGGATAGATCAAGGAATAGATATTAGGATAATCAGCTCAAGGGCATGTCGGAAGACTCGAGGGACAAACAGCAAGACCATGGGCAATTTGGAGGACTTAGAGGAGGTGTAAGATTGGTCGTTATAAAGAATTTGCTTATTGTGGTTTTGACAATCACAATGACGGTTGGTACGAAAAGAATGGTCAAGCGTAATGTTGTTGTCCGAAAACTTGATTCTCTTGAAGCATTGTGTGGTATTACAACCATTAGCCGCACGATTCCAACATTCTATAGACATTTGCTCAGACAAGACCGGTACCTTTACCCAAGGCAAACTGGTGGTGAAGAAAGTTTGAATTCCAAGGAAGGGAACATACTCCGTAGTCACCTCTGATAACCCCCTTGATCCGACCAGAGGCGAGCTATCCTACGCTCAAGCAGCGCCTGCGGAAGTTTTCAATGAGAGAGGACCTGACGAGAAAAACATGACACCCTCCAACTACGAAGATCTTCACAGAGGTAATAATGACCTTGGGCACTTCCTCAATATTGTTTCTCTCGCAAACTTGGCCCATGTCCACCAATCCGAGAACGAATGGAAAGCCCACGGTAATCCAACCGAAACTGCCATTCAAGTTTTCGCTTCCCGCTTCCCGCTTCAATGAGAATCGCTCTCGGTAGACTGCTGAGGGTAATCCCACTTGGACGCAGAAAGCCGAGTTTCCATTCGATTCTAATATTAAGAAGATCTCTGTCATTTTCGAATGAGCTGATGATGAGATTATGTTTTTTTCCACCCAAGGGGCCGTTGAGAGGGTGTTGGATTCCTGCTCATCCATTTGCGGTCCTAACGGGAATGTTCATTTGTCCAAAGAAATCCGGTGCCATGTTCTGGACAATATGGAAGCCCTCGTTAGCCAGGGTCTCGGAGTACTGGCTTTTGTAAGCAGGGAACTACATTGAAAAACCGATGAGCTAAAATACTCCTGAGCGAGCAATCATTGGAATAGATCTTATTCTTCGTGGACTGGCTGGTCTTTGTAGTCCACCACTCTCTCTTTCTACCATCCAAACAACCCCTCCCCCTCCCCCTCCCCCTACTAATCAAACCCCTTCTTTCCCTTCCCCCAAAAATGACGTAAAGGGCCTCAAGGGGGCCAGGACCGCAAAAAGTCCAAAAATAGAAAGAATTTGATCACTACGAGGGTCGAACTCGCGACCTTGGCGTAATCTGGTTAACGGGTTTAGCCCTATTAGCACCACGCTCTAACCAACTGAGCTAAGCGATCTTGTGTATTCCTTTGAGTTAGGGTTGGCTCCCCTATTGGGATATTAATATGGATGACTGTGCGTGTGTGTGGGGCTTGTACTTATGTTGTGCCCAGCTGGGATGAGGGGTTTGGAAGGGAAGGTGGGGTTGGATGGAGCGGGCCGATGTTTGGCCGATTTGTTCCCGTTGGATTTGGTGATATCTCAGATGTTTGTTTGGTATCTTGTTATCATTATTGGTTTGTCTTTTACTTGAGCCATTGTGTGTAAGAACTTCAGTTTGGTTTCCGCAACTAGAGGTTCTCTCAAGCTGTGAGAGTGCGAACTAATAAGTGTAAAGAGTACTCGTAGAAGGCTGGAAATTGCAAGATGGGAGATACTTGAGTACCTGATCATTGGGAAGTAGAAGAACTACAGATCTATTCCTGAGACCACACATGCTTCTGAAGTTTCATATTTTCCATGGCGTGGATTGATCGATTGGTTCTTGGACTGAATTTATTTATAAAAAAGAAAGGCTGCCAGGGCAAATCACAAGAAGCAGGACAATTAGGTTTGTTACTTTGGTAACTTTCCCTTATCTTGACTTCTAAGTAAAGCCTCAATAGCCTCGCCAGGTATTTCAAAAACCCGAGGAAGAATAACTCTATAACCATGTAATAGTTGGCAATCAATAGCTTCCAATTCCACAATGTTGTCAGATTAGATCAAGTTTACTTCCTTCACTAAACACACTACTCCAGCAGAAACCATAACACAAGGAGAAGCTTCGGACCATCGTAGCTGCATTATTGCATTGAAGTGTTCTTCGGTAGGCTCTTTGTTATCATCACTCAACATCTTGGAAGTGGGAATGAAAGAAAAGAGAACATGTTTTTACCATGTGGCTGTTTTAAGAAGGGCTCTTACTCAGTAAGTTGAGGTCTCAGCGCCATAGTCAGTGCCAAGGCTCTTTTCAGAGCTAACATTCTAGACAGATGACAAGCTTTCTGTCAACACATGTTGCAAAGAACTAATCCTGTTGGTGGAAGATTGAGTATCTGCCTTGTTGTTCCATGCAAACGGCCGTGATGGCTAATGTAGGGAACCGACCGGTACCTCGAGGCTGAGTTGCCTGACAGCTGAATGGACAAAACAAAGCTGACGCCGGGGACATAGTGCCAAGGCGATTTCGACGTGGATCTTTGTCATCACAGATCCGGTAGAGATGGCGGCATCGAGACGATGAAGGCTACGCGATATCAACATACAGATATGGAATCGAATGAGGCGTAAATGGGGTTCCCGACGCGAGAGGTCAAATTGTTGATGGAAGGGTGTGGGAGTGGAGAAGACAGAGAAGAAGAGCTGATCGCTTAGTCAAGTTCACCGAGGGACAATTTAATGCACACCTGATTGCTAACCGGATGGGGGTAATACTTATGGGGCCTGAGCTGCATCCCTGTGCACAAGTGTGGAATCTTTGGTACAAATAAAGCCCTGCCATGCCGCCCCGAGAAAAGTGAAAAAGCTCGCTACTGAGACTCGCCAGATCCAACACCCCCCATCTCCACCACTCACCGCAGGACCGATCCTCATTGGTCCAATCACGGGACCTGAATAACCAAATCACCCGACACCTGCACACACAACACTTTTTACTTTTACTAAAAGTGCCGTCTACTTCTTGGGAATCGTCCGGAGTTTCCAATCCCAAGTCACCGATCACTAAGGCCCGAGGTCCCGGTCGCCATTCATTGCGGCCACGTCACGTGACTGAACAAGGAATCCCGCCCGCGTCACCTATCGCATTTCTGTTTGCGGAAGTGACCTTGGAGTGAGCGGGAATATCCTCACGTTGGCTTCACTGCCTCACCCCTCGTTGGGTTGGTGGCTGCCACCTGTCTACCCTTCCTCCAGGAATTGTTCACCGCATTGGATCTACATAAATTCTTCCCAACCTGCTTGAAAAGAGGAACCAGGCCATACATCATAACTATAGCGACAGCGACAGCTACAGCCACCTAAAGCCAGGCCTAGGTTCACTAGACATTAGACAAAGAACGGGGCAGCTGTCCGCATTAGCTTGCATACCTACCGCTCTTCACCTGCGCTCATACGCTCCTACGCTCCGCTTCAGGACCCGCTTGCTGTCAGGTTTCTGGTAGCGGCTAGCCCTTCACTCGGGATCATCGCGCGCGCCTTCGCCTACAGTACAAAAATATGATGGACGATACATATGCGCCTCGTTCCCCCGACCTTTCTGCCCTCATATCTTCACCCACCAAGCAACAATTCACCTCCCAACCCACCAACAACCCACAATCTCCCATTCACTCTTCATACAATCTCCCCTCCCAGTCCCCACGAAATCCGTATCCCTTCCAAAACAGTCAACAATCACAGGCGCATCCCTTTGGCGGCGGAACTGGGTTTGCCGACTACAATAATTCGCAATATCAAATTCCCTCTCTACCAGCCTCGCACTCATTCTCCACCACCGCGTCCTCCTCAAATTACTATCCGCCCTCGACCCAATCTCAATCACAACCACACTTTCAATCTCACTACCAACAAGAAATCAAAACTGAAGATAATTACCCCTCCAACACCCCCACCAAAGACCCGACCTACAGACCACCGCCCACCATGGCGTCCCGCGGTGCGCGTCAACCACGCAATAACAACCAGACCCTCGCATCCTCCTCCGCGCCGCCTCCCACATACAAAGACCCCAACCCAAACAACATCGAGATCAAGACCAAATTCCCTGTTGCGCGCATAAAGCGAATAATGCAGGCGGACGAGGAGGTCGGAAAAGTCGCGCAAGTAACACCCGTCGCGGTCTCGAAAGCACTGGAACTTTTTATGATCGCCCTAGTAGGAGGAGCTGCAGAAAAGGCCAAGGAGAAGGGCGGGAAGAGAGTCACGGCCCAGCATTTGAAGCAAGTTGTGTTAGGGAGCCCGGAGCAATTCGATTTTTTGGCGGATATTGTTGCGAGAGTGAGTGAGGCGCAGGAGGGCGCTGGGGGCGAGGGAAGAAAGAGAAAGGAGAAGCAGGAGGTTAGTGAGAGTGATGAGGAGGTTAAGAAGCCTAAAAAGACCAAGGGGCGGAAAAAGAAGAATGAGGATTAGGTGGTAGAGCTTGCTATCGAGGGGTTATGTCGTGGGTAACTGGGTATATGAATGGATAGGCGGAGTTTGATGGAGTGTGTTCTTTTCTTGTCTGGGTTTGCTTCTTTGCGAGTGGCGTTACGGGCATATTACCATACACCGGGTCCCATGATTTGCAGTCTATTCATTTTCAGCCTCTTCGAGAAATAATTTCCAGCCTTTGAGCCTTTGACGCGAATTGTGATGAGGTGGTAGATCCTCAAACTTTGACTGTTATGGGCTACACAAAAGGGTGTCACATCCCAGATACGAGTCAACAACGCATGACTCTTCTACGATTCCATTCTGCTCCATAAACTATGGATTCTGTTTGTGCTATACACACACTTATACTTATACTACATCTCACCCTCCCATCTCCCTCTAATGATTCTTTCCTAAAAGCCCCTTCGAAAGAAGTAGCTACTTTTCCACCACCTCACCGGCATCCTCCAGAAAATCCACCCCCTTCTCAGCCCATACCTCCCTAGCCCTCCTCGTCCTCTCACTCCACCTCCTACTATCTTCCAACTTCTCCCTCCAATGACTCCACCCCTGCGTATCCCCAACACTCTTAAACATACACCCCAAATTCAACCCACTCATCTGATCGCCCCCTTCAGCCGCAACCCTTATCCACTCCCCCGCCATCCCATACCCCTCAATCCTCTTCGGCAACCCCTCCTTCTCAAAAACAGCTTTCAACTCCAGCTCTCCCAACTTCGCCATCGCCCCTAAGATGCCCGACGCCGCGGCTTTAATAAGATACACTTTCTCTTCTGGCGAGCCGACAGGCGACCACCGGGAAAGGTAGTAGTATGCTAATGGCTCATCAAGTATGAGCGCTGCGGTTTTGAAGGCCGCGTGAGCAAGTGACTTATCGTCTGCTCGTAGCTCCAGAAGCAGGAGACCTTTATCTACCAGCGCCTCGCCCGCGCCGTCGAAATTCACGTTCCCGTATGGGTCCGAGGTAGCTTTTTCGAGGTACTCGAGGGCTTCGGCGTGGTTTCCTTGGTGCTTTAGGATCTTTCCGTGGAGCGCCAAGGCGGAGGGGTCGTGTTGGGAGACTAGTTCTGAGAGGGCTTTTAGGGGAGTGTGTGGCAGAGGGGAGGAGGATGCGAGGCTTGAGAGGAGGAGTTCATAGGTTGCTGGTTTGGAACCGAGTTTGGAGGCGGAGAGCATTACTTTGGTGGCGAGGAGCCTTTGGAAGCGGGTTGGTGAGCGGCGGAGGATGCCCGCGAGGATGGTTAGTGTTGTGGGGGTTATGGAGTGGCCTGTTCTTTCTGTTAGCATTGTTCTATATCGAAATCTTTCAATACTCCAGTCGTAATTCGGCAGGGTTTGCGGTTATTCTATGAGAGAAGGGAGGTGGGAAACGAACGTGTACAAACTTCCCTCTCCCATTCCGGTCTACTACTCGACGACTCATCCATATATTCCGTCAGAAAAGCAACGATAGCTTTTGGTTCTAGATTTATAACGCCGGATTTTTGGGCTGCGCGCAGTAGTGCATCTGGTGGTAAGGAACTCTCAACATCTGAGGGAGGATTCTCTAGGGGATTCTCTAGGGGATTCTCTAGGGGTGATTCCCTAAGGATCCGGCCACGGGTTGGTCGCGCGGGCCGCTTTGCGAGACATGTCGAGCTGGTGTGAAAGCTCTTGCTTGTTGATGAGACTGTTTTTTGAGAGGGCTTCGAGAGTTTTAAGAGGGTGTGAGTGAGTCTTTTTGAGGCGTTCATTTTGAGAGTGTTGTGTTCTTATGAGTGGGTGAGAGGGGTTTGGGTGATATTGTCACCGCCTTTTTAAGAGGAAATTTTCTTCTGGGTATCTACAAGTTCATTAGATATAAGTCATGATTAACAAATCTTATAATTACTTACCAAGTATCCATCTTGAACCAATAGGTGGTCCCTCAAACCAAAGTCGCGATATCCATATTTCGAGATACAAAAGCGCTCACGTGGGCGGTGAGCTAAATACGCTAAACTCAATTCAGTTCTCTTCCGTCAGACCCAATTAAAAAGTTTAGTCGATAGGTAATCGCGTAACCATTCTTTCCCCACAAAATGTAGCTGCAGAGCAAAGCTCCGGCTGCAGTCAGACCCCTCACACCTTTTTTTTCACGCAAAAAAAAGCCGCGCGACACTGAACCGAAGCTATCAACCCCAACCACCCTCGATTCCCAAACTTCCCATTCATGTTCTCTAGAATCCTGTCATCCGCAAAGAATCTTCTTGCCAGTACCAGTCCCCCGGATTCTCAGGACCAGGATCAGAATCAGGACTTAGTGTTTGACGAGGCTGTGGAGAAGGAAGATAGTATGTTCTCGCCCGGTTCATGGCGCGCGGCGCGCGGCACGACTTTTTGGCGGAAGTCGCAAGCTAATAAAGGGACAGTGGTTGCTACGAGACGAAGTGGGAAGGGGGGTGAGGAAAGTCCGATTGTGAAGCCGGTTCATGTGCTGAGGAAGAGGAAGTCGGGTGGCATTTCGAGGGACGAAGAAGACGAGGTGGTGGAGATTGAGGAGCCGAATTTTACCTCTTCTGCTAAGAGGAGGAGAATTGCGAAGGCGACGCCGAAAAAGAAGATTGAGAAGGATTTGGAGATTAGACCTAAGAGTACGGTTTGTGTGGTTGAGATACCTGCCATGTCGCCAGTTCCAGCTACGGATCTCAGCGCCTCGGAACCGGAAGGAGAAGATGTGGAGAGCGAGAAGGAGAAGGAGGTCATAGTTATCGAGGACGAGGAGATTACTGAGGAGCCAAAAATTATCGAGGAGCCAGAGGTCGCAGTAAAGGTTTCGATGGAGGAAACCACAGAAGTTACAACTACAGAGCCAATTTCAGAAACAGAACAACTCCCAGCCCAACTACCCTCCGACCCCGAAACGGCCAATAAACTACCTTCTCCCAAAAAGACATTCCCGGTCGAAGAATCTCAAACCCTCGACCATCTCCCGCCATCTAAACCACAACAAGTCCAACAAAAATCCTCTCTCCCCGCCCTCCTTCCTGACGATTACCTCAACGATACACCCTCAAATCAGATTTCATTCCCCAAACCAGCGTTACCACTGGTCAAACCGAAGAAAACGAAATTCCTCGACATCGTTGAGGAGACACCGAAGGATGTGAGGATCGGAGGTACGACTTACAAGGTAGCCAAGAAGACAAGCACGAATCTTGCGCCGAAGAGTTTGAACAAAGCGCGTTTGACGAAGGAGAGTTGGATGCAGGGAAGGACTGGTACGAAATTGGGGAATGGACGGCGGCCTGTTGGGAAGGGGTTCTTTGTGAAGTAGGCAAGATGCTCGTGTGTTCATATTTTCTGGCGTTTTAGTATGGAGTGGTATCATGTTGTAATTGCTTGGGCGGTACATATTCTCGATTGCTTGCCTTAATGTTGTTCGGGTATCTGGAGGCACATCTGCAGTTTCAATACCTTGATGGTTAGCTAGTGAGCTACATTGCTTTTACGAATTTGCTAGGTTTTACGAAGGTTATGTCTTGTCGATAGATGACTGGTACATACTGAATTCAAATAGTGAGCCAAATCCCTCATACTACTGACTATCTCTGAATCCTTTGAGCTTGCTATTGCCTTGGAAACAAGTCCTAATATAGGTGATTGAGCGAGATTTCTCAGATACTCGCCCTATAGGAGACTACTTGTTAGCTAGAAGGTATTAGGTTAATTATTCCATCTCTCGAGATTGGTACCTAGGGTCCGTCGTCGACGACGGGATTCTGTTGTTTAGTTATACCAAGTACTATAAGGTCTTTGGAAGTAGTGTGCTAGTAGGGACGGGAATGAAAACTGTGGAATCTTGGTACGCCCTCTGAGAATGTTCTGAAGAATGGCTGTGAGTAGTAGGTTAAGAATGGTGAAATCGATAAAAAATAAAGGTTGTTTTGTGAATACAGATTATGGAACCCCTCTCCAACAATGCCTCCTCGAAAATTCTCCGCTTATAGTACGGATCCTACATGATCTTCCTACACAGTTTGGAAAGTGAAAAGGCTTTCCCTCGCTTATTGTTGGATGGGATCTCATAGCTTATATGAGAGAGATCTGTGAAAATTGAATACTAAAGGGTATGTATGGCAAGACATAGGAAAGATATCAAGGGAGAGTCGACTGGAGAGGTTGAGTATTCTAAGTTAGTACTGTAGTCGTTTTAGACCAAAGGAAGGTAATTAAGTCTTTCTTGCGATATTCAACGAGTACTATGTATTAGATATGCCTAGAAAGAAAAAAAACAGCGAAAGCATTCTTAGTCGAAAAGTAAGCAATATAAGAGAATAAAAACCAAAAAAAACAATTTTTCAAGCCAGTTACTATACGGCATTGAAAATTTTATAATCGGCATTGAAGTGACATAGACCCCTAGCCATATTACAGTGCGTTCCCAGGTACTCCTAGTGACTTGTAATATCGTAACACTATATTTTCGTAACCATATATCTAATAATACACGTGATCCTAAACATAAAGCTATTTATAACTTTGATCTACCTACCTACTGTACTAAAGTACTACTATTACTACTACACTATACTATACTACTATTTAAAGCTATTCCTATCTACTAAGTCGTCTACCTTATTATCGTACCTTTACTATTGTATATTATATCTATAAATACCCTTACTATCGCTATTATATCGTAATTACACCTCGATAAAGTAAAAGCCCCTCTTGTGACGGTTATGGTCACGAGGGCTGGATGTCACATGCTCGCTTAGCGAGGCGCTAGCGCGCACGACCTGTATTTAGTTCCCAGCTCTCTCGAGCTCTCCTTCTTTCCTCGTCTTTTGTCCTAAGAATAGAGTGTTAATTGTTCTGAGTTCTACCTGAAGCACGTCTGTCACACCTCTAGCTCTCTCTACTACTTTAAGACCTCTTATTCCCGGGACCTTTATAATAATCGACAAGGCTTATAATTTCCTTAAAGATTATAGTTTTTAATATAGATAGATATATAAAATCGCCTATATATATCCTAATCCTATAGTATATAAATTACGTAATCCCCCGAAGCTAAACTAGGTCCGATTCTCTTATAATAAGTCTTATAATCTAGAGGACTTTTCGACTATATCTTTAAGCGTTTATCTAATAAAGTATTATAACGTCTAGAGATCTAAGAAAACAAAGTGTTCTTTTACTATTAAATTAAGCTCTAATTCTTTAGGATAGACTTTTTAAGCCTAGGATAAATCTAACTCTTTCTATAATTACCTTAGATATATTACGCTAACCGCGGACCCTACTAATTACTACGAATAAACAGAATCTATAATTAAGTAGAAGGCTCTTAAATAGTATTCTAGTAGTACTAACGTGCATGTATAGCGAACCGGCCAAACAAGCGAACCGGCCAAAGCCTGGCGACCCCACCACACCTCCACGAAATATTAAATTTCTCTACAACGAAGGATGCCTCTGAAAAATGACGAAAGCCGGTTAGTCTTAGCTATCCAAGCTATGCAAAAAGACCCAAATTTACGTGCTCGAGCTGCTGCCAGGACCTATTCTGTAGACCACCGGAAGCTAGGTCGACGTTTGCTTGGTATACCTTCACGACGCGATATTTTAGCCAATTCACGGAAAATGACCGAGCTAGAGGAATCAGTACTTGTTCAACATATCCTCGACCTAGCTACATAAGGATTTCCTCCGCGGATATCTGTAGTTGAAGATATAGCAAATCGACTTCTTGAAGCACGCGACGCGCCACGCGTCGGGACGCGTTGGGCTTATAACTTTGTTAAGCGCCGCCCAGAACTCCAGACACGCTTCCAACGAAAATACGACTATCAGAGAGCTAAGTGCGAAGATCCAGAAGTCATTCGTGGCTGGTTTGAGCGAATGAGGCTGGTTTGAGCTTGTACGAAACACAATAGCGAAGTACGGAATCTACGATGCAGATATCTACAACTTTGACGAGACTGGGTTTATGATGGGCGTTATCTCAACTGCAATGGTTATTACAAGCTCAGAAGGACGTGTAAAAGCAAAAAGAGTACAGCCTGGTAATCGGGAATGGGTTACAGTAATCCAGGGGGTTAATGCCCAAGGCTGGTGTGTTCCACCGTTTGTGATTGTTGCCGCAAAAAATCACCTCGCTTCTTGGTACCAAAACAGTGGATTTCCACCTAACTGGGTGATTGCTATTACTGAAAATGGTTGGACAACAAATGAGAAAGGCATGGATTGGATTCGACATTTTGAGAAGCATACAAAGTCCCAATCTATTGGTGGTTATCGTCTATTAGTCCTCGACGGCCATGAAAGCCACCACTCCGACGAATTTGAGGAATATTGCAAGGAAAACAACATTATCACTCTTTGTATGCCTGCTCATTCTTCTCATATACTCCAGCCACTCGACGTTGGCTGTTTTAGCCCTTTGAAAAGGGCATATGGTCAGCAAATTGAAGATATGATGCGGGCTCAGATCATCCATATTACTAAGGATGATTTCTTTCCTGCCTTCCACGCCGCATTTAATATTGCAATGACAGAAAGCAATATCCGAGGAGGGTTCCGAGGGGCTGGGCTTCTTCCATTTGACCCAGAAAGTGTAATTTCTACACTTGATCTTAAGCTAAAGACGCCAACGCCTCCAAACTCCCCCCCGTATTCCGCTCAGCCTTGGGTTTCCCAGACACCAAATAACCCTACTGAAGCCTTATCACAGACTGCATTTATTAAAGATCGAATTTTACGCCACCAAAGTAGCTCTCCAACCCCTATTTACGAGGCCATTGACCAGTTTACGAAGGGTGCATCAAAAGTAATGCACCAGATAGTACTATTGAAAGCTGAGAACCAGAGACTTCGACAAGCAAATGAAGTACTAAGTAAGCGCCGTAGAGCTAAAAAAACACGCCTACAGCAAGGAGGATCACTTAGTCAACAGGAAGCGCAGGACCTACAGGATGATAGAGACGTTGGTGAGCAGGTAATGCAGGAAATAAAGAGAAGTAGTGGTCGGATGTAACGAATACTCAAACTGGCTGACTAAACTTGGCTGGGTGTTCGCTGGTTGGTATGCTATGATAAGAAGAAGACTATCGGGTTGTTCACTTGGAAGTGAACTCGTTACTTGTATCAAAGATGTCAAACTAATATGATAAGATTGATAACTAAGTTGAGCACGAAGCTCCTATCTAATGGCAGACGTGCCAGTCTTATATAGAACCTTCGTTCTCTCTACATCGCCTACATCACCTGTCGATGTAGTCGACCTCCTATCGCTAACATCGACTGTCGATACAGGCGATGCGATTGACCACGTGACTACATACACGAGAAATCCCTGGATCGCTTAGCTACTCCAAACGATCCCTATTTGCTATAAGAAACCTGGATGTGCCTGTCGAGGGTTGCTCCTCTTATTATGACAGGTATCACGTGAACACGTGATTCGTGACACTAGTCACTTTAATACCGATTATAAGATTTTCAATGCCGTATAGGAATAGGCTTTTTCAATAACGCTGGCGAGAACAGTCATTCCCCCTTTCCTACCTCGCCATTCCAACCCGATCTTGGGTTTAGGGTTTGAGCTTGATGGAAATTGAGCCCCTGCTTGGCAAAGAGGTAAAGGGTCTGGACAGCTCACGTCGCCCCCTCCCCTGTATAAGACTTGTTATAGGCAGGGTATAACTCCACAATTTAGCCCTCTAAGCCAATTGAATTGTCCCATTCATGTGGAGGTATATCAGAAAGTGACAAGGGAGGGGTAGACCCGAGCTGTCCAGACCCTTTAACCATGGATCGAAACCAGTCCCGCTTTCCAAGTCCCTGCCATCTGGGCTTTCATTTTTGGTTCCAATTCCATGAACCAATTCATTTATTCTTGTGATATGGAGCAGATGGGTTGTTCAGAGTTTTGAGTTATCGTTCGCTCTTCGCTATAAGTTAGGGAAAGGGGTTAGTAGATGAAATATGGGGATTTCTAGGAGCGTTTTTTCAGTATCGTGAAGAATGATGGGTTAGTCGGTAGTGTCTTGATGGGAAGTGTAGAGGTCTATCTCGATCTTGCTGGCTTGAACTCAGAAAGAGCCGCAGTGCCGCAGTTGGAAAGATGGTGTGGTGTTGAATTGATGTTGTAGTGATACAGTAATTCGACTGCCCCGCCTTGCCTTTTACGTAGCTCCATTTCTTCTCTTCCCCCCCTTGCATAATAATCTTCAACACCGCCACCACCACACCGGATCCCATCGTATAAATGTCAAGCAACGTGGCGAGCGTGGCCGCGAGTGCAAGCTACTGTACTGTGTTAGCTCGATTTCGGTCGATTGCTGTGGCGCTCTGTGGTTGCTCACCGCCTCAGGACCTCGGCGTCTGAACTTTCCATAAGGTTTAATAGCCCAATACAAGTCCCCGCGTGGTGCATTTTCGTCGTCGTCGATTGTGCGACTCGTACATTTTCAGCCTCTGTCGTCTTTCTTGTCTAGTTCATTCGTAGATCAGTCAGTAGCTGGTCAATATCCTGCTTATTCTATTCGAAGACTTGAAGCCTTGAAGCCTTTCGCACATTTCCGTCTTCGTTGTTCCACACGCATTGTTTATATATATGCAGTCATCCAAGAAGTATGGCTTCGGAGGTAACACAAAGACTGCTTTCTTTCCGCAAGTTGATCGAGTTATATTTTGCAAAGAAGCCCTGATGTGAATCCATGAGGTTTTGACTTTCACTCGATTATGAAAACTGTCCGGAAGTTCTCCGTATTTTTATGTAAATGTTCTGATGTAATGGTGGATCTGGAATTTCAGCCCTTCTGCATGAACAGAGCCCCAGGTCCGGTCATCAATACGAACCCCTCAACAGCTGGGCCTCAATTCTCGTGTGAAGAAGCTCGCCAAGCACTATTTTTAAGCTTCCGAAACGACATTATTTCCAATCAAGCCGATTCGGACAAGGTTTTCTGGAATTTGGGGTCATTGTTCATTGGGCGGTGAGACCCACAACTTGGTCAATCTCTCGCCTTGTTACATTATTTGTAAATTCTTATTCCCCGAGATGGGTACGCACGGTACAGGTGGAGTTTGTTTATAAGATCTTGTTCGCCATGTGTGTATATTTTCACCTGCTTTTTGTTCTCTGTTGCAAGGTATGAGTGTTGAGTGAATATCACTTCGTCCGTTCATTTCCTTGCTGCCTTCAAATAGTCTATTTGATTTCTAATCCAACAACACCTTGGAAGCCTTTTCGATTTTCGAAACAATCCAGAGACAAAATGCAGCACGTATCATACATCTCATTGCTGGCAAGCTTTTTGGCTTCGGTCGAGGCAGGTCCATATTTCTCTAATGGCCTATACCAACCCAGCGCCGTGACAAACTGCCTTGATGCGAAGAAGGTACCTTATGCGATTGACGGATCAGCAAACTGGACAGCTCTGACAACACCATACAATCTCCGACTTGCATACAAGCCTGCCGTAGTCACCATCCCAGAGACGGCAGAGCAAGTCGGTTTCTCAATAACATGTGCGGCTATGTCAAATCTTAAAGTCCAGCCTAAAGGCGGTGGTCATTCTTATGCCAGTTTCTCGAGTGGTGGACAAGATGGAAGCGTCATTGTTGACATGGAGAAATTCAGTTCTATCACTGTCGACCAAAGTAAGTCCCCGTTCGCTCATTGTAATTCTAACGAAATATACTCACATAATTCAAAGCCACATTTGTTGCCAAAGTAGGAGCTGGTCAACGACTTGGAAACGTAGCTACTGCCATTTACGAGCAGGGAAAACGTGCCCTTCCTCATGGAACCTGCCCAGGAGTCGGAATCGCAGGACATGCTATTCATGGAGGTTATGGTTACGCATCACGAAAGTGGGGATTGACACTTGATCACATAGTTGGTCTTGATGTGGTTTTGGCAAATGGAACTCAAGTCCATGCGACTTCCGATAGTAATGCGGATCTATTTTTCGCCATGCGAGGAGCAGGAGATAGTTTCGGAATCGCGACTCATCTATACCTGGCCACCGAAGCAGCACCAGAGACCGTTTTGACTTTCGCTGTACCTCTGTCAAGCGACATCAACGATGTCGACACTCGCGTTGCTGGATTCCAGGCTATGCAGGATTATACTCTCAACTCTGGCAAGATCACAGGGGACATCACATTCGGTGTTTATCTTGATACTTACGGAGGAATGAGTCTTTCAGGATGGTGTATGAGCTGCGACCGAACAACCCTCGACAGTGAAATCATCCCTGGTCTGGTTTCCGGATTTAACAATCCAGCTGCCACAACCACAAGCTCCAACTGGATTGATGTAGTCACCGCAATTGCCGCCCCAGCACCTTTGGCCCAACCCTTAGGAAGCGCCTACTCATCTCACGACACCTTCTTAGCCAAATCCGTCACTACACGCGAAGCCCTTCCTCTCACCACCGAAGCCTGGCGATCATTCTTCGAGACCGTCAAAGCAAACCAAGGCCAATGGGAGAGACCATGGTTCAGCATCATCAACCTGTACGGCGGACCCGGTTCCGCAATCAACAAACCCACAACCTCTGCCTACAGCGACAGAGATTCCCTCTGGGTCTTCCAGAACTACGGATACTCGTCCAACTCCCAACCTCCTTTTGACCCCGCCGGCGCTACGGTCGTGAATGATCTCCAGAATGCGCTCCCCAAGGCGATGCCAGAGGGTGAATTTACTGCTTATCTGAACTATCTTGATCCGGAGATGTCGCCTCAGCTTGCTGCGGAGAAGTACTATGGAAAGGAGACTTATAATAAGTTGCTTGGGTTGAAGATGGTTTATGATCCACTTTTCACCTTTTGGAATCCGCAGGCTGTGGGTAATTCTATGGCTCTTTGAGAGGTGCTTGGTAGGAGCTGGAGATGGGTAATTTGATAATCGGTTAGCGATTCGGATTTTTACAGCAATGTAAATCATTAATTAACATGGGTAATATGATACCCCATTCCATAATGTATATATTTTCATAATCTGCTCTTATTTTTCGCGTGTTCGGATCTGTTAAATTTGTGTCATGATTCCAAAAATCGCGATAGTATTTCCTACCTAAGTACTAAAACCTCGTAAGATTGAGGAAACAAGATTAAGTTTCGCTTATTTCATGTCTTTCACATCTAATTTCCTGTGGTCTTCTCAAGGCTAGGAGGAATGGTTTATTGCTTTGCCCAGGTGCATTGTAGGTAGAACCATGGCTTATACTTGTATCACACACAAGTCACAGCAACTCTACGGATGTGGAAATAACCTTTGCACAGGCTGCGTTAAAATAGCTATGCTTGAGCTTATCTCAGAGCCACTTGTAACATGACAAGAGAATGCCTTGGATCAATCTCCTACGTAGCTAAATTTTGGCATCTGATATTTCATCGCATTTAGAAGAAGAACTGGAACATTAAATGCTTCCACTACAGAGCTTGGAATCCCAGAACAGAATCTATCACATGACCTATAATAACTACATTCACCTAACTCCTTCTACACATTAACTCCGCAAATAAGGAGTTCCCTACCATGCAAAAGTAGTAAATCCCGCAGCGCGCTACCTCCAAGTGGCGCGTTGGTAAACGTGGTCTCATTGCAAGGCAAAACATTAGTCTAGAGTAGCTATTCCCAAAAGAATAGTGTGGCCAGCCGGTCCTGCCCGCCAACACTCCCAGAAGAGTGGATGGTGCGGACTTTTTGCTGCTTTTCTTTTCTTTTCTTTTCTTTTCTTTTTCTTTTTGTTTGTTTAGGTGACAGTTTATTTTTTTGTGTATTTTCTTGGGGGAGATGGTGGTTGGGTGGATGCGATGTTGCTTTCGGTACTGTAATTATATGGTGTGCCTTGAAGCGAATGCTCGAAACCATCCTGATTTCTACTGAGGGTTTTCATGTCTGCACAGAACGTCACATAAATAGCAATCATCTACTGGACCAATCAATTCAGCAATGGGCCCCCAAATTCCTCATCCGCTCCTCAGAAAATTGACAGGTATTTCTTCTATCTCGCAACCGGAAAGCACGAGTACATTAAATCTAGGCCTCCTTCCTCCAACTACTGCTTTTTCCGGAGACTGGACTCAGTATTGCAGAACAAATGTGTCATAACTGTCCCCCAATATCCCTTTTCATAAAAACAGCTGAGATATGCCATGTCTTTCCCGTAGAATCGATGTCAAACCACGCTTCCTCAACCGTCTTATAAAGCTCATAACCCCTCCGCGCGTACCACTTTGAGACGGAATGCTACACAAAGTTCCATTAGCATTCCTTATCAAAACACCCTCTCCCTCATCTGTATCAACACCCTCGGAACCCTTCCCCCCAAAAAAGACCGAACAAAAAACACACTTAAGAATAGAATAAAACTCACAACAGGCAACATCTTCCCCATCGCAACAAACTTCTCCTCCCTGCCAGGATACTCATCCGCAGCCGTACTCAAAACTAACGCCTTCCTCCCCCTCCCCCTCGCCATCCTCTCCACCTCGTCCATCGCCAAACTGCCTACTTTCAGCCCCTGCAGCGGTTTGGAGATGTAAAAGGCTGTGATTCTGAAGACGTTCTTGAGATCGTAGGAGAGTTTTCCTGGGGGATCGGCTTCATCGGCGTCTAGTGAGATGTGACCGATTGGGATGAACGATTCGTAGTCTTCAGAAAGAGAGTGGGAAGAATGGGGGGTATTGGGAGAGGTGGGATAGGGGAGAGGAGTGGATTCTTGGGGGAAGGATGAGAGGTGGGTGGTTAGTTGGAGGGGAGTTTGGGGGGTGGGTTTTAGGACCTGGGGGTTTTGTTAGATTTCTTTTTGTTTTTTTTGTTTTGTGAGGTATGGAAATGGAAATGGGATTAAGGAGGAACGAACGATCCAATGGAGGGATTTGTGGCCTTCTTGTTGTTGTTTACACCATGTCTCTCGGACGTTTTCTGCGCCCCATCCACAGGCGAGGCGTTGGAGGATGAGTCGGTTGATGTGTTCCTCTGAGTTGGGATCCCATGGTATTAGTTGGATCCGAGAGGGTGATGTTATAGTCGTTTTGGAAAATGAGACTGAGGGTTTAATGATTGAGGAGATTTGAATTATGAATGTGGATTTTGCAGAAGGATGTGGTTTTCCCCATTGAGATGCGGAGTTCGTTCGGGATTCTAGGCTGAATATCGATTACTGGTGCAAGTGAGTCATAGAATGGAAGTGAATAAAATCAGGTCCGATGGATGTACGTAAATATGTGGACTTTGGGTTCTAGGGGGGTTTCTTTCTTTTTCGAAGAAATAATACGGTGAACTGCATATTATTTCAGGATTAGACGTGAAATATGAGTATCCTCATCGTTGATTCGGGATTTTTGCTCTCTGAGAATAATTTATATTGAGAGTAAGCTAAAGCAGAAGTTCAAAGTGAAAAAATGAAGAGAAAGAATTCGAACTTCCACAAAGCATGTTGGCCTCCAATGTGAACTCTGTTATTCCCTCATACCTGAGTCTTGTTGGCGTTCTCAGCTGGAACCGAAAGTGGGGTCGATGAAAAAACCCCAATCATCGCATAAAAACCGCAATGATGAATATAAAGTCCTTGAACTTATTTCAAAAAAGATGAAAACATTAGAAGCAAAAAGAGTGAGCTCATATAAATATAACTATATAATATATGACCGGACAGTTCCCATATTATCTTCTGAAACCAAAAAGGCAGCCCGGCTTGCGAAAGCCGGATGTATCCAGGTGAATAGTCGTACTGAGGATCGAACTCAGAACCATCTCGGATGACTGTTCAGTATGTGAACGAGATATCATAACCATTAGACCATACGACTGATTGTTGGATGGGATTGGATTGAGGCGGGTTATTGACGTATCTAATCATTCCACCGAAAAAGCCACGAAGGTGGGGTTTTTACACTTTCACAGCATCTATTTTTGGACAAATGAAGGACCTGTTAGAAGATTTAGCGGGGTTTGCATCATATTGGAAAGCTAAGCGAGGGTAGAAAACAAAGGGGAGAAAGATGCAGTGAGAATCTCGGGAGGCTAACATAGGTATGAATGGAATCCATGGTGAAATTGATGCGTATTGTTTATCCCCAAGTATGATGTTTATGCTATCTTATGTAGCCTCTCCTTTGGTACTGTAGTAGTGAGCTAGAGCTCCAAAATGCGCGCCGAGGTGCTTGCGTGTACCAGTAGCGGGGACGATTTTTGAAAGAGGGAAAGGAGGATTCAGTACGAAGAAGAAATACAAACAAGAAAAGACGAAACTCGGTCCGAAGATATCTATTTCGAAGTATATGATATATCCCTTTTTGGAATCAAGTCAGTAAGCCGTTACTGCCTGCGCATCATATCGTAGCTTCCCAAGCCATACATAGATAGAGTACAGACGTTTCAGGGGGGCAGGGTCAAGGCCAGGCCAGGGTCAGCTTTCGGACGCAAAGTCCAGCCTCGCTGGGCAGGCCACCAACGACTTCAACTCACCCTGAGTGAGAGAGCTTCACCACATCCCACATCCCACATCGCATCGCAATCGCTTTTGCAACAGACCACGACGTTCTTTAAATCGCAAATATCCATATCCATATCCACATTCAACCATACGTGCACCCACTTTGCTCTAGCTCGTACCTCCATCACAGTGGTAACGGCGCGGCAACATGGCTGGCCGTTTCGTGCGCGCGTCGAAATATCGTAAGCTTCATTTGCAACTCAGCGAGCACCGGAGCATAGGGGCATGCTGACACCTTCAACAGGACATGTCTTTGGAAAGCCCACACGCAAGGAGTCTTGCTACGATAACCTGCACATCAGTCGCAATGCTTGGGATACCAATCTAGTCAAGGTGAGGGAAAGAGGGGCTTTGCGCCTTGCACGCCGTGCGGTGCAGTGCAAGTGCTGGAGAGAACCGGCTGACGGGAATTGCTGCGATTCTAGGCCAACCCGGAATATCTCTCAGTCAATTGGGAGTCCAGTGGGGGAGGAGCTTTTGCCGTGATACCTGTCAATGAAAAGGGTCGATTGCCTGAACAAATCCCACTATTCCGAGGCCATACTGGACCGGTCTTGGACACAGATTGGTGAGTACATGAGCAGATGCTGGTTGGGCCACGGCGGGTTTGGTCTGACGTTTCCAGGAACCCATTCCATGACCGTGTGATTGCCTCTGGATCCGACGATGGCAAGGTGTTCATATGGCAGGTTCCTCAAGGTTTCACCCTATACTCTGACGGAGACGAGCCGGTAGACGTCGCACCGGTGATGAAGTTGACGGGTCACTCTAGGTGAGCACAGGAACGACTTCAGGCGTGGATTGGTGTGCTAAGAACCATACAGAAAAGTTGGACAGGTTTTGTTTAACCCCGCAGCCGAAAACGTGCTTGCTTCCGCATCGGGCGATTACACCATCAAGCTTTGGGATATTGGTTCGGGCAAGGCAAATCTCACATTGAAACATGGAGATATTGTGCAGAGCTTGTCGTGGAGTGCGAATGGATCCCTCTTAGCCACTACCTCGAGAGATAAGAAACTACGGATATGGGATGTGCGACAAGAGCGACCGACCCATGAAGGCCCAGGACATACTGGAGCAAAAAATAGTAGAGTCGCGTGGATGGGTGAGCACAATCGTATTGCCACCACCGGATTTTCCAAGATGAGTGATAGACAAATGGCATTATGGGATGTGGGTAATGCCAAGGAGCCAATTGGTGGATTCACGGTTTTGGATTCAATATCTGGTGTTTGCATGCCATTCTGGGGTGAGTTTTCTTCTTTGGAAGATGCGATGGATACATATTAATGTTTCACAGATGATGGTACCCAGTGCCTGTACCTTGCAGGAAAGGGGTGAGTTTTTTCTACCAAACCGTGCAAAGATATTCTAATAAAGATAGTGATGGTAATATCCGTTACTTTGAGTACGAAAACGACAAGTTCGAATTTTTATCTGAATACAAATCTGGCGACCCCCAAAGAGGTCTCGCATTCATCCCAAGACGTGGTATCAATGTAAGTCTCTATAAAACGCCCTGATTTTTCATGTAGGTCTAATATTTTTCAGGTACACGAGAATGAAGTTATGAAAGCCTACAAAACCGTCAATGACAGCTATATTGAGCCTGTTTCTTTCACTGTTCCTCGACGTGCCGAAGTCTTCCAGTCAGACATTTATCCACCTGCAACTGGCCTCAAACCAGCAGTCTCTGCAGCAGAATGGCTATCGGGTAAGGATGGCATTCCTGCAAAGATTGATTTGGAGAGTGTGTATGAAGGCAATGGACCAGTTGAAGTTCCATCTGACTACAAGCCGGCAGTTGCGCCCACCCCTACACCTGCTCCAGCAAAGCCCATAATGAAGCATGAACCAGAACCAGCAGCAGCAAGAGCCCCGCCACCAACGATGTCTGAACAAAAGGGGTCTATTTCTGCCATGGCATCGAAGTTTCAAGACAATGAAGTAGAAGAGGAAGACGAGACTTCAAGCTTCGAGGAAATTGCCAAACCTGTTCAGAGAGCTAGAGTGGATCCCAAACCCGCCTCTCCTGTCAAAGCTGCTTCCCCCGTCAAGGCTGCATCTCCTGTTAAGACGGAAGCCCCACGACCAGCACCCGTCCAATCAACAGCACGCGTGCAAACCCCTCTTGCATCTCCAAGTGTTTCATCTGGACCAACAGGCTTAACCAATTCATCGGTAGAAGCATCGCTAGCTCAAATCAAAACTCTACTGGAGGCACAAACGAAAACAATCACAGTACAAAGCGAGCGTATTGGTCAACTTGCTCAGGAGGTTGATACTTTGAAGATGAGAGTTGGATCAGGTCCGCAAGACCAAAGTGAGAGGATTCGACAATTGGAGCTGGAATTGGAGGAAGCGCGTTCTTAGTATTTTACGACAGAACGAATTATGATTGGATGAAGTGTAGCAGTCTTTTGTAGAGTCAAAATTTTGAGATGGGTGGCGAATAGCGCGTGTATTTTTCATTTCCACGCATTCCACACATGTTTCATCATAAGGCCAGCCTGTGCCCAACTTCCCCCCCCTCAAACTTTGACTGTCAATATGCTAGACTAATTTTTAGGAAGTTTGTGATTCCGCGGTGGTTTCCTAGCCATCCAGGTCATCGTCCATTGCGCATATGTACCCCAACTTTCTCTTCACACCGAATGTCTGGCATCAGTTGAAATTTGGGAGCCATAAATCTAGTATCAAAGTGGTATTTTCGTTGTATATCATCTTGCCGCTTTTGCTCCGCGCAAGACAGTTTCAACGGTAAGTATCTCCCATTCCTTGGCGGCCACTTTACGAATGTTTTCCTTGAGGAATGCCTTGGCTTATGAGGCGATGGATCTGCATGTTTTGAACACTGTTATTTTGTATGGAATCCTTGAAGTTATCGTGCGTTTAAATAAGACTGCTTCCCTGAACTTTCATGAACCACAGCATCCCGCATACACTCTTTTAAAATGCATTCTTCCTGGTCTTTCACCGCCGGTGTCGTTCTTTTGAGCACTTGCTCTGCAAAAGCTCTCATTCCCCGTGCGGAGCCTTCTGATTGTTCTGTTGTTCCCCATGTTTATTACCCAAAAGTCATCAACACTTGTTGTGACAAAGCCACTACCATCACGGTGGACGAGTGCTCAACCGAGATAGTCTTGCCTACTGGTGGTTGTATTGACACCACGATCACCCAAACCGTAACCAAAGAGCGTCGCCACAGAAAGACTGAGACGGCAGAGGCTACCAGCACCACCGAGAGCAGCAGCGAGAGTACCATCTCTAGCACGACCAGTTATTCGGAATCATCAACCACCACTGATGCCGAACCTACCTCAACCGTAGTATACAAGCGCGGGGAGCAGGGGCAGGGAGGAAATCGTGCAAACGATTTCTACAATAGAAAGAGGCCATGGCAAGATATGAGAGTCTATAACCCCACGTTTGAGGGGAAGAACTTTGATTCAGGTGGCAATGGAGACGTGAGTATCGATGATTCGACTGTAGAAAACAAGTGCTGACTGTGTGCAGAACCGTGGCAACAAGTTGAAGGTTACAGATAAATCTACGACAACAAAACACGACAACTCGAGAATCCTTGCTGTGGATGAATCCGGTGACGTGAGTATGAGTCTCTTGGGCGTGGGATATGTGCTGACATTATAATTATAGTACAGAGATAACGACTTGAAATACAATGGTGGGGAGGGTAATGGTGATGGTTCGGTAGGTTTATTGCTTCACAACTCACATGACACGACACTAATGTGCAATACAGATGTACAACACTGGGTCAGATAGTGGAAACAACCGTGATAAGGGAGATTACCGTGATAATGACCTCAAATATTTCGATGCATCCAAAAAGAACAAGGTTGACGTCGATGTCAACAAGAACCGTTATGCCAACAAGAAGATCGACCTCAAGAACTCTGCCAACGAGGGCTCGCAAAACTCCCTCAAGAAAGAGACAGGATTCAAGGACTCTGGAAACCAGGGCTCGCAAAATGAACTCAAAAAGACGAACAACCAACTCAACTCTGGTAACGAAGGTTCTCAGAATTCCCTCAAGAAGGAACTCGAATTCAAGAACTCTGCCAACAAGGGTTCTCAAAACTCCCTCAAGAAGTCAGTATTCAATCAGCAGATTTGAGACTTGATTTGGTGCAAAAACTAACCTGGACAAAACAGGGATGAATCGACACACGAGTTCAACCCTACGAGTACGGATGACCACAGCAAAGGAGGATCATATGCTATCGGCAACAGTAAGTCACCCTTTCATAAAGCGAACGGGATTGGTGCTAATGATATGGTAGAACAACTTAAGAACGTGGACAATGATGGTAGTGGGAATAAGCTTACCAAAATTGATAAATCCAGCAAGAAGCTTTCCGTCGATGTCGACAAATCAGTTACCATTGTCAAACTAGACAACTACCGCAAGAGTAAGTATTATCCGCTCATGTTTTCTGCGATTGAAACATGTCAACTGACATAAATGTAGACAGAGAGCACTACCGGGAAAGGGTTGATGCATGGTACACCACACGACTGGCAGTGGAAAACAGAGACAGTCAGTCACACAAGAGAGAGGCAAGGCAGGCCAATACGCGCGATGGTCCTCGCCGACGAGGCCCTTTACCTTGAAAGGAAAAGAGAGGGAATTTTTTGGGGCATGTTCCTCATAATGTGTTGATCCTTTTTTTGTTCCCTTTTCAACAACTTCTTGCCCTTCTCGGATAGGGCTGTCGGGATTCGTCGTCTCTTGTTTTTTTCCCTTTTCACACAAACGCGGGGACCAATCTTCTATACTTTTCCTTTTCCTTTTTTGTTTTCACTGTTATGTCTCTTTTTGGGCTGGAGGTTGCGGTGGAATGGGAGTTGGGTCTGTGTCTGAAAAATACTATTTATCCATCTCCCTGTTCTTGGACTCTTGGTTGGGTAAAGGTGTCTGTCTGTCTAGGTTGGTAGTTGTAATGCATTGTGTTTGATTGAATGATGTGCCAGTTCACTCGTGAGTTAATGTTCATGACTGGAGCTTTTCAAAGATCTATATTTTTTTGTATTGTAGGACCGTTTGGCAGCTGTTGATATTGCTCTCCAACTACACAATAAGAGCGCTTGTCATGCCGTAAGAAGATGGTGAGAGATGTGGTTATGATTTTGTAATCCTATACACCTCTCTTAGAATTATATTATTCTAACAGTCTTGTACAATCAAAATAGTTACTGTAGATAAAGCGTGTATGACAATTATCAACGGCGAATTTTTTCTGGTCTACGTATACTAATACAGTTACCTTACTTATACTAGAAGCTTAGTATATGTTTTCATATATCGGTACATAGAGTAATATCTAGGTATCTCACTTTAGAGTCATAATAGTAAAATGGCTAGCTACATACTTCCTACTAGCTATTGTACCTATAAAAAACTTACTACGTACTAGCGTAATCTACTTCTAGGTAGTACCTATGTGTATTTAGTAGATTCAAGAGATTTCCGCCAGGAGAGGTTTCTCATTGGTTAAACGGACCAGAACAACTGTTGTACATGTCATATGATTTATTCCATCTGGAATTCTATGTTACAGACCTTCTCTGAAATGGAATAGAATAGCCCAGGAAGAGGGTCTAGAATTGAAGTGGAGTTCTAGTTGCCGAACGTTGTCGGTAGATGAGGAAGGAACGATGTCCATTCATGAGTTCCTTCCATCCCTCATACCAACCCTCCACTCCCAGCCAATCCAAGTCAATCAAAACTCAAATCCCTTTCCCCGTCTCTCACTCCCTTCCAAACTAATCATGCTTGAGATGTACGAAAACTGTAGCCGAGTCCAGCCAGAGTTCTCCAGCTCACCACCAACAACTTTTCTGTTGCGAATTCCTATATTCCCCACACTGCCACCTACTTCCAAAGCATCCTTTCATTTCAATCCAAACCCCACGGCCTGCTCCGCTCTCTAACGACCCTCACGTACATTCAAAATGGGATATGTCCAAGTCTCAACTCCCGACACCAAAGCCCCAGCTTCCAATCACCCCAACGAAACGCTAGAACAGTTCCTCCATCGCGTTCTTGGCAAGGACCATCTTTTTCAGGGTTGGTTCGGAGAAAATTCTGTTACTGTTGAGGGCCGTCTTACGATTGTATGTTATTTTTTGTTGTTGGCATGTTTCTTTGGGTTGAGGGAAGGGGGTCTACTGCTAGTTGCTCCATTGCGCATGAACTCCTTTCTTTTGGGATCACGAGATGTTAGATTACAATCGCATTCAAATTATAGTAGCTGACTCTACCAGAATGCCGATGGCAAAACCTACATCTACGATCCCGCCTTAACCCCCAAGGAGGAAAAATACCGAGTGCAAAAAAGAGTAAGATCTTACATGACCCCTTCATAACTATCCAACCCCCGAAGAAGCTTCTCCTCCAACTAACCATCTAACCATAGCATCAGAAGAAAGAAAGCAAACCTGCTCGGGTTTACAGAGACTTCCGTCAACGAGTCAATAATGGCCCAGTCTCCGTACACGTTCATGGCATTCATAGGAGGGGGCAATGTGGAGTTCCTGGTGCCAAGGCGATGAAGCGACTGTTGGATAAAGAAAAGGAGATGATGGAAAAAGAAGCGAACATGGAAAATGGCAAGAAAGAGGATGAGGATGGGGATGTTGAGATGGCGGTGGAGGCTGTGAAGGTTTTGGAGAAGGCTCAGAAGAAGTTCAAGAGGGAGGATACTCCGGCGCTCTCGAAGATGGATGTTGATTGTGGGAAGAATTCTTAGATCTGTTCTTATGAAGAGTACAGTGGGGGCTTGTAATGATTGGGGTACTTGGTTGAGAGCTGGTATTCGTAAATTCAGATTGTGGCTTTTTGGCGATTTTTGAGATGTGACTTTTGTTTGAAGTATAGACCAAACTTATAGCAAGTTCTCGAGTGGGCTAGCAGCGAACAAATGCCAATGACGCGGTCTAGGTGTATGGTAAATTCGCTTACAGTAGCTTGATCGCCGCGTGGTTTGGTACGCGTGGCACAGTCCTCGACCACAATTGAGAAAGCGTTCTCGTTTTCTATGCTTTGATTCCACCATTCGTTTCCTAGCATTAAACTTCCTCATCTTATCATGCCGTTTTCTATCCGAAAGATATCGCTCTTTGGAAAACGGTTGACTGGAATTGAAGGGTTATTCTTGAAGCGACGCAATGCTTCGTCCAAGGGAAATTAGGTCAACCAACAGAATACTTTAGCTGATAGCCGCGTAATAAGAAATTAAATCGATGTTACTTACCCATTTATAAGCTCTCAAGGGTTTTAAGATTCAATTTCGGACAATCGTAATTAAGATATTAGTTTTTAGAACGACCGGTATTTTGAGATTCATAAAAAGAGAAGAGACCCGATCGTTAATCTATGCACCTCTTTTAGAATATTATTATCCTAAAAGCCTCGTATAATTAAAATAGTTATATAAAGGGGTTAGAATAATAGTTAAGGCTTATCTTTATGTTAGTCTAGGTATACTAAATTTATTACTTTACCTGTGTTGGAAGTTTGGTATAATGGTTTTTCATGTAGTGTGTAGAGAGTAATAATTACCTAGGTATCTTAAAGGGTGAATTTATTGGTGATATGGGTATGGAAATTATTGGGATTGCTAAGGAGAGGAGAACTGTGGGAGGGAAATTTGAGTTGCTTAAGTCTAATAGTTGTGCTTCAGGTTTCCGTCGCCTACCTTCTCTATTGTCGTTTTGCGTGACACGTTCACTGCTTCCTTTTCATTTTGCTGGCAGCTGGTTGCTTGATAACGGATGGGTAAGTCATTTATGTTCCCTCACTCGACTCCTCTCCGTCTGATTCCGTCTCGGAGCGATCAACCATTTGCTTCGCCTTCAAGAATCGCTTAAACTGTGAGGTAGCAGCAAAGTTATCAATCTCGGTTTCTTGAAACCGACCGTTTCGAAGAAGAACCCGCACAAAGCCCAGCACTGTCTATGTCACATCAACCGGGTAGGTTGATCATTACTCCTTTGCCATTTTTGGTGGTTTTTGTCAACTTTTCTGGAGGTTTTGATGTGTATGCTCACCGTGGTTTGGAGGCCTAGGTATCTCTGGAAGGCTGCGCTGCTACGAGTCTCCATCGCTACTGCCGAAATCAGGAAAGTGTCCCAACTCACATCCAAACTGGGAAGTAAGATCGTCATTCAACTCTATACGAGCTGGAGCTGAAGTTTCCTCTGCCTCCTTCCAGCGCAATGCTCCTGCCATTTTCAGAAGTCCAGATGAATTGCCTCTTCCCAGTGGACTGCTCGCAGATCCCGTAGTAATTTTACACTGCATCTTTTTTTGCAACCCAACACAACTTCTACAACTACTTTTAGGATAAGCACCACGCAAGTGTAATTCCTCTCATTCCATTTCTTACCTCATCCACGTTCTCATTCATCCATTCATTATTCCAAATGTTATCCAGAGCGATTCTTTTTCCATGGATTGTTGCGACCATCACCTCCGCTTCTTTCATGCCCACGCAACCGGGTAACAATCTTCCTCTTCGCGGGGACGTCAATAATCTTCATTTCGGCCTAGATGTCTTTAAGAAGGTGCGTCGCGTCCACCTGGTTTGGTTGTTAGAAGATGGTCGTTGTATTGAATGTTTCAGCTTACTCCATCGAAGACGTTGGATTGGGTTCCTTGTGATGGGTGGCCTCCTTTTCAGTGTGCTATGCTTGATGTAAGTTGCAAAGTTCCCTTGGCTTCGAATTCTTCTTTGAATGATCGCATTGCAGCCTTCATTTTGTGCTCTCTTTGCAACTACCCCCTTGCATAAAGTCATCGCTGACACTTTTCTCATTAGGTTCCTCTGGACTATCAAAATCAGACTTCGGATGCCCCTCGAGCGTATATCGCATTAATGAAATATCCCGCTACCGACCCAAAAGACTACAAGGGCATGATTTTACTCAACCCCGGGGGGCCAGGTGGCTCTGGTGTGCAGTTTGCAGCGACTATGGGCCCAATTTGGTCCGATGCTACTGAAACAATTGGACCGATCGGACCAAATTTCGATATCATCGGATTCGATCCACGAGGCGTCGGCTTCAGCATTCCATCAGCAAATTGTACCTACAGCTTAGATTTACCAATTGGGAAAAGATTCGATCAACCAAACGGCCCCATTCTCGACATGGAAGGGTTTGCACGGGAACTGCCAGAAATTGAAAAGTTGTTACGTTCTGCCAAATTATGCGAGAAGGCTATTGGTGGTTCAGATGGAGCCGGTCAATACATGAGTACGGCCACTGTCGCGCGTGATATAGTTTCTATTACAGATGCCTTTGCAGCTACCTCTGATGGGCAGAAAGTCAAAAATCCCAAGCTGACTAATTACCTGGGAATTAGTTACGGATCATTCCTTGGCCAGACTTTTGCTTCTATGTTTCCTGAACGCGTTGGACGGTTCCTTCTGTCTGGCGTCGTTGACCCAGACGATATTGTTACTGGATTACCCATGCGCCACTTGCAAAGCCTGGATGAAACCTTTGCTGGATTCTTTGTATACTGCAGTCTTGCCGAAGATGGGCGATGCGATTACGCAAGGGGGGACAGTCCCAGAGATATTTTTCTTAGGTTTGAAAATATTCTTGCTCGTCTCGATATCAATAAAGCTCGTGCAAACAAATGGAAAAATGTGACGCTTATCGAGGAAGTTCTATATACAATGAAAAAGACCATTTTCGATGCTGCCTATCTCCCGAGAGAAATGTTTCCAAAAGTTGCAGAAGGACTTTTGTCGTTGGAAAAGGCCATGAACAACCGCACTCCTTTTGAAGAATTGGAGGATTATCGGAACCGATTAGTAGCATTCAAGTTTCCCCAAGAGTGGTACAACGGCAACATGTGTTCAGACCAGAACGGAATAATGAGAAATGTCACCGTACAAGAAATCTGGCCCTTGGTGAGCACCTTACAACATCAGAGTTATATTGGGGGTGACGTCTACCTTGCGAACTGGTTCGCATGCTTGGGATGGAGCATCGTTCCGAAGGAGGTTTATCAAGGTACATTCATACTCCCAGGTTGCGTAGGTAATCATTTCTAATTACTATTTTCCCTTTCTAGGACCTTTTGGCGGGCCTACAGAAACCCCGATTCTGTTTGTAGGGAACAGTTGGGATCCAGTAACTCCTATCTATAATGCGCTTAAGGGAGGGAATATCTTCACCCAGGCCGGGGTGTTAACTGTCAACGAACCAGGTGTAAGCAACCATTTCTATTCAAGACGGCCTCCTAGATTAACACTAGTTAGCATTCTGTCTGGAATCCTTGTGCGACTAAGAAGATCCGTGCATACTTTAAGGAGGGCACAATGCCAGGAAGTGACAATTTCTGTATTGGAACCGAGCCTGGACAAGGTGTTTTCAATACCACATTGAAGGTGCGGTTGGAAGAGAATGAGGCATGGAGGGAAATTGTTCAGAGACTAAGAGAATTGAGATTGAAGAGTTGGAAGGCGCACACTTGAGAAGGCTTGGTGTAATTTTCAATCATTCATTAGGTTTGGCGTTGGTTTCAAGTGGGTTTTCGAGATTATTGTTGAACTGAGGTCTTGATTCTTAGCGAGGCGTCGGTTGCTCGCTATCCTTAGTCAATTAGACCATATTAGCTGCAAAAGTGCGCTAGTAAAGCTACTAGAAAATACTTAGCAACCCAACGATTATTTCAAAAGGAAGTCACTGCAAATCCTCAGGACCGAGAAGGTTCTGTTGTAAGAAGTCTTCTTGCCTATCCTCCTTCGGGGACAAACACTCGGTATTAATATTGATAGAACAAAAAGCGATAAGGTTGAGACTCATCACAAAATTCAAAGAAAAAATGAAGGTGTAAATCAAGATGAAATAAATATGTACAACTAGAAGCAAAAACTAACAGTTCAGATGAGGTCGATGATAGTCACGTGTGGATTGTCGGGAAGCTAAACAACACCCTTGCTCATAAGCTCTCAACGGCCAACGACTTTGATTGTTCCGATCTTCGCCGGATAACAAAGCTTCAATTCTTTCCTCTTTCCTTTTCATCCACCAACACCACCGTCTTCCTTCCTTTTCTCTCTCTTCTCTTCCGTTCGTGGCAGTTGACCCTCTACTTCGGATAATATGTTTTCTCGAACATTGAGAACGAGCCACGTGGCTGCGCCTCTGCGCAACAATGCCTTTTCCCGAACCACTCTGGTCAAGAGAACCGTCACCACTGATGCCGCGACTGCGCACGCAGAGGCTGTCCCAGCGGTAAGAATGAATGAGGGAGACATCAATTGGCGATGGGAAGCATGGCTAATCTACCCAAATAGGAAGACACAAAGCCATTCCAGGTTACCCTTTCAGACGAATCTTTCGAGACCTACGAACTCGATCCCCCACCATATACCCTCAACACCACCAAGAAGGAATTGAAGCAGATATACCATGATATGGTTTCAGTGAGGTGAGCAGGGTCTCTGACACGAAGGACGACCAGAACTGATGGGAATTATAGACGTATGGAGATGGCCGCCGATCGTTTGTACAAGGAGAAGAAGATTAGAGGTTTCTGTCATCTTTCCACCGGACAAGAAGCTGTCGCCGTCGGCATCGAGCACTCCCTCACCAAAGAAGATGATGTCATCACTGCGTACCGTTGTCACGGTTTTGCTCTGATGCGTGGAGGTACCGTCAAGTCAATTGTTGGGGAATTACTTGGTCGCCGAGAGGGTATCGCATACGGAAAGGGAGGATCCATGCACATGTTCGCCAAGGGTTTCTATGGTGGAAATGGTATTGTCGGAGCTCAAGTTCCAGTCGGTGCTGGTCTTGCTTTCGCTCATAAATACAAGGGCAACAACAATGTTACTGTTGCTTTGTATGGTGACGGAGCTTCCAACCAAGGTCAAGTTTTCGAGGCCTTCAACATGGCAAAGTTATGGAATCTTCCAGTCTTGTTTGGATGTGAAAGTGTGTTTTACAACAATATCCCACCAAGACTGTTCATTCGCTAATAACATACACCAGACAACAAATACGGAATGGGTACAGCAGCCAACCGATCATCCGCTCTTACCGATTACTACAAGCGTGGTCAATACATGCCTGGACTCAAGGTCAACGGAATGGATGTTCTTGCTGTAAAGGCAGCAGTTCAACACGGAAAGGAGTACACCACAGCCGGTAACGGACCTCTTGTTCTCGAATATGTCACCTACAGATACGGAGGACACTCAATGTCTGATCCCGGAACCACTTACCGAACTCGTGAGGAGATCCAACGTATGAGATCAACCCAAGATCCTATTGCAGGCTTGAAGCAGAAGTTGTTGGAATGGAACGTTACCACGGAGGAGGAGCTCAAGCGAATTGACAAAGATGCCCGAGCTGCAGTTGATGCCGAGGTTGCGGAGGCAGAGGCCATGCCACCACCAGATGCCACCCCACAAAATCTCTACGAGGATATCTACGTTAGAGGAAGTGAACTACCATTTATGAGAGGACGAACACTTGAGGAGAACTACTACTACTAGATGTGGTAATCTAATTCCTGGGGGTTCGAGCATAGTATGGCATGAGAATGAGCTTGTTTTGATGAAAGGGTAGACCATGGGTTGCGGGGGGGTGGTGATCTGTATACTATTGGTGGTTAAAGCTTGGGGGCTGAACTCTGAAAGTGCAGAAATACAAGCATGCATGCTCGCTTGATTTTACGTCTACGTTCAGAATTTCCAGTAGTGACTTCTTTTTTGTGGATTACATAATACACTTCTTCGTAATCCCGCTATCTGGTATTTAGACACCCACTCTGTAAATGGCCTACGTAGCTATCTGAAGTCATTAGTACATTACTTGAGTATGTCATACTCCTGGTTCACATACGTAAATTGGTGGAGAGGTATTTTCATACGATCTTACCTATATATCTCTACTTTAAAAACAGATCGCCACGTTCACCTAGTCCAGTACCGTCCTACTTCTGAGTTTCTCATCATAAGGTGAGATTTCTCAAGTCGTGAATCATTATATAAACTCACAATCAAGGTTAGGGGTTGCTAACTCGTCTTGTTATGTGCACGTGGATTTTGGATGTTTCATGATGTTATGTTATGTTGTGATATTTTGGCTTTGGAAAGCAGTAAAGGGGTTGTTTTGTGGGTTGAGTTGGGGTTGGGGTTTTTTTTCTCGTGTGGTTTTTTTGGGGGTGGGAATGGGAGGATAGGTTGAGGGAGATGTGTTGGAACTTGGGGGTTTTGCTTGATTTGATTCTGATTTGAGGAGTTATGTGAAAATTGGGAGATGAAAGGTCTAGAGCGGCGTTATTAGATATAGAAAGTAAAAAGTAAATGTGGAACTGACAAAGTTTTCCTGTACTAAGTAGTAATTCCTTTTCACGCTTCGCTACTGTATACTGTATAAGGGATGTGTGCTGTTTTTCTTTTTTCTCTCTTGTGGTGTTTGAGGAATACTTGATTATTTATTTTGTTCTGTAGTTGTCCATGGGGAGATGATAACGTGCTATAGTAATGTATATTCACAACCCGTTCTCTCTCAGCCCAAGCACCCTCTATGGAATATTCTATCGTGTGTGTCTTAAAGATAGTCTATAGAGTTCTTCATCATCCCACTAAAGAAAAGAATTTCGTGTTTTCAAATAGATTCTAGGAAGGACCCCGATCCCTAACTCACTCACCCCCTATCCACCCATCCAACATCCCACCTACCTACCAAGTACCTACCCAAAGAAAACGACTTCCAATTCTCCCTTCCAACCCGAAAACACAACTATAGACAGACATCCATCCATCTACAACCTAAATATCAATCCAGGAATCAGTCACGTCAACATGTAGTACTGTAAGATCTTACCAATCCGAAATATCCAAAGATAAATCATAAATCAGAGGATTCAATCATAGATGGTAGCGTAGCTACAATAGTAACAATACAGAACAATACAAGAGAGGTAAAACAAAGCACAATCTGGACCCGTAAGTCTTACATCAAGCTCACCCATTCACTCATTCACTCATTCACTCACTAACTCACTATCATCCTATACTCGTACATAGGGGGACATACGCCCCCACCCCACCACATTCTCACTCCCTACAATGTCAATACCCAACACTCCGAAACCCACACTTCAGAATTTTCACCTCTGGCAAACTCTACTTCTTTTCTCCTTCTTCCACAAATTTCCTTTTCTACAAAGCCCACAAACCAACGATGAACACTAAATATTAAGTGTAATATTCTTTTATTCCTATTCCTCGCTCTAATGTAATCAACTTTCTATCCCGCTCATCTCTCCTAGACGCTAAGCGAAAGCCAAGAAAACGAAGGAAAAAAAACGTCAAGGTTTTCTTTCGTTCTTTTCTTCTTCCTATCACTTTCTTTCGCTCTACCACAATCAAAAAGGAGAAAGGGAAAGTATGATATAAAAAACACAAGCGCCATGCAAACCCCATTCCCCACCCCCCAAAACAAAAACGTCCGCTGCCGAATTCCCATCCATCCAGTTCCACAACCCCAAACCAATTTCCCTTAAAACTGACAGGTTTCCATATTCTATCAAGAACACAAGCAACACGAGACAATGCAAAAAAAAGAAGAGAAGCTGTAGAAGAAGAAATCGAACCATCTGGTCCCTCGGTATTATTAGCGTCCTTGCACTCTTACCCATTCAGCATTCATGGTATCAGGCAGGAAACAAGAAAGTAAACTCAAACAAATGTTGTTCTCCAAACGCCTCAACGAATGCATGCGATGCGATACCATGCACTGAATGGACCAGAGATATATCGAGAGAAAGAAATGCATAAAAGGACGCCGAGGACAAAGAAACGAAATCGTATGCCGATGTCTAATCAGACATGTATAATTTATACCCGAATCCGAAAGATTTGATACAATAAGTATCAACACTTCTGGTTTTCCAGCTTGGATCTTTAAGTAGGCCCCCTCATTCGCAATAGGATTCGGTGGAGGTCCCATTGGTCGCCAAAAATAAAACAAATAAACAACGTATCTGGCGACGGGCATCAGCTCGAATATTAGTCGGGCTTTTTATTATTTCGAACTGGTTGATAAGCATTAAACATCTCAGTCCTCATCGTTGAAAAAAGTGGGACCTGTAGCTTGAGGGGGCGCAGTCGAAGGTCCAGCATCCTTCATGTCAACATCACGATTAACGTAAGTCGCTTCTTGTGGTAACAAACCTGACATTGGCTGATCTGGTGTTGCGCTCGACCTATACTCAATAGCGCTAAGAGGTCGTTGAGGTGCAGTAACCGATCGATTTCCAAGGAAGACGTTTGTTTCATAGAGCTGTTCTTCCGGTGGAGAAAACGACCAAACCTCCATAATTGTGCGATTTGATCGACTGGCCATGACAACACATTTTTCATCCTCGAATGCGACCCTCCAGACTGCGTCAGCTGGGGCTGTAAGTTCTCGAACAAGTTGCCCAGTTTTAAGATCCCAGACCTTGACTCGTCCGTCGCTGCCACCACTGACAATACGAGTATCATCGAATTGTAGACTGGTGACACTATTATCATGGGCAGCTAATCGGTGAATTGGAGCCATCTTTTCCAATGACCAAACTCGAACCGACCCATCAGAACCTCCTGTAACGAGCGTGTTTCCGCGCATTTGAAGCTGACCGACTAAAGATGTATGACCTTGAAGTATGGCTTGGCAGGAACTACAATTTGTTAGTTATGATCAGCCGATAGCCTCATTATACATACCCGTTCGTTGGATCCCATATCCTGACACTTGTATCCAAACTACCTGTTGCGACTCGTTTACCATCAAAGGCGATAGCATAGATCTGGGAGAAATGGCCGGAAAGAGTACGCAGGCATCGTCCCTCTTGAAGACTCCACACTCTGGCAGTTGTGTCATAACTTCCAGAAACAACGATATCACCAACAATTTCTAAACATCTAACACTGGCTTGATGTCCAACAAGAACGTTTTTGCAAAGACCGGTCTCGATATCCCATACTCTCAAAGTCGTGTCCCTCGACCCGGAGATTGCTGTAGTAGAATTGGCCATTTTCAGACAACGAACCGTCGAAGTATGTCCACGCAGGGTATGTAAGCTCTCCCTACGCAACTTGTTAGTTTCATCAATTTGTCGTAAATCCAGAAAGAACTCACCCTGTAGACATATCCCAAACCCGAACATCACGATCACAACCTCCGCTGACAAGAGTATCCTCAAAGGGCACCATCGCCCACACACCCATTACATGTCCTTGCAATGTTTTCTGTGCATTTCCATCGGTGTTGAAGACATGAATCTTGGCATTATCAAGAGCAACCACGATGTATTTTGACGTAAGATGTAAGCTGGTAACCACTCCTTGATCCTGTGTTATGTGTCTAGCAATATTACGTCCACCGGTCCTCCAGGCTGTCTCCACCAAATATCTCTGTTTGAAATGTGATTTGTATGAACGCATATTTGGTCTTCTTATTAAAGCTGCTGTAGAACTGTCAAAACTTCGGGCGGCTGTAGGGTAGGACTTTGAATCTCCATCAAAATAGCTATGGACCGGCTGTGGTGGAGGGCGAAGTGAGGAGAAAAGAGGGGTGCTGAGGGGCGAATCTGACAGCTTTCTGCCATAATCGTGCTTGGCACATAACTTCATCCATGTGACGTCGTCGGCCAGAAGTTCTCGCCATCTTTGTGACACCTGGGATGCTCGGGCAAGAACTTTGGGGTCGTCGATACACGAAAGGATCTAACGATTGATAAGATTAGCTTAGAATGACCTCGATAGAATGAAGATACATACTCTCAGACAGATTTCATTTGGCAAACTGGTAAAGGGGTCTTTCTTCAGTAAAGGATCTACGTATTGTCGAACAAAGCTCAATTGCTGGCTGGTACACAAGTTCAATAGGTCTGCCAAGAATCTCGTCTGTTCAGGAGGCGATCGGTTTTTGAAATACTGTCGGACTTTTGATAGAAACAAATCCTCTTGATCTCCCGCACCACTCCAATCCGGTTGTGGGCGATCTGGACCGGGACTTGCAGCGGGGGTCGGTGGTGGAGGGGGATCGTGACTCGAATGAGCAGGAGAATCTGGGTCCGCGGAGGGAGTTGTCATATTTGGAGTCGGAGGTCCTCTAGGACGAGATTGAACGATCTTCTCCACCCTTGAAGATAATCGCGCACTGTTTGTATTTGTGTTGAGAGTGAGCGTCGCTCGAGAAGTGGGTGATAGGTCGCTGTCCTCCATGGAGTTGTTGTAGACCATCGAGGCCCTCCTTTCTGTCAAACTCAGTGGCCGGTAGCCCTCCATGATTTCTCCTTTTCTCTCCTTGTTGATCGTGGACACTTCGAGGTGGGAAGTCGTGCAATGCAAAGACCTGTTTGCAGATACTGTTCGGCCGAAAAGGCGAAGATTGGGGGAATATGTATCGAGGCTCCTTCACCTAGGATTTGATATCGGATATCGCTGGGGCGTATGGAAGGGACGATGCAGTGACTGATGTCTCAATCAATAATATGTACAGTGATCAGACGCGGTCGTGATGTGATGTGAGGTGGAGGTGGGAATTGGAGTCTTGGAGTCGGTTGTGGGGCTTCTCTTTGAAGTGTTTCGCGTGCTGGGAGATGGGGAAGACGGAGATGAAGGTGCCGATGCAAAGCAGATGCAGATGCAGATGCTTTCAGAGTTCTCGGTGACACGCCTGACGATCGATCACCTCAGATGCGAGTGAAGTCTACAATTCGAGTGAATGGAGGGGGATCGGCCGACGATTCACAACTTGAGCAGAGGAGAGGCGTCTGGAGGAGGAAGGTGAAGATTGAGGTGCGTGTTCGGTATTGCGGTGTTCTGGCCTAGTTACACATCCATAGCGGTCGGTGCCAATCCTTCCAAATGTTTCAATCTTCCAACACTCGTACGTGTGGACCTTCTGCAAGCGGTGAGTGCGACGATCCGCCGGGGAACTGCGTGCAATGCAGGAGATTGGGAAGTCGACGTTCGAGGGGTCAGGATCGAGGCGGCTTTGGATTGGGGTTTGGGGGAGGAGTGGTGGTGGTGTTGGTGTTGATGAGATTTGCAAGTACGGAGGTAGTAGTAGTGATGGAGAGCAACGCTGGCAGACGATTCCCTCAGCTGGGCTTGCTTGGCGTAGTCCACCTAACGACAGTAAATTCGGTAGCGCAGCGTCGCAGTGGAGCTTCCGCGTATAATCCCCGTGCAACGGCGTTTTTTTCTGCAAAAGGGGAAGGGGAAGTGGAAGGGCTTGTGGTGGAGAGCGGGTAGTACAGGCACAGGCATCAGGGCACCCACTGAGAGACGCTGGCACCATAAACACTGGTATTTGAGCAATGGTTGAGAACCGCTTAACCTTGGCGTACAAGTACTTGGTACACCACGCCGTTTGAGTAAATACAGTATACAGTAAAGTTCTGAGTATTTCTATTTGCAACAATCCGCCTGCGATATCAATATCTCAAACGGGTCAAAGAATGTCGATCATCTACTTCGAAAGAGCTTATCCTCCAGACAAGAATCCGCCCGTTTGAGGATTCAGCAGGGTTCGGCTAATATTATCAATATCAACAGGTCATGCTCATCGGCTCATACAACAGTTGCAGGTGGTCTCTTACATTTCAATATGGCAGGCGACGAGCTGGGGGTGCGTGGTCGCGGAGTAGGCAAACGCATAGGGGGACTTGGAGTTCTCCTGATGTCTTCTTTTTCCTGTCTCTCAGCCGAAATCCTCCGCAGATTTGTATGAGGGGGAGAGAAAAGGATGAGGTAGCGAGGGGTCCCTGGATACCTTCATTCTACTTGCAGAAGTTTTCTAGAAAGACCTTGTCGATGCTATTTCTATTCCCAATCTATTCCGGTACTTCAACACCCCAGCGTCTATCTCTCGACATAGTACTGAGTAATCTTCGAGTACTTGTTTATCCGGTCCTTCCAATTCTTGATAGCTCCAAAAGCTACCTATCCCGAGCTGCATACCATACCTAAGTCAACGCATATTTAAGCTTATTTCCTTTGTGTTGGAAATTGCCATTTCTACAATTCTATAGGTGCGTATACTCCGAACCGTGCCTCTATCTCAGAGGTGTGACAGCCTCACGTTATCCATCCCCATATGCTCATAGCCACCATACACCTCACACGTGTAACGCGGCACCGGATACCGTCCCTCAGTACAGTGAAAATGTCTCTCGTTTAGCGGAACTTACAATGGTTACTAATAGGTTCCCGCTCCCGCGTGGAGAACAAGGTTCGGAATGACCTCAGTTGAACCAACCATTGTCAAGTTGCATTACTTGGAAGCATAACATCGTCAACAACAACAACAATAACAACAATAACCGAAGTGAATCTCGAAATCTCATTCCTCCATCATGAATCTCATATCCGTCTCTCAAACGTGAAACAAGAATGTTGGGAGCGGCAAGTGGGTGGTACATGCAACAAGGGCAGGGGCACAAGCACGCAAACCTGAGACGATACGATACTCCGTCCTGCTTCTGTACTGAGTACATCTATATTTATATCCAGCCCGTCCTTCTCCCGCAACGCAATGCTCTGGAAAGTAATCGCAACGTGTTACAGTGTATCAGATGTTGCACCTTAACTCGTGACTTCCACCTCACCAGTTCCAAGGTTCAGCTAGATCCTTCTATCCATCCTTCAGCCTCATCAGATGATTCTCACCATGGTTTTTTTGGTGTTTTTTCCTTGCTTTGGAAGCGTTTTGCTTTTCGAAGTTTTGATTTGATTTGATTTAATATCCTCATCGAATCCCATCGCAGCGATCCGAAACGACGATGCGATGCGATGCGGTTGTTCCTTTGATCTATTTCAAGGTGTTCCAATGTTCTTCGTTAGATTTCTGACCTGAGCTACAGTACTACTGGGCACTGTATCTCGATCTGTAGAGCATGGACATTTCCAGACGATGCGAGGAAATGTCGGGGGGAAAGGAAGTTCCCTGTTGCGACTGGACGACAGCCTCACGTCTCTCGCCCTGGTTTCTTTGGCACGGTCCATTGCGTTTCGAGGTCAATATCAAGCTGTCAAGTACTGTAGGAAAGTGTATCTTGCATCCATTGCTTTGAGAACTGTCTGATGCTCCGTCACATGATCGGCTTGAATTCTTCATGGATGTCGGGTAGGTAGTTTGTGGGAAAGGAGATATCGAATTGTAGCTTCGGGTATATTATTACAATACGGGAGCAACAGGATCTGACACACCTATTCATATATTAGTCAACTTCAGCTACAGTAGCTGTACTGTACATGAGAACACCTGAAGTGCCCTGGGCTGGGCCCAGGTGGGTTTGGTGTCACGTGTAAGTTTATATACCCCTTTCAAGGTTGTAATTATTATTGAGTGCTTTCATCAACTGCACACTTACAAAAGAGATTGCAAAAGAGGCTGGTGCTAGTGAGAATTGCTACCCTGCGGTCATTAAGTATCATACTGTACTTTTGGCTGCGCTGGAGGAAGTAACCTGGGCTTTCGGTTATTCTGATTGGCGATTGGAAATGACTGGATCCTGGGGGCTACATTGTTGAGACCTATGTAGATATCTGCAGGTGTTTTGGAGTTGCATGGCACCCAATAACCAGTGGCTTGCTGGCACCACACCAATCACGTTACTTAACGAGACTGTATATCGCTGCCTATTTTACTGCACTTTGATTTCCTTGTCCTTCAGGGAGCATCTTACTCTGAATTCACCGTAAGTTTGTTGTGTTTTTGACTTTGCGAATCGCTGTTTTATCTTTAATATCATGTCTTCAATCGGTAAAGTGACTGCTGCCGTTCTTTCAGGCTCACAGGAACTCTTTGCAACGCTTGGGGGTTTCACTTTTCTACTTTGCTGAGCTGCTGCGCGTAGCTGTCCAAACTTCAAGTGTGAAAGATGTTCCTGTGGTCTCCCAAAAGATTGATTCACGTGCCGTTGGTAGCCATAATCACACAGGTTCGAAGAATGAGCCCTCGTCAAGGACACCAATTGTTGACGACCCAGATGAAAAGGATGATGGCGACAATTAAAAAGGATAGAACTGATACCTTTCTTCCCAAGAACGAAGCATCATCCCCACCAACGGCACTCCATGCTAGCTCACTTGAACTAGGGCTTGGCTCATATGTGCCAAAGCCAGAGTGCCGAACATACGACCATAATTCCTCGGAAAAAGAAGTTAAACTTACGCATGAAGAGGTTCCTGACAATGTTTCTGCATTCCTGGGAGATCAAGGACATGAGATTCTATATCTCACACATCAAAACATAAGTAGGGATTAAATTGCGAAAGGGAGTCATTGCGGATGAAAATACTCATGGTGAACAGCTCTTTTTAGCTCTGGGAGGTCGCATTGGAGCATTACTAGGCATCCATAATACTACCCGTATGAAACTCTTTCATGGTTCAGCAACTGTTAGCAAGGAACATCTATTCTATAGTGGCTGCGTCTTGAAATGCGACCACCAGCGACTACTGAATGAGTCGAACGGGCTAGATTCCAATATGGGCTGGACCGAGTTAGAAACATATATGAATACGCGACAGCACTCCCACTTCCAACATCAGGGCTGTCTGAATTTGACATTCAGCCACAAAAACATTGGCGATGGTTTGATTCTAGGATTATTTTGAGCCCCAAATGCAAAAGCAACCTATTCGCCAGTTCGGATTGCGAGGAGGGACTCATCGAAAAATCGGACATTATCTCTAATCTTGAACCTCGCCTTGTCAAATTTGGATCAGAAACAGACAGTGAAGTGATGATGAGATACCCTGGCCAAAACCCATTTTGTGTCTTCCCGCAACGTTCTCCTTTCGATGCTCTACTCAAGACTGGTTCTACTGCTGAAAGCGTAGGACCTCACAATTCTCCCTTGAATCTCTCAAAAGACGACAAGAACCAGGAGCTTACTTCAGACAGTATGCCTGAAGAAAGCTTAGGGTTCTTTCTCGGAGATCCTAAAACAGCCGCAATTTACCTGACCGATACAGCTCATAAGCAATATCAGAAAAATATCAAACGTTCATACTGGGCATCCCAAAACCTCACCATCTGATCCTCAGGTCATGCATTCCTCGGCCGACTCCTGGAACGTGATTAATCGAGAACATTACGATGGCACTCAACGTGACTGCTTCTCGGAAACGAGCCTTCACCTCCGCTTCTCCGACTGAACTATGCCCGTGGACGTTGGAGCAATCGGACAAAGACGCCGAGACATCGAAGTCTCTCTTGTGGAAGGTTACATACAAGTTAATTCCGCCGGGAAATGGATCGCAGATCTCGATATTTACACCTCCTTTCGAAGAGGATGCAGTCAATTCGACCACGATTATTACTACAAAGCCTCGTGTGATCATAGCAATACCTCGGACGAGCAAGACACGGAGATAGAAAGAAATTCTGCATTGACGTGCATTGACAGTTGGGGGGAGTTTCTAGACCGTCCCGATGGACCTGCAGTTTTCAGAGCTCACAAAAATTATTTGGCGAGGATTGCGGCTGCGGTGATTGGGGCCCAGAGGCAAGATAGGGTGCTGGTTGGGGAGAATGTGTGTTGGGTTTGCTTTAAGGAGTTGGAAGATGCAGGTGGGTCAGAGGTTACTAATAAGATTCTTTTCATTAATTGACTGTGGAAGATTGAAGGCAATCAGAACTGGGTTGAGAAAAGGGATTGATTGGAACTCATCACCGTACTCGTAGGCTATTATGCTTCTAATCTACGGGCTATGTTTTGAGTACACCATGATGGACAAGATACCCGATTCCAGAGGCATGTTTCTAACGGCTTACAAAGACATTTCAAATAAATCCAGGCTTTTAGCGAAAAGCACCATTGATTACAAACGATATTTAGAACTGGGGATTCTATTTTGGACGAAACTCGGTTTCTTTATAATAAACAGCTTTTTCTTTTGACAATAACATTGTATTGAATGTTTGCTTACAGTTACTCGATATCAGAAAGTCTTTGGATAATCTTTTTCGGTGCCGCTCCATAGGCCCCAAGTTCATCCCTTTCTTCTAGTGAGAGAGTGAATAGCAAAACCCGAAGTTGGAGGGCTTGTCGTAGTGGTGAATTACAAGAATGTGATGTATTACAAGATTGAAAGGGAGGTACGTGCACTCAATCTTCATCCAATTATTTCCTTCTTTTACTAATTCACTACGCTTTATAGAATAATTTTCATTTGTCAAAATACCAGAGCATTCAGAACCATGTCCATGCCCGATTTGACAGCACTTCTATGCCGAGATAATTTCTCTTCCGCCCGTCAATGCCCCCAAAGAAATAGGAGCCCTCCTCCCCTCCCCCCAAAAACATGGACTTCCTCAAAACTCTCTTCGAAGAGATTACCATCGCGATTCGCATCGGGCCTGCTGAGCTCATCCTAACAGCATGGCTCTTCATTCTCCTTTCATTACCACCATCCAGTGAAGTCCAGCACTTGCTAAGAGACACCAAGACAGCCGCATTCAGCATTTCGGCCCTCGAAATATCCTGCATCATCCTATGGGTATCGGCTCTCGGAAATCTAACTTTCGCATCCACCCTCCACGAATGGGTTCAGAAACTCATTCGAGTCTGAGCGTCATTTGCCTGCTCTTCAACCCCCTACTTGCCAGTACTTCTTATTTACGCTCGTCAATTCCTGCTCCACCCCGAACAGCAGGGCAGAATCTTTGATCGGGCTGTATCTTCTGTATGCGGAATCAAACTAATCTGTCTGGTCTTTGACATCATGCGAGTGCTACTGGGTTTCGATGGTGGTGATTGTTTCTACCCTGTCTGTGTATCTCGTGAGGCCTTCGGAGAGTCAATGAGCTTTTCGAATAGGCTTATTGATAGAGATATCTTGTTTCGCTTGCAGGTCGTCGTCCTGTTGCGATTCCGCAAAACTTACTTTGGCCTCGCTAAGAAGGTGTTGAGAAAGGCTCTACCGAGAGAGATACTTCGACGTTGGAGTTGAGATGGCGAATGCTGATCATGAATAACCACCGGCGTATCTGGAGCTTGAATCGCCTCCTCCTTATTCGCCTCTGCTAACGGACATCAGACGTAGAGGAAGAGGTGCACTCGATGGAGGGATTCGAACGGGAAGATGGCGACAAAGACATTGTGATACCAGTGCTCTGTAATCCGAGAATTTGAGGTTTGAGGCTTGATGCTTGAGATGGGATAGTTCGCGAGCCGTGGCAATGTTGTTGAGGTATCTACGCGAGGAGCAAGGATCAGCTGGGATCAGAGGCCGGAATCTTTTCTCGAGACTGCACGTTACGTATAGCATAATGAGATGTATTATCGCCGTTCTTGTTTTTCTACAGTGTCCATAACAGAAAGCAAAATGAACACCTGTAGACAACAGCTTTACGTATACAACAGTAAAGAAAACAAGCCCAGAAGATCTTTGCAAAATTTCTTTTTGACTATCCTCTCCCATTGGTGAAATACACGAAGAGTGTGCGCTAGGTGTAGAGGCGTAAATGAGTCGAATTGGGGATCAACTGCTTGGAAACCTTGTCTGATTGGCAGAAATGACATTTTTTTGCAGGGAAGGCGTTATAAAAGCGGACACTTCTACTCCACATTTGGTGCACGTTCTGCGTGCACTTTCCCAATCTGCAAGGATTGGAAGGAGAAAAAGCAGACTTTATGAGGAACTTACGGTTCAAAGGTGTATTCGTGCTCATCCTTTCTTCTTTTAAAGACAAAAGTGTATTTCTGCTGAGCTATATAATGCTATCTAGTATTCTTCGCACTTTCCCTAGTGTGATTAAACTTCTGATTGTGCCAACCACAATTATATGTTGTATGTGCTTTTCAGGGAAGCGTTTCTCTTCTTTTCATATATATCTAAGTGCCGGTAGAAGGAAGCCATGTTTCAACCACAGTGGACATACATTGTATCTTTTATTTTGAACCTAATGAGCTCAGAGTAAACTAAAAACGTATCGATATCATTGGTGGGTATGAAATCGCTAGCAGATATGAGATTCAACGCTTAGGGGTAACAAAAGTTCTTTTCTTCCCCGCACGGCATGGATGAATGTCCCACTACGAAGGACCAGTGTCCTGACATCGGCCCTTGACAATTCCCCCCCCCAGTCAAGCTCTTAACACTTGAAATTCCAACAATGCATGTCGTAATTTAAATTCAATCCAAGAGGCTGAGAAGCTGTACGTTGAAGTGGAGGTTGACAAGTTGCTGTTGTGACCCAAAAAGTGGGGATGTCGCCCCACAACGAAGAAGAATTCAGCCATTGGAGTCAACAACACCAGGTTTTCTGGATCTCATAGAAGATATCTTGTGTTTCACAAATAAAGTTGTTCCACGAAACAAGGTTCTCATGACGTCGTGGAGATCATAAAGGCCCAATGTAGAAATATGATGGAGATCATCATTTCAATATCAGACTTGGATCCACTGATCATCGATGCACGTCAAAAGAGTAGATAGTATAAGTGAACCTCAAGTACCAGCTATATCAAGTTGCTGTGCATCTCGCCTCGTTGCATTTTGTTGTTGACAAACTCTTTGCTGAGGTATTGTAAATAACGTCATAGGCGAACAACAACAAAGGGACTTCACGACCACCTCCGACGCGCAACGAGAGCACAACGTTTGTCCAAACCCACAGATCAGGTGACAATTGATCAAACCAGAGGCTATCCCACAACTTTGGTGAGGTTGCCATACAAAACTTTCCCCAACCGATTTTAGCGCTACCGAAGAGGTTGACCGATCTGGGGGTATAAAAATACAGCCTCTCACTCAACTTTTTACATTTCTTCCTCTCCACAAACACAACTTCTTGATCAACCACAAGACTTCAACAACACTCTTCTGACCTTGGTCCTCCGATCTTGGTCTTACCTTGTCAAAGCTTGACTTACTTCTTCAATCAACCACTACCCTCAACACATTAAACCAACCCCTCCAACCCTCATCATGAAGCACGCTTTCACCCTTGCGGCTTTGGCCTTTGCCTCTGCCACCATTGGTATGTTCTCACATCTCACTACACTTCGATCTGATAATTTGCTAACCCTTCTTTAGGTGCTGCCCTCCCCGAGCGTCCTGATTGCGGTTCGCCTTACTCCCCTCCATGCCCAAAGGCCATGTCAGCTACTGTTGACAAGCGACAAGGCTTCATCGGTTTCGAGGGAGCACACCGTCCACCCCACGCTGACGAGGCTGGTGAGCGCCCAGACTGCGGTTCTCCATACTCTCCACCATGCCCTGCAGAGATGGCTTACCCTCCTGGACACCAATCTCCACCTCCACAAGTCTAAATACAAAGTCAATCTGAATGTAAGTATCACCTTTTCCAAAAATTGAGTTTTCGCTGACCGATCTAATAGGCGAAGCTCCCCTGTCAGATATTGGCGACATGATCAACTTTCACTTTCCCAGCTGGAAACCGATCGAAATCTCACCTTTGTCTCTCAGCACTTTGCTGGATCTTCATGACATCACATAGCACATGCACTCTCTTGTTTCTCTTTGGCGCTTGTGTCATGACCCCTTTCCTTGCGCTCGCTTAATACACTGCATGTTTGCATCACACAGGACAAAAGCACACGTTTTCTTTTTTCATCACACATGGAGTACGGGTGGTTACATGACAACCAGAGGGGCGTTGAGGTTGTACATTTTTCAAAGATACCCCAACCTTTGCATTTGCAAACTCCTTGTATAGAGGAATAATACAATCAATCTAAAATTTTCACAACCTAACCCATGTAAGACTGTGACTTTAAGAATGAGCTGTAACCAACCAGGATATTTTCTTTTTAAACACAGTGAAGTAGTAGTTGTGTTCAACTGAGATTGCATTCACTCAGCCTGGGGTAGACATTCATATCACGTGTTTCTTGTCAGGGGTTTGGGCTCATTGGAGGAATTTGAGACTGCTCCTCTGGATGCGACGGTAACTAGATGTAAAAGTGATCATTACACTACCTTATTGTACTTTTTGAGATTTCTCGTATAGAGCGAGTACCTAAGAATGGTGCAGGCTTTACGGTTTCATCATAAAGTTTAGGAAACCAGCCTCAAGGTATAAATCAAAAATACGATAAATGTACTGCCATCACTCTCCACCAAAGGTTAGAAATCAATTACAACCCAAAAAGCTTGTCATAAGAGGTGGATGTCCACACTCTCTGCACCAAAGTTATAACGCTATGTTACCAGACATTACAATGTTATTATTTACCTCTACGAATCGCATTTCTTTATTGCTGTAAATAAGTCATTGTCGCCATCTTTAGTTACTAGGCGATTACTACTTTTGAGGTTAGGTCTCTTAGTAATAATGCTTCTTTATAACACTATTTAGATAATACACAAAGAAAGCCATATCTTGCAATTGATAACATGTTAAACTTGCTTATAGATTCAAAATCTGAGAATACTATTTGCTAGACTGTTGTAATAATACCTCCCATACTTCTGAGTAAACCATAATTCATTGGGAGCCTGTGTATCGACCTGCTGGTGTTCGGTACATTGAACTTATTAGATTTAAACAGAAAAACCGAATAAGCAATCTCAAAAGATACCTTAGTATAAGAAACCCTTGTTTATGCTGCCCCTCTCGATGTAATACCACTCCCAAATATAAGCAAATAAAACCGGAAAGTTCCCCTCAAACTATCAAATCATTTTTTCCAAGCATCACGCAACAGAAAACAAAAAGACACAGAGAAGACCGTCTTCTCAAAATCCACTTTCACACTCGAATCCCCATACGAATCGAAATGTCCACGTTTTCATATAATAAAGATATCAGTCAACAAGAACCCGTGATTCCGCCCTCAAGGGATCTATATTCAACTCATCAATCTACCTTGTGATAGCAGCAAAGACAGCAACGCCATGAGCCACAGGATAGCATTCCTGTTGCTTTTCACTTTTAAGTACGTCCGTTTCACGGTACATCCGTACACCTCTCTCAGGAAGTACATACAGAGCTTTCTTTCCAAAGGAGCCACCAATATACAGCCCTCCAAATATCTTGGTCCTCCTTTCAACGGTGGACCCCACGAATGCAGACTTTTTGCCACGTCTCGAGCAATGTCTGTTCAACAAGTCTTCTCAAGAAGTAATCTTCACGATCACAAAGTGCTTTGAGCAGTGCAAGAATATCGTATACGAGATTCGGAAACCCAATGTAAAAGAGCGTTTATTCCCAGGACAGATCCAAGACTAATGCCTGGCTGGGAATAGGAAAACAGGTTATCTAGTAATCTCTTTCCCAGCTGCGAATAAGAGGTTACAATTCGACGCCGCGTTTAGCCTGCTCGCAACTCATGACCCCAGGGCTACGATAATTGACAGTCCTTTGAGATAACCACGCTCTCTGGCCCGCGTCTTTCCTCTTAAATGCACTCCAGCCCTTCGAGGACGACAATTTTGTGGCCGTGGGAACGAAGAAAAAACTCGAGGGAACGAGCAGGTTCAATATCAGCCAGGTTGCTTCTTCGATTATTGCGTAGGTAGTAGATTGGTATATGTGTTATCTCTGTTTTCCTCGTTGCCATTTTGTTTATTCACTGAAGACTCGAAGAGTCAACGTCAGGCAGATTTCGCTTACCTCGCCAGTGATTCACAAGAAATTTCAAACCGTCGTTAGAGCGTAGAGAGTAAGGAGACTGTGAAAGTAAGCAAACAGAATGTACCCAAGAAAGACATGCAGTCAAATGAATATTCCAGGAAGTGAGAAAGCGACTTCATAGCCTCGCTTACTAGAATCGGAAGACCTATTCCCGTTGCTGAGACCGAACAGCCCAAGGAGAGCGGTACGAAAAATACACCAGAGCGGCGTCTATGAAGAGAGTCAGGTTCAAGAGCATTCAGATGTAGATGGCGTACATGTCCCAAGCTAGATGTCTCCATACTGTAAGATTAGATCAGTACAGAGAATTGCTGAGTTTCTTTGCCAGGCTGTACAAACCCAACGAAGACCTCCCTTGTTGACTCGTAGAGATTCATAGATAGATAGAAGCACGCCTCAGATAACATAAAAACCCATTTTTATAAGCAATTGCATTGAAAGGTGCCCTCACAATCATCGAGTTCCGCTTCGTTAAAGTGGATCAGCCAGGAATTTCATCTACCTGATCCCCAACTAATTACTCCATTTTGCTCTCGCAATAAGCGGGTCCCGCAAGGGTTAAGGATTGCCTTTTTGGTTTAATGTATCGCTCCAAAATCTGGACAGTAAGACCACCACTCCTTCCCATCAAAGCTGACTCGCAAATGATAGTCACAGCTTTTCACCGTCGCATTATCCTTGAGTGTTCCCTATAAAATATGCTAGGACCTCTTCTTAACGAGGGTTTCAACAGATAGGGAAGGGAGCATTGAAGAGGAGATTAGGAGGGGAACGGGCAAGAACTCTAGTGAGGCATGAAGCTTTACCATCCATTTTTGAGGCTCGTTCGTTTTTGGGAGTACACTATCAAGATGTGCCGACCTTTTCGGGCATCTTCTTGAGGTTTGGGGATTGAGATATTTATTCACTCGCCAAGAAAGCGACCACTAAAGCAGTTGGGAATTCCATTTTGGCGTGTAGAAATTAGAAAGGAAGGCATGCTATTTGTAGTGAGTGTAGTGATAAGCGAGAACGATGAAAGTTACCCAGGACGGTGGTTTTCAAGTTGCACGACCCGTTGTGCTAACATCCCGAAGATTTCGACCCACACACATACACCGAGCGACTACTAAACTCAGATTAATTAATTATCTATCAAGTATCAGATCGTATTCTTTATTATCAGGCCAGAACCCAGGGTACAGAAATATGCCTCGCTAGAGGTACTGCAAGTGAGGCCATACTAATTCGTCTTTGATTACATCGTGTATTTCCACAAAAATATGCGAAGTAGTAGGGAGGCCGTGTGAGCATGGAATGGATCATCGGTAAGCCTAGTCACCAGAGTTCATCTGAAGCTGGACTGCCGAAGTGACGTTGCACAAGTCAAGCATCGTACGAAGTATTTCGTGTATCGCAAAAGGGCAAGTAACTGTTTCAAGTTGGAAATATCTTCTAGGTACATGGAGAGGTGTTAAAATTACAATTATCCTTAAACATTCCTCCATGGTCATCTTTCTTTGAGCAATCTGTCTTGCGTTCCCAATGTGATGCGATCCATCAAAAATATAAAACAAAAGTAAAAAGGATAGACAGTAACGTAAAACTGCCACCTGTCACGCATCTCATGTGAGAAAAGTCTTTAACACCCACATCTGAGTCACTGTAAAAAATGGCCAATAGTATTGCCAGGAGAGACTGTTTTCTTGAGTAGAAACTAGGGAACGCAGAACTAACAGAGACATACATACACTATCCGAAACACCATCTCTATCTCCAACTGTGGTTCCGACAGATCCAAAGTGTAGAACGACTAGGATCACTTACTTGAATAGTAATGGTATTGTGTTGAACCGTGGAATCCACTTGTTTCATTATTTATACATGTATTTCATTATTTGTACTGTTTCCGCATTGGGTTACCACTCCACTCTTTTACCCCTTTTTGTAGATATAAAAGGCTGTACAATAGCTTCTTTTACAATACAATCAATTCTACATGACCTACTTGACCCCATACCTTGGAAATCCAACATATTGTCATGAAATACAGCCAAAGGGGTATGGCATCCGGAAGAGGCGAAGAGGGTAAAAGAATCGGTGCAAAATACAAAATCGTGATCGAAGCAAATCTCGATGGTTTTCTTTTCCGTTCTCGTCATACCGGCAAGACTTCTTATTCTGTGGACATAAACTTACTGCAGTCCACTATCCAGTAGCTATCGCAAATACCGACAGTAAGGTCTGCTTGCGGTGGGGTGGTCGCGGAATGCTCTCTGTCCCGTTCTTGGGAGTCGGGACATTATCATTACGGTATATTTACACAGAATCACGTTTCTACTCCGCTCCAATCTTGAAAGCTCAATCTCTTTTCTCGCTGACCATTCCATATACAAGTCTAATCTGAACGGATTATTATTGTTCCAGCTAGTAGGAATCCCCGACGTGGGTATGTCGATCACTCCACTATTTCCCCACAACCGATCTCCTGGTCGAGTTTTCACGGTAACTTCCCGACGGGGACCTCCGTAGATCTCTATTTTAGGCAATAGATTTTCACTTGGCCTTGATTCTCGACAAGTTTTCTCATAAAGAAGATTACTAAGGAGGTATTAACGATTCAAAGGGCTGTATTCTCTTGTCAACCCTTCGTAGGGTTTTGATTTTAGGTTTGTAAATAAAAGAAACTACTCGAAGAACATGCCAACAAACAAGCTCGAAGTCTAAAGGCTTAATTACGAGGTACAGGAAAAAATCGCTACAAGGATACCCGCTATAAGGATATCCTCGTTCATATCCTTGGGATTTTGGTCCCGATCTTTATTAGTGTGATTTTAGTAGATTTAAGGATATACCCTATGTAAGGATATCCTTAGACTTTTTAGGTCCTAAAAAGACTTCTATACTAAAAATATCCTTGTCTTGATCCTTATAGTCTCCTTTAGCTACCTAATTCCGATGGATTTGTCGGATCTAAGTAATTCTTAGTAAAATTCTAAGATTTTTAGGTATAAAACCAGGACTTAGATACAAACGTATATTTCTCTACGTCTACTACTAACTCTATATAAGTGACTAGCTTATATATTCCTAATACTTAAATACATAACCTTACCGTCGCCTATACCAAGGAACTCGCTATCCCTTCCAGACTCTGCATGTCCAAAAGAAACGTGCAGCAAAGTGGAGTAGAAGTATCCATTTTTCCAACATCTTCTCCATAAAAGAAAGCCCTTTGGCCAATTAGGTCACGGCTCTAAGCATTTGAGCCTCCATTTGACCCAGTTATCGCATCCACTTCGAGTGCACGTTTTTTTTGGACATGCAGAGTCTGGAAGGGATAAGGATATCCTCGTTTATATCCCTAGTATAGCCGGGCCCGACCATATCCTTGAAGCGAGTTTTTTCTGTACGAAGTATTTATGCGCGGATCAATTGCCATGATTAGCTTAGAGGGGTTCTCCGACCATCGATAGGAAGATCGAGTAGACATCGACGTCATAACTCTTGATTTCTGCAGTTTGTTTGTATAAGAGGGGAGTTCTGTCCTGCCACCGTGGTATCACAATAATTTCTTCGAGTATCATAATAACTTCGTACACATTCATTCACTTTAATCATGTTGTCATTTAATATCTATGTTGCTTTTGCAATCTTTTCCACACTTGTGGCTGGAGTTCCTCTTCCAGAAAGCCAATATCGCCCATCAATTCACCACGTTCTTGAACAGAGAGCCCCGCCGGAATTCGTCAAAGCCTCAACTGAATCGGCAAAGAAAATTGGAAATGCTGCCTTAATTCCATTCATGAAGAGAACTCCGCTGGAGAAGGCGGTGATAGAAATACAAAAGCGATATCAAAAGACGAAGCTTCAAAGGTTGGGCAGCGCCTTTAGGAAAGCTGGAAAGGCTATTAGTAGGCCGATTCACAGGGTGGGCAAATCCTTTAGGAAAACTGGAAAGGCTATCAAGAAACCATTTCAAAAGACGCCGCTTCAAAAGGTGGGCGACGCCTCTGAGAAAGCTGGAAAGACTATCAAGAAGCCATTTCAAAAGACGCCGCTTCAAAAGGTGGGCGACGTCTTTGAGAAAGCTGAAAAGACTATCAAGAAGCCATTTAAAAAGACGCCGCTTCAAAAGGTGGGCGGCGCCTTTGAGAGAACTGGAAAGGCTATCAAGAAGACGTTCCAGAGCCGGGATGTTACTTTTTGAAAGAGATGCATGCCTGCAGTTGGAGGGGCTCTTTTTCAAATGTCGGAAGATGGAAGAAACTCCTGTGGAGCTGCCGAAGGTCGCTGCCAGAGCCACATAAAGCGGATCGAAACCCACCCCGCCCGCGAATTATCTACATACGATCAACCGTCTAAGGAAACGCCTTCGAATCACCTTGATTTCTTGGAAAGGGATGTAGGGAGCTTGTGTTGAAATGCGGGGAGATGGAGGAAGAGACGGAAATGATGAGAAAAATGCACAAATCGTCGTCTCAGCTTGTCGACAAATCATTTCCAATATCAAGTGCGATTCTTCAGAAGAGTTTGAGCTGAGTTGGGGGCCTCTTGTTCAGATGTTGGCGGAAAAATGGAAGGTGCTGTCATTTTAAACTAATATCATTCCTTAGAAGAATCAAAATCGAAGAAACACCACTGTCCTTGTTTTTACCTTTCAAGTGTGAAGTACCCATGAAAGCTTTGACTACTATAAAGTCAGCATGAGGAAGCAGTTTAGGCAGCTGTTCGCGCATTGCGAATAAGTTCCATTGAATGATTCTATAGCTAGCTCCAAAAACCTTACACTGGTCATCACGCCAGGCCAAGAGACACTCATTATAACTCCGTCCAGAAATGTCACATTTACTGTTCTATGAGTCCTGATATATAATCCAGCATCTCCCACCTCATGAACAGCTTTGTAATGTATGTCATGAAGCCCCTCCTCTCTCCCTTCCTCCTGACCAACCTTACTTAGCCAACTACCTAGATCAACCGTTCCTCATGCAACACAGAACAGAACAGCGCAAAAGCGAAATCATCAAATTCAAACTCGCTTAGCAAAACGTCCACTGGCGTGCGGTTGTAAAGAATACCTAAGAGAGCCTCCGCCACCAAAACTTCACTACGCTCCCACATAATCCCAACCACCTTAAAAGAAAAAGCACAAAATGGCAAAAAAACCTCCTACCAGGTTCAATGACAAGACGAGCTGAGTTTTTGATTGTTTTCTCCAGTGTAGGGCCCCACTGACACGATTGTCTTACTCCCTCGACGTATGCGTAACAGGTAGTGTGTTTGGCGCTTCTGGGTTTAGTAACACACTAATTGACTGGGCCAGGTGGATAGGTTTAATCCCAGTTTTGGTGACGGAAGACATGTTACTAGGGGATATCAATATTGTTTTGCGATATTTGTGGGGTTTCTGCTAAGCGAGAGGCAATGACTGGTGGGAAAACCTTGTGGTTATTACAGTAGTGATTGCCGCGGTGGATGGTTGTCCCCGCTTAAGTACGAAAAATTAGCCAGTCCTAAAATGGTCGTAGTACGCTCTGAACTGATCACCCCTATAGGTAATATGCCTTAGGTACTTTCGGAAAACTCGATATCTGTAATCCTTTTACTTTTACCACCAGGCGTAGGAGCAGACACGGATGCTATATATGAGTTAAAGTCGAGTCTCATACTCGGCATATGCATTCCCCATTACTATACATTCACTCTAGTAGTAATAAGTATTATATTCTTTTCCAGAAGTACTTACTCGCAAGACTTTATACCAGAAGGACTGTCAAGGAGTCAGATCAGGTGACCTGCGTTCATTCATTGTGACGGAGCTGGATTTCATTTGACAGGATTTCATTCGCTTGGCCAAGCACGTGACGAGACTTGGAATTGGAACAACTTAAATAACTTCGCTCCTTTCAGATTCTCTTCTCTCTTTAGTTTGATTTCTTCGTACCTACGGTTTTAGTTCTAGCAATTGATTCAAAAGCTGTATACACTTTATCCTTTGTTGGCATCCGTGACATTCATGAAGCTACTCACAATTATGGATAAACCAGCACAGACCAGTGTCAACCGACTTAAAAGATAGATCTCCTTAAGAAGCTCCTTTCAGATTCTCTTCTCTCTTTAGTTTGATTTCTTCGTACCTACGGTTTTAGTTCTAGCAATTGATTCAAAAGCTGTATACACTTTATCCTTTGTTGGCATCCGTGACATTCATGAAGCTACTCACAATTATGGATAAACCAGCACAGACCAGTGTCAACCGACTTAAAAGATAGATCTCCTTAAGAATCTCTTCTCTCCCTGTAATCAATCTATTCAACCAAGTCGCAATTGTCCTCGACTTGCACTTGTACCGTGACAAGGACATGGCGGAAATTGCGTAGGAGAAGTGCAGACCTAATAGCCTTCTGCCACGCTAAATAGTTTTGCAAGGGAGATGATGACGAATTTGAACGTTACGAAACGTTTTTAAGAGGTTACCGCTTAGATATACCTGCGCGATAGTAGGAAATGGGTAAGGTTAATCGCAGGCTAAACAAAAGGTTATTTAGGTAAATTAGGTACACACTATAGTTCCTAGGAGAGGTACTATAAATTCTATATTTTACTAATCAGCTACTTAACCCTCATCGATTACTACTCTAGTTAAGTTAAGTTAAGTTAGGGTCCCCGGACGTGCTACGGGGACTCGGGCCGGTATTTTCCGACTACTTAATTAGTACTTAAGTTATTTGATTACTTTAGGGTTATTAAATCTAATTTTAGATAATTTATAAATAATTTATTTTCCTATAATTTATAGTAATTTATGATTTTGGTTCTAATATTAGATCTTGGCAATAAATATATAGTGTATAGGGGGAGTGAATATAGGGTAAATGAGGGTATAGAAGTAGCTAATTTCACTAAAAAAAAACTACGAAGACGTATATAAAATAGTACTTAATTTACAGAATTATCTGTGAAGCTAATCTTCGTCGCCTATATCCTCCTCGCTCGAGTCGTTAAGCTTAATATTACTATCCTCGTCGTCGTCGTCTTCTTCTTCCATTTATCCCCTCAACGATATATATGTACAGCCAGCTTTTTAGGTTTGCGATATCCACTTTTAGTCTTGGCCCTCAACGATAGTAGTACTTGGTTAGTGCGGAGCAAGTCGGGATAAGCCCCGTAGCGCGTCTAGGCATTATTCCGATCGCTCCGACCGCTCAAATAGGAAATCGCAAACCTATAAAGCTGGCTGTACATATATATCGTTGAGGGAATATAAGCACTCTTTCGAATCTTCCTTTAGGGACTTTAGGCTATTATCCCCTCAAGGTAGCATATGTACATAAGACTTTCCAAGGCTAAAATACCTACTTTGTACCCACTTTACGATTTAAGCCTTGCGATTGTTTCAACGTCTATATAATACCTTAGAATTAACTCTCGAATATAAATAAGTGATTTATAACTATTACAATTAAGGTTATTATATAACGTAAAAATAGTGTTTATTATATATACTATAATTCGGTCTTTCTATACCTAAATACTTTAATATAGCCTCCTAAAATAATCGAAAATATACCCTACAATAGTTATAAAAGTTATATAAAGTCGTAGGAGTAATCGTCGGAATATATAGATAAATTATTAGAATTATTATTATTAAGAACTTACTTCGATTACTTATAAAAAATAATGTCTTTTTTTCTATTATTACTACTACTACCTTAATTTAGGGCTCTTTTAATCTCCCTTACCTTTAAGCCTACTCCTCTAGCTCCTATATAGGCGCAGCGAAAGAAATGAGTAGAGTAGAGTAGAGTAGTGACTACTACTCTACTCTACTCAACCTATTTTAAGAACTACTCTACTCTACTCATACTACTCTGAGTAACTCTGAGTAGTACTTAGAGTATTCGGGCCTTATCGGGTCGACCGGGCCGAGGCTCGGAGTGGCATCGGAGTGGCGTTCCAGAGCTGCCGGGAGCTTAAGCGAGATCTCCTTCTACTCTTTTTACTACGTAACTTCTTTAATAATAGCCTTAATAAATTAGCTACTAATTATAAAATAATAACTATAAGTACCTAATATATATAATTAGTAATATTACTAATAATAAGCTTTATAAGCCTTATAAATGCCTAGAAATTACATAATTTCTAATAAAATTCTAGAATATTCTAATTAGTAATTGAGCTTATAAAT